GCATCCGCCAACTCCTGGACAGTCTGTGGTGCAACGTGGCGTTGGTGGATGGAGCGAGACATCAATCATCAATCAATTTTATTTTATATAGCCCTTCTTACATCAGCTAATATCTCGAAGTGCTGTACAAAACCCAGCCTAAAACCCAAACAGCTAGTAATGCGTGTAGAAGCACGGTGGCTAGAAAAACTCCCTAGAAAGGCGAAAGCCTAGGAAGAAACCTAGAGAGAACCAGGCTATGATTTTTGGGGTTTATACTTTTTCCCTAAAAAAGAAATTTTTTAACTTTTTACATTTTTCGATTTTTTGGATTTTTCCCAAAGTTCAAAAAACCCCTTAAAATAAAGCTGTCGTTTTTTTGGGGGGGAAAAAAAATTTTGCAATAAAAAAACCCCACATAATTTTAAATTAAAAATTTTTTTTTAAATTTTCCATAATTAAAAGTCATCTACAACCCATCCATTTTAACCAAAACAAAGGGGGGGTTTTATTTTTCAAAATAAGGGACCTTAAAACCTGTATAAAATAACAAAAAATATTATTAAAAGGGTAATGTCTTCTTAAAACCCACACAAAAAATTTTTAATATGATAATTTTCCCCCCTTTCTATTTTTTAAAAAATTAAAGGGAAAAAATACACTGCTAAAAATTTGGGGAAACCTTAAAACTAAATCTGAATGATATATTTTTTTTCTCCTTTGCCCCAAAAGTGGTTTGAGGGGGGCAAATTCCCAAAAATTTCAATGGAATAAATGTCAACCCTGGAAGGTCTGGTGGAGTCTTTAAAGGGAAACCACATCAACAATCAATTTTCATGATGTCCCAGATGTGCTCAATTGGATTCAGGTCTGGGGAACGGGCGGGCCAGTCCATAGCATCAATGCCTTCCTCTTGCAGGAACTGCTGACACACTCCAGCCACATGAGGTCTAGCATTGTCTTGCATTAGGAGGAACCCAGGGCCAACCGCACCAGCATATGGTCTCACAAGGGGTCTGAGGATCTCATCTCGGTACCTAATGGCAGTCAGGCTACCACTGGCGAGTACATGGAGGGCTGTGCGGCCCCCCAAAGAAATGCCACCCCACACCATGACTGACCCACCGCCAAACCGGTCATGCTGGAGGATGTTGCAGGCAGCAGAACGTTCTCCACGGCGTCTCCAGACTCTGTCACGTCTGTCACATGTGCTCAGTGTGAACCTGCTTTCATTTGTGAAGAGCACAGGGCGCCAGTGGCGAATTTGCCAATCTTGGTGTTCTCTGGCAAATGCCAAACGTCCTGCACGGTGTTGGGCTGTAAGCACAACCCCCACCTGTGGACGTCGGGCCCTCATACCACCCTCATGGAGTTTGTTTCTGACCGTTTGAGCAGACACATGCACATTTGTGGCCTGCTGGAGGTCATTTTGCAGGGCTCTGGCAGTGCTCCTCCTGCTCCTCCTTGCACAAAGGCGGAGGTAGCGGTCCTGCTGCTGGGTTGTTGCCCTCCTACGGCCTCCTCCACATCTCCTGATGTACTGGCCTGTCTCCTGGTAGCGCCTCCATGCTCTGGACACTACGCTGACAGACACAGCAAACCTTCTTGCCACAGCTCGCATTGATGTGCCATCCTGGATAAGCTGCACTACCTGAGCCACTTGTGTGGGTTGTAGACTCCGTCTCATGCTACCACTAGAGTGAAAGCACCGCCAGCATTCAAAAGTGACCAAAACATCAGCCAGGAAGCATAGGAACTGAGAAGTGGTCTGTGGTCACCACCTGCAGAACCACTTCTTTATTGGGGGTGTCTTGCTAATTGCCTATAATTTCCACCTGTTGTCTATTCCATTTGCACAACAGCATGTGAAATGTATTGTTAATCAGTGTTGCTTCCTAAGTGGACAGTTTGATTTCACAGAAGTGTGATTGACTTGGAGTTACATTGTGTTGTTTAAGTGTTCCCTTTATTTTTGTGAGCAGTGTATTTGATCCCCTGCTGATTTTGTACGTTTGCCCACTGACAAAGACATGATCAGTCTATAATTTTAATTTTAGGTTTATTTGAACAGTGAGAGACAGAATAACAACAACAAAATCCAGATAAACGCATGTCAAAAATGTTATAAATTGATTTGCATTTTAATGAGGGAAATAAGTATTTGACCCCCTCTCAATCAGAAAAATGTCTGGCTCCCAGGTGTCTTTTATACAGGTAACAAGCTGAGATTAGGAGCACACTCTTAAAGGGAGTGCTCCTAATCTCAGCTTGTTACCTGTATAAAAGACACCTGTCCACAGAAGCAATCAATCAATCAATCAGATTCCAAAATCTCTACCATGGCCAAGACCAAAGAGCTCTCCAAGGATGTAAGGGACAAGATTGTAGACCTACACATTGTAGAGCACATTAAGGTCCTGGAGTGGCCTAGCCAGTCTCCAGACCTTAATCCTATAGAAAATCTGTGGAGGGAGATGAAGGTTCGAGTTGCCAAACGTCAGCCTCGGAACCTTAAATGTCTTGGAGAAGATCTGCAAAGAGGAGTGGGACAAAATCCCTCCTGAGATGTGTGCAAACCTGGTGGCCAACTACAAGAAACGTCTGACCTCTGTGATTGCCAACAAGGGTTTTGCCACCAACTACTAAGGCATGTTTTGCAGAGGGGTCAAATACTTATTTCCCTCATTAAAATGCAAATCAATTTATAACATTTTTGACATGCGTTTTTCTGGATTTCTTTGTTGTTATTCTGTCTCTCACTGTTGAAATAATCCTACCATTAAAATTATAGACTGATCATGTTTTTGTCAGTGGGCAAACGTACAAAATCAGCAGGGGATCAAATACTTTCTTCCCTCACTGTATAGTTCCTTGTCTGAAGTGTCACAGAAGTAGGCCACATCCCTGACTAGTGGATTTTCCACCTGCTAGATGTTGCTTCCATATCTTTTAGTGAACTGCACTCATATTTTTTCCTGATGGGATGCTTGTTATCCTGTCTGGACTTAAAATTTTTGTCGCAGTAATGAAGTACACTGGACCGAATTCTGCTAGCTTGGCAGAACTCTGTTCATGACACACACACACACACCACAGCACACACACACACACCACAGCACGCACGCACGCACACACACCACAGCACACACACATACCACAGCACGTACACACAATATCCAACAATTAAATGTCCCTAGAATAGAATACCTTCAAAGTGTCCCACACTTGAGTGTTTTAACATTAAAGGTTAGACTTGTGTGTCTGCGGATGTGTGTTTGAACATGTATTTTCCTTAGACGTGAAGGCTATGTGAATGTTGATATACGTTTTTGTCTATGTGCATGCCTGTTCCTGCACACATTTGTTTGCCTCTGCATGTGTGGTATGTGTAATGTATGTCTGTGCATGTGTGCATTCCGAAGTGTGTGAGAAGTGTCTAGACAGGCTGCCCAATTCGGATATTTTTTCCCACTAATTGGTCTTTTGGCCAATCACATCAGATCTTCTCACAGCAGATCTTTTTCAGAACTGATCTAATTGGTCAAAAGATCAGAATTGGGCTGTATGTTAAATTGCAGCCTGTGTAGTGTATGTGAATGTCTATGCCAGAGAGCCACAAGCTCTCGCCCATGTCAAGTAGCTGGGTTTGACAGGGTGGGAGGGAAGGAGAGATGGATGGGGTGGGGAGAGGTGGAGACGGGGTGTGTCTCTCCTGTTTGCCAGGACACTTGTTATGAACTGTCACAGTAGACAGAGAGGCAAGTGGCTGCAGACATTCTCACAAATAACATACCAGTATCACACAAATAACAATCTTTACTGCGACATTTAAGATTGATTACAAAGCTATTATTATGAGGTATACTGTGGCGTTATTACTTGATTGTGAATCACTTTCATAGTATGATTATTGTCTTAATCTAAGCTCAAAATACAAACATTATTTATGTTAACTGTATTATAGTTCTTACAAGACTTCATTGCAAGATTAGAGTTGTTTTTCATGTTTATAATGGTGTTAAAATGTACATTTTAGTCATTTCGCAGACTCTCTTATCCAGAGCGACTTACAGGAGCCATTAGGGCAAAGTGCGTTGCTCAAGGGCACATCGACATATTTTTTTCTCTAGTCATCTCAGGGGTTTGAACCAGCAACCTTTTGGTTATTGGATCCATCGCTCTTAACCGCTAGGCTACATGATGCTGTATGTTTTGTAATTTGGCTATTTTAAACCTAGTGTATGATTCCTTACTGGTGGTAATAGAATCTCATATATTGGTGTTCTTATTTAGCACAGACACCGAGAGTTGGTTCTCCATTGAGTGCTCTGAGTAGGACCTCTCGTAAGGTGGCGGTATCCTGGCAACTCTGAATTCAAACGGCTGTTTCCTCTCTTCTCCCTACACATAAATCATAAAAAGTCTCCCCTCTCTTGCTCTGAGGCAGCTTAAGGAAGGCTGGAAGGCTCTGTTTGTCTGCTTCCAGACCAAAGGGGCTTCTCTCTCAATACCAAAGCTGTCTAGAAATAGGCTCACCTGAAATGCTCCCTTCTTTCTCCATCTCTATCTCTGTCTCTCACACTCTCACAGTCTCTCAGGTCTAGTGGCTAGGAGTTCCCCAAACGCTCTTACACACTCACTCTCTTACGTTTTCTCTCTCACACAGTCACACACTTTAATATATAATAGAATAATATGCCATTTAGCAGACACTTTTATCCAAAGCAACTTAGTCTGTAACTCATGCTCTCTTTCACTCTGGTCAATACACAATGACAGTCTCTCGCTCAATCTCACTCACTCACTCACTTCACTCACTCACTCACATCTCCCCTCAGGCTCTGTGCTCATAGGTCACTGAGTAATTAAGATTAATGCCAGGGATTGGACTGAAAGACCCTCCTCTCATGTCTGACATAATTAGGGCCCCGGCGTCATAAATCACTGTCTCATATATCTCCTCCCTCCGACTTGTCTCCCGGCTAGGTATTGGAGGGTTTATGGTCCGCCAGAGAAGCAGGATGGGACAAGGTAAATCCAAACGATCCCTATCCAGGAAATACTCAACAGGGTCATTACCTGAGAATCCAATGTGCAAAGAGGAAGGTAAGCACATGGAATAGTCCCAAAAGTGCAAATCCCACTCATCTGGCACTCCAGGCAGACTCAAATCAAACACTTAACCCAGTAATAAGGGGGTTCCCTGAATGTTACTTTGAGGTTGTGACCTCCTGTCTGTGTGTTGCAGCGTGGAACAAGACGGAGAGTACTCCAGTGGAGGAGACCCCACTGGTGCCTGAATGTCTGGAGAAGGTCAGGAAAAGATACCGCAAAAAGAGAACCAAACTGGAAGAGGAGTTCCCTTCGTACCTGCAGGTGACTTTCAATCACATGTACACTAATGATATCCGTATTGGTCTAAAATGTTCATTTTGATTCTGTTATCATAGACTGTCTTATTGAGCGATTTATAGGAAAAGGTCACCGGTACAATATGCATGAAATCACCTAAACAAGCACAGAGGTGCTTGTGTGGCTACATTATCTTTGTACAGATGTAGGATCTTAATTTGATCACTTCTGTTGCTGAGAAGTTTCCTACACTGCAGGAAATGCAGATGAGCTTCATGATTTACAAAAATGAACTGAAAGCCTGCACTAACACACAGTTAGTTATATTAACAGTATTGCACTTTTCATGTAGCCTAATTTTGGCCAGATAATAGCCTAACTACCGATCAAGCAACATGGACTAAACTTAAAAATTGTTGCTGCGGGATTATTTTGCTGCAACAATTCTGGTCAAATTAAGATCCCACATCTGTATGAACCATTTTAGCCAATACGTCTTAGCCTAATTGTCCCTAATCATCTTCTTGTACCACATTAGAATAGTGCATATTCTATAAGACATCTCCAAGCATTTACCAGTAGCAACTTTATTTCACCACCCAGTTAAACCAGCACTTCATAAGTCGCATGTTGCCCCCTTCTCAGATGTATTACCGTCATGATATTTAAAAAATCCCTGAAGCGTCTCAGAGAGACGTTGCCCTCTCTGTGCCACGCCACACCTTTAAAAGACCCAGCATGCTCAGCGTTCGGGGGAGCAGCCATCCGTTAAGTGCACCAGCTGTCACTTTGGGCTTTCTTGTACGCCACGCTTAAAATTTTTATTTAAAGTTCCTCACCAGAGGAACGACTTTAATCAATTATTTAAATACCCGGCACATTAGCCTTTTTAATGTTTTACCACAGCAGGGAGCAGTCACATCGATATTTCTGGAGCCGTTAGACATGTTGGAAGCGCTAGCGACTTACTTAAAAACGTAGCGGCCCAGCCAGCGGTACAACGATGTGTCGCCACTGAGTTCAGGCTTTCTGTGAGGTTGTGTGTACCCATGTCTCTGTTTATTTGTATGCGTTTCTGTCTGTCTTTTTTTAGTTATATTTGTTTACAGTACAGGTATAGGGCAATTCTCATATAGGAATCACATCCTATCCAAGATAAATTGATTATTACAGCCACTAGGTTTTACTAAAATACAGTTTTTTTTATCACTATAATTAGCGTCTAGTTGCTATATCAGTGATTCGAGTCCACTTTCTATTTTTGTGGATCTATGAGTTGACTTTATATGGTTGCATCTTTATATGGTATTGTGTGTTTCTTAGCTTCTATGTAACTGGGCCTCTCTAGAGCGAGCATGCATGTAGCTCTAGCCATGTCGCTGTCACGTTAGATCCCAGGTGATCGCTGTCACTGTACAGTAGGAATCTAGATATACACTCTATTTCTGTGTGTGTCTGGATAACACTGGGGCCTATAGAGTGCTGCAACACTGGAGTCTGGATAACACTGGGGCCTATAGAGTGCTGCAACACTGGAGTCTGGATAACACTGGGGCCTATGGAGTGCTGCAACACTGGAGTCTGGATAACACTGGGTCCTATGGAGTGCTGCAACACTGGAGTCTGGATAACACTGGGTCCTATGGAGTGCTGCAACACTGGAGTCTGGATAACACTGGGGCCTATGGAATGCTGCAACACTGGAGTCTGGATAACACTGGGTCCTATGGAGTGCTGCAACACTGGATTCTGGGCCTTGAGACCATTCAATGAATTATTGGGTTAGCAGTAGCGTAGCCCGATTTAAAACTTTGGTTTATTAGTAGCTTTACTTAACGTTCAGCATGCATTGTAATTTCAAATACTGTTCAAATCTAGAATTCATAACTGGATCCCACCTTCTGACACCAGGGCTGCGTTTACACAGGCATCCCAATTCTCATCTTTCGCCCAATTATTGGCAAAAGATCTGATCTGATTGGTCAAAAGACCAATTAATGGCAAAATATAAGAATTAGGCTACCTTTGTAAACGTAGCCCAAGAGACAAACTTGCTTCCTGTCATGTTTTGTTAATGAATGTGTTCTCTGTTTTCTGTATCTCATGGTCACTTTCTCATTGTTTGTGTGGTATGTTAACAGGAGGCCTTCTTTGGGAAGGAGCTGCTGGACAAGAGCAAGCAGAGCAAGCAGAGCAGGCAGGCGAGCCTGGTGACCACAGGGTTCTGTGAGGAGAACTCAGGGGCCCATGCAGGGAGCAAACCCCCCAACGCCAGCTTCCTGGACCCCTCCTCAGGGGCCCATGCAGGGAGCAAACCCCCCAACGCCAGCTTCCTGGACCCCTCCTCAGACCCGCTGCTCAGCGCTACCTCGACCACCACACCCATCAGCAAAGCAGGAGGACTACGTATGTTCACATCTCTCTTGCTCCTTATTTTAGATGAACACTTTCTCGAGCTGTCACTTTCTCTGTCTTACACACACACACACACACACCGACGCATTCACACACACAGACACAGAGAGGTTTGTCCTCAAGAGGTGAGCTGTCATGTTGAATCTCCTAAAAGTACATTGTATTCTACATGCAGAGAAAATTTGTTTCTCCAATATGTTTTTTTGCTTTCTCTAAATCAACCCAGTCTCAATGACATCTTTCTAACAAACCTGAGCAGAATGGAAAAAAGTGGCCTTGTATTAGTTTGGGTACCACCACCCACCCCCCCTCCTCCTCTTCTAGATGAACAGTAGTATTTCCCTTATGTTTTCCGGGAAGTGTATTGTTAAAGGTTGGAAGTTACCGTGGTTTCTTACACCATCCCCCATCAACATTCATCCTGTCTGCTCATCTTAAGTTCTCTTCTCCACGTCCACAATCATTTACACTCTTCTCCAACACGCTATGAAAAGTGCTGCAAGTTGCCTACTAGGAACACGCATAGCGACAAGAACACACTGGAGACTAGCAAAAGGAAGAGCTAGATTAACAACAGGTTCTTTTTTCAGATTTCCATTTGCGTTAGCAGAGCGTTTGGTTTTCTACATTGTTTTCAATAGACTTATTCACTTTCATAGCGAAACAGCCAGAGTTGTTAATCTCTAGTACAGGGGTCTCCAACACGTAAATTGCGAGCTACCAGTAGCGCGCAGCCCACCTATGAGTAGCTCGCCAATGTATTCTGAAAGAAAGTACATGCGTTTTTGTCATGTGTTCCATTGCAAACTGTCATAAAAATAAAGCTACTTTATAATCCCACCCCTGGGATAAAAAAAAAAGCCAAACGTAACACAATATCTGCCAATTCATTTCCTGCAATTATTGCCCGTCTGTCTGCTTGGTGCGCACGTTAGTCTATTAGCGATGCTAATGATAACCGCCATTTTGTGGGTAGACAGAAAGACTTTCCCCATAAAACTTCTCAATGAAATGTAAACTGCAAAGTAGGCTTACCTGACAGAACTAGGCTATATCATGATTATTTGTATCAATTGGGTGGCCATTGTTTTGCAAACTGTGCCATGACATGTTCTGCAGCAGTAGGCCTAACAGCAGAAACATGGCTAGACCGACACATTCCTCTCTTGCTAGATGCGCAATTAAAGGGGAATTATGCAAAATATACAAATATAAAAAATTGCAAAAAGCTATTTCAGACCTAAAAAAAGGTATTCTGAGGTTTAAGCATTGACATGGACTCAACATCCATTTTCCTTGTTTCTCTATGAATAATTGGTATATTGAGAGTAAAAAACTGAAACAAATCCAAAACCAGGAAAAATAAAACTGAGAAAACAGAACTAGGGAAATACAAAATTAAACGGTTTATTAACCATTATATTGACAGAAAACACATCTCTTGTACACCAAGGACCCGGGGAAGAGTTGCAGGGTAGAAGAAAAGAATGTGCCTATTTGAAAGCTATAAAAAAAATGAGTAGCTCGCGACATGTTACATTTTTTAAAAGTAGCTCTCATGCCTGAAAAGGTTGAAGAACCCTGCTTTTAGTATCATTCAGAATGCAATTTGCCCCCACATTTGTCCACTCTGCTAAATTCCCTCTCTGGTCATTTGTAGCAGAGGGAAGCACACTAATCACTTGGAAGATTTGCTTGTTTTGAAGACATTCACCAGCTTTTAGTTTGAATATGATCCTTGGACAGTGTTAGTTCTCTTAGATATTAAGGAAACCATATACTGTACGCCTATATACAGTGCATTTGGAAAGTATTCAGACCCCTTGACTTTTTCCACATTTTGTTATGTTACAGCCTTATTCCAAAATTGATTAAATTGTTTTTTTACCTGATCAATCTGCACACAATACCCCATAATGACAAAGCAAAAACAGGTTTCTAGACATTTCTGCTAATTAAAAAAGAAAAAACAAACAAACAATGAAATTACATTTACATAAGTATTCAGACCCTTTACTCAGTACTTTGTTGAAGCACCTTTTGCAGCGATTACAGCCTTGAGTCTTGTTGGGTATGACACTACAAGCTTGGCACACCTGTATTTGGGGAATTTCTCCCATTCTTCTCTGCAGATCCTCTCAAACTCTGTCAGGTTGGCTGGAGAGCGTGGCTGCACTTCTATTTTCAAGTCTTTCCAGAGATGTTTGATCGGGTGTTAAGTCCGGGCTCTGGCTGGGCCACTGAAGGACATTCAGAGACTTGTCCCGAAGCCACTCCTGCGTTGTCTTGACTTGACTGTGTGTTTAGGGTCGTTGTCCTGCGGAGATGGTTATCCTTCTGGAAGGCTCTCCCATCTCCACAGAGGAACTCTGGAGTTCTGTCAGTGCCATAGGGTTCTTGGTCACCTCCCTGACCAAGGCCCTTCTCCCCCGATTGCTCAGTTTGGCTGGGCGGCCAGCTCTAGGAAATGACTTGGTTCCAAACTTTTTCCATTTAGGAATGATGGAGGCCACTGTGTTCTTGGGGACCTTCAATACTGCAGACATTTTTTGGTACCCATCCCCAGATCTGTGCTTCGACACAATCCTATCTCTGAGCTCTACGGACAATTCCTTCGACCTCATGGCTTGGTTTTTGCACTGACATGCACTGTCAACTGTGGGACCTTATATATCGGTGTGTGTCCAATCAATTGAATGTACAACAGGTGGACTCCAATCAAGTTGTTGAAACATCTCAAGGATAATCAATGGAAACAGGATGCACCTGAGCTCAATTTCGAGTCTCATAGCAAAAGGTCTGAATACTTAAAAGGTATTTCGGTTGTTTATTTTTAATAAATGTGTCATTATGGGGTATTGTGTGTGTATTTATGAAGAAAACATTTAATTTAATCAGTTTTAGAATAAGGCTGTATGTAACGTAACAAAATGTGGAAAAAGTCAAGGGGTCTGAACTTTCCGAATGCATTCGTAAAGTATTCATACCCCTTCACTTTTTCAAAATTTTGTTAAATTACAGCCTTATTCTAAAATGGATTAAGTTCATTTTTCCCCCTCATCAATCTACACACAATTCCCCATAATGACAAAGCCACTCATGGTCGTTTATATAATCTATATCTCCCTTAGGGGACCTTTCGGAAGCCCTGAGCACGGATGCAGATCTCCTGGGAATGCTGTCGGGTGATCTGGTGAAGACGGGGCATGACTCAGGTAGACCACTCCCCTCCTCCAAAATATCAGCCTGCACTTCTTGTCTCCTCTGCCCACTAAACCACACTGTCACTAGCAAGGTCAACGCCATAAACAAACACCTGTGGCATTTCTCTGTTGCATCTTTACTTATGATTTGGCATTTTCCTTCACTTGTATTGTATTGCACATTGAATAATACTCTTTGTTTGCAGTGCCTCCTCTAGCCAACCCTTCTGTCTGTGTGCATTATTTTTGGTTTGCTTTCGAACAGTTTACTTGAAAGGCCTGTCTTGATGCCTGCATATTTGAAAGACAACCAATACTATTCAAACCCATGTCTGTGCTAGGACTTGTCATGATAGTTGTTGATATTATGTCACTACTATGATGAGATGGTGTACCATCACATTGGGCCGCTTCAAGTAAAGTGGTAGCAATAACATTAGCATTTTATCACACCTGCTTTTCTCCCCCTCAGTTTATAATCATCTGGTTTTGGGTTCCTGTAGGTCTTGATTTATGCCCTTTCCAGGTCGACAGCCCTCCCTCTCCGTTTGGTAAGAGAAGTCCTCGGGCCCGTCTGGCCGCTTAGGAGTAGAGCTGCCCCCCCCCCTCCACTTCTCCCACTCCTGGGCTGCTTTGGCCCCCCCCTCTAACACTTTCTACGCTCACTGCGTTTGCATGTCCTTCCTTCTCTCTTGATCTGTGGTCTGCGCACCCCACTCCTCTCTCACGCTGTAGCACTGAACAGTCTCTTTGACTAACTACTGCAGTATTACTAACCACGCACCAATCGGCATGTCGATTGACCAATCTATGGACTGTTCAGTGATATTGGGTGAAAAAAGGAATAGAGGTGAAAGCGATGAGCTGTCCTTGAATGTTTCTTTTTTAATACAAATGTCATATTTTTTATGTCATTCAGTTGGTTTCATTTGATATGTTTTAGTGTTTACTATCTCTTCACCCCAGCTGAGTTTAAGTTGTGTGGGTTAAAAAGTGAGCTTCCTCTAGTCATACAATGTAACAAAGTTTGAACTGAATGACTCCACGTGTCTCACAGTTCAGGCATTCCATGGAGCAGTTACCTGAGTAGCAAAGAGTATCTTATTTATCGAGCCTTCCTTTTTTCTCTGTCGCCTTGAGTCTGCTTTGTTTCACAAACAATGTATTTTATCTATCCAGTTTTGCAGTATTGTATAGGGATTTCTTTTTCATTTTCCACCCTTCTATTTGTCAGAGAGATAGTTTTTTCTTAAATAATGTGTCTTACGAGAACGCCTGAATGCCCTGAAGCAGATGACTAGTTTTATCAAAACAAATATAACTTTAGCCTTTATTCATTTATTTCAGCCCATATGCAGTATCTGCAGTCTCCATGCATCTGTTCCCATATATCCAGTTCATTTAAGGTCACAAGCAAAGTAGCTTTTTCCAACAACAAAAAACATGGCAAACTAGTCGAGCGTGCGCCACAGTAAAATGTGCGTGGACCTCAGACCCTCTCTGATGTTGAAGACAGCGGTTATGATGATTCATCATTGCAATCTCCCAGAACTTTTTTCATCGATTTAAGCCCTTGTTTATTCTAATGTGGGCAGGATCGGAACTGATGATGAGGGTAGTGTGGCAATTTTTTAAGACACCCACCCCCATCCCCCTTTCCACACTGTCGAGCAGGCAACACAAATTAATTTATTGCTATTCTTGGAAAATGTAGTTAGGGGAAGACGAGGAAGAAAATGCATGGAGAGCTTATTTTACCACCATGACATGAAGGATCAGCGCTCTCTCGCCTCGCTTCAACTCCTCTCTCTCTCCTCGCTACCTCCCTCTCTCTCTCTCTCTCTTTCTTTCTTTCTTTCTTTCTTTTATTTAGTTTTTTTTTCTTCTCCTCCTCTCCCATTACTCAGACACAGTTCTAAAATAAATTGCCCGTCAACTCTGATTTACTCTTTGGTGGTGTGACAGCTTTCAGGTTTTATTTTTTGGTTGGGGGGTGGGAGGCAAGTGGGTTGATTTTTAACATAACAGTGGACTGTGTGGGTGTGTCTGTGTGACCACCCTGTCCTCACCATCCTTTTGTCCTCTTCTGCCATCCCCTAGCTGGTCTGGACATGGCCCCCATCCCTGATGATCCCATTGGGCCCTGTCAGGGCTCTACAGGCCGGGGGCCCAGTGCTCTACAGGAGGAGCCTCTGGATGTCATCCTGAGCCCAGAACTGGACAAGATGGTCGCAGATGGTAAGGCGGCCATGTTGAATTCTGACTGTCTACCGGATATGCTGCTTAATAGGTGTCATTGGTGAAGAGCAGAGGTTTAAATCTCCAGGGCTTCAGTGTCTGTTTTCTCCTCCCACTAACTGATCTATTGATGTATAATTGGCCAGAGAGTTGCACACCACCTGGTTTCCTAGGTCTACATCAGTACATGGATTCAGGGTCGGTTTCCTAGACGCAGGTTAAGCCTAGTCCTGGACTAAAGCATTAGCAGAGAACAATCTCCATTGAAAGCGCTTTTTTTAGCCAGAGCTAGGCTTAATCTGTGTCTGCGAAACTGCCCCGAAAAGGCAAGAATGAAAAATAAGTATTTCTTCCTAGAGTTCCGTACCTCTGTTGCGTATGCGCTGTACAGTATCCACCACATGGAACAACTGTGGTGTATTTAGAAGGCATGGTGGTCAAATCAAATGCCACATTACAAAATCATGGAAAGTTAAGTAAATAATGTTTGCTCAGTTTAACTGACATTCCAGCAAAGTTAAGATTTGACAAATAGGTAGGTCTACCCTATTTCCTTGACAGAGATTTATCCGCCCAACTTGTTCACAGTGTGTTATAACTGCTTAGTGGCTTTCTAGCTCTGTCAAAAGCAACGTTTGGCCTTACACATTGACACAACCAAAGCCATGCTGGTTTTAGTTGCGGTTGATGTGTATTCCTGAGACCTGCAATTTGTTTTGATTATATTTTTGTTTGATCCCTGGTATTTGTTCTTTACTGGCATGCTTGGTTCAATCAAACTAGCACTGTGGATTAAGTTTTTGTGTGTATATATATATACAGTTGGGAAAAAAAGTATTTAGTCAGCCACCAATTGTGCAAGTTCTCCCACTTAAAAAGATGAGAGAGGCCTGTAATTTTCATCATAGGTACACGTCAACTATGACAGACAAAATGAGATTATTTTTCTCCAGAAAATCACATTGTAGGATTTTTAATGAATTTATTTGCAAATTATGATGGAAAATAAGTATTTGGTCAATAACAAAAGTTTCTCAATACATTTACATTTACATTTTAGTCATTTAGCAGACGCTCTTATACTTTGTTATATACCCTTTGTTGGTAATGACACAGGTCAAACGTTTTCTGTAAGTCTTCACAAGGTTTTCACACAATGTTGCTGGTATTTTGGCCCATTCCTCCATGCAGATCTCCTCTAGAGCAGTGATGTTTTGGGGCTGTCGCTGGGCAACACGGACTTTCAACTCCCTCCAAAGATTTTCTATGGGGTTGAGATCTGGAGACTGGCTAGGCCACTCCAGGACCTTGAAATGCTTCTTACGAAGCCACTCCTTCGTTGCCCGGGCGGTGTGTTTGGGATCATTGTCATGCTGAAAGACCCAGCCACGTTTCATCTTCAATGCCCTTGCTGATGGAAGGAGGTTTTCACTCAAAATCTCACGATACATGGCCCCATTCATTCTTTCCTTTACACGGATCAGTCGTCCTGGTCCCTTTGCAGAAAAACAGCCCCAAAGCATGATGTTTCCACCCCCATGCTTCACAGTAGTTATGGTGTTCTGTGGATGCAACTCAGCATTCTTTGTCCTCCAAACACGACGAGTTGAGTTTTTTACCAAAAAGTTCTATTTTGGTTTCATCTGACCATATGACATTCTCCCAATCCTCTTCTGGATCATCCAAATGCACTCTAGCAAACTTCAGACGGGCCTGGACATGTACTGGCTTAAGCAGGGGGACACGTCTGGTACTGCAGGATTTGAGTCCCTGGCGGCGTAGTGTGTTACTGATGGTAGGCTTTGTTACTTTGGTTCCAGCTCTCTGCAGGTCATTCACTAGGTCCCCCCGTGTGGTTCTGGGATTTTTGCTCACCGTTCTTGTGATCATTTTGACCCCACGGGGTGAGATCTTGCGTGGAGCCCCAGATCGAGGGAGATTATCAGTGGTCTTGTATGTCTTCCATTTCCTAATAATTGCTCCCACAGTTGATTTCTTCAAACCAAGCTGCTTACCTATTGCAGATTCAGTCTTCCCAGCCTGGTGCAGGTCTACAATTTTGTTTCTGGTGTCCTTTGACAGCTCTTTGGTCTTGGCCATAGTGGAGTTTGGAGTGTGACTGTTTGAGGTTGTGGACAGGTGTCTTTTATACTGATAACAAGTTCAAACAGGTGCCATTAATACAGGTAACGAGTGGAGGACAGAGGAGCCTCTTAAAGAAGAAGTTACAGGTCTGTGAGAGCCAGAAATCTTGCTTGTTTGTAGGTGACCAAATACTTATTTTCCACCATAATTTGCAAATAAATTCATTAAAAATGAAAATTACAGGCCTCTCTCATCTTTTTAAGTGGGAGAACTTGCACAATTGGTGGCTGACTAAATACTTTTTTCCCCCCACTGTATATATATATAACATTGCAGCAATGTAATAAGCATTTCTTTGTCTTTTTCAGGTGCAATTCTCAGTAAACTCTACAAAATCCCAGGTTTGTGATTTTGATATTAATCTTTTCAGGCCCATTGAGGCCCAACCTTGATTGTTCTTCTGAGAGTTGTTCATTCATTTGTCAGAGATGATCAGTTCTATATAATTGAATGATAACTGTTTGGTGGTTTAAAGTATGTGCGTTCACATAATCTATTTTGTTGCCATCACCCCCTACAGAGCTGGAGGGGAAGGATGTGGAGGACCTCTTCACAGCGGTCCTGAGTCCCAGCACCAGCCAGCCTCCACAGCTGTCTCACCCCCAACTGGGCCACCCTGGGCCCAATGGACCTGGAGCCATGGCTCTTCCAAACACAGGTACCTACCACCACCACCACCCCAAGCCTCTTGGAGAATTGTATTTGGTCACTGAAAATGTTAATATAATCTACTATTGACTGTAAAGATCTGTGTATATGAATGAATAACCATGGGCATTTATTAATCATTGAGGAGCACGTATATTTATATGCATTTCATGTTCACGTAATCAACAGGACATGTGGATGTACACTGAGTATACCAAACATTAGGAACACCTTCCTAATATTGAGTTGCACCCCCCCTCCCCTTTGCCCTCAGAACAGCCTCAATTTGTCAGAGCATGGACTCTACAAGGTGTCAAAAGCGTTCCACAGGGATGCTGGCCCATGTTGACTCCAATGCTTCCCACAGTTGTCAAGTTGGCTGGATGTCCTTTGGGTGGTGGACTGTTGAGCGTGAAAAACCCAGCAGCGTTACAGTTCTTGACACAAACCGGTGCACCTGGCACTTATTACCATACCTTGTTCAAAGACACTTCAATGTTTTGTCTTGCCCATTTCACCCTCTGAATGGCACACATGCACAATCCATGTCTCAATTGATTCAAGGCTTAAAAATATTTATTTAACCTGTCTCCACCCCTTCATCTACACTGACTGAAGTGGATTTAACAAGTGACATCAATTAGGGATCATAGCTTTCACCTGGTCATTCTGTCATGGAAAGAGCAGGTGTTCTTAATGTTTTGTATACTCAATGTATGTATGGAACTACTTATCTGACATTGTATCTATGCTCTCTCTTGCAGGTGACGGTGGGATGTTCCCCCGCATGCCAATTATAAACGGCATGATGGGGCCCAACCCCCATTTTCCTCCAACTCCCATGATGCCCGGCGGCACAAGCCCCTGTGGCCCGGGCAACTTCTCACCCATCCACAGAATGCCTTTCCCAGAGAATATGAGGTAAGAGCTGGCATAGCAGGAAGCTGTTGTACCCCACCGGCGTATTACTAGAGTATTGCTTTCATCTTTAAGACAACTGCTGGAAGGCAATCAGTTGGCTGCGTTTTTATTTTTTGACTTACCTATTGAGTTTTCTTGACTATGTTTTCTTCCATTGTTTTGACTTCATTGTAGTTCGCTTTAATTTATTTAAATGTTTTAATAAATCAATTTTTTTTTTTTATACTAAAGCCCAAACTACATTTGCTTCTAGGTCAACCACATTGTAAGTGACATACAAAGTGCAAACATAATGATAATGTGCCTCTAGAATGCCCTTCAAGCCGAGTATCCAACAATGCAATGGTATAAGTCAATATAATGTGTAACCAGAGGGCTCCTTCTAGGGACAAGAAGTTTAGCCAGATGGGGGGTGACATAGTGGTTCCATGGAGCACCCCTGGCCCCGTCCCCCCTCCGGAGGGAGAGACAGACACTATGTCCAACGCACAGAGGAGCACGCTCAAGTGGGAGAAGGAGGAGACTCTGGGCGAGATGGCCACTGTGGCCCCAGTCCTTTACACCAACGTCAACTTCCCCAACCTCCTAGAGGAGTTCCCAGGTCGGTACAGAATTTTTGGTTCTTTAAAATTCTAAAGTGTGAATTATTTTTTTAATTATTAAAAATAAAATAGCTCAGAAGTTGTCACACCCATTAAAAGGTTGAATATTGGGAAAACGAGTCTGGAAAAGGTACTCTACTTGGCCTTATTGCATGTGTGTCCTAGAGCTATACGTTTTAGCTCGTCTTTTTTCTATACAGACTGGGCTATGAGAGTGAAACAGATCGCAAAATTATGGAGGAAAGCCAGTTCCCAGGACAGGGCCCCATATGTGGTAAGTTTGTTTACGTCCATGCTGGGCCATGATGCACTGCACTTATTTTAATCAGCAGTTGGTTTTCCTGATTGCTGAAGAGACGTTTGTATAAACCTCTAGACAAAATCCATACATTGAAGTAGTATTGAAGAAATAAGGCAAATCTTTTCCAAAACTTCCAACGAAAACAGAGCCCTAGTCCCAATCAAAAATTATTTATTTCTACTTCACCAGAACAACATTGTTATTGACTTAATCCACAAACCTGATTTGAGATTTTGATTGAATGGGGCCCTATACTTATTGGACTGATGAATGAAAGGAAAGCAGCCAATCACTGACGAAATGTTCAAGTTTGAACTAACTTGTAAGCTCGAGGCCATTAGGGAGAAGGACGGTATTTGTTTTCTGATGGCATTATAATCCCAAGAGCTCTCTCTCTCTCTCTCTCTGTCCCTTCTCTCATCTTCGTTCTGTTTAAATGTTGTGTCTTGTAAGTTTTCCAACTTTACAGATAGTCATTTGAGGGGTTTTCAGGACAGTTAGATTTTCTCCATGATGACATTACATTCAACAATACTCTGCATGTCAATTTATTGGGGGGAATGAGATGGTTTCTTTACCTTGTATTTTTCCCCCAAGACATTCAGAAAAAAATTAAATAATAATTATTATATATATATATATATATATATATATATATATATACTACCGGTCAAAAGTTTTAGAACTCCTACTCATTCAAGGGATTTTCATTTATTTTTACTATTTTCTACATTGTAGAATAATAGTGAAGACATCAAAACTATGAAATAACACATATGGCATCATGTAGTAACCAAAAAAGTGTTAAACAAATCAAAATATATTTTATATTTGAGATTCTTCAAATAGCCACCCTTTGCCTTGATGACAGCTTTGCACACTCTTGGCATTCTCTCAACCAGCTTCACCTGGAATGCTTTTCCAACAGTCTTGAAGGAGTTCCCACATATGCTGAGCACTTGTTGGCTGCTTTTCCTTCACTCTGCGGTCCAACTCATCCCAAACCATCTCAATTGGGTTGAGGTCGGGGGATTGTGGAGGCCAGGTCATCTGATGCAGCACTCCATCACTGTCCTTCTTGGTCAAATAGCCCTTACACAGCCTGGAGGTGTGTTGTGTTATTTGAAAAACAAATGATAGTCCCACTAAGCGCAAACCAGATTGGATGGCGTATCGCTGCAGAATGCTGTGGTAGCCATGCTGGTTAAGTGTGCCTTGAATTCTAAATACATCACCGACAGTGTCACCAGCAAAGCACCATCACACCTCCTCCTCCACGGTGGGAACCACACATGCAGAGATAATCCGTTCATCTACTCTGGTCCTCTGTAGCTCAGCTGGTAGAGCACGGCGCTTGTAACGCCAGGGTAGTGGGTTCGATCCCCGGGACCACCCATACGTATAAAATGTATGCACACATGACTGTAAGTCGCTTTGGATAAAAGCGTCTGCTAAATGGCATATTATTATTATATTATTACAAAGACACGGCATTTGGAACCAATAATCTCACATTTGGACTCACCAGACCAAGGACAGATTTCCACCGGTCTAATGTCCATTGCTCGTGTTTCTTGGCCCAGGCAAGTCTCTTCTTCTTATTTGTGTCCTTTAGTAGTGGTTTCTTTGCAGCAATTTCACCATGAAGGCCTGATTCATGCAGTCTCCTCTGAACAGTTGATGTTGAGATGTGTCTGTTACTTGAACTCTGTGAAGCATTTATTTGGGCTGCAATCTGAGGTGCAGTTAACTCTAATGAACTTATCATCTGCAGCAGAGGTAGCTCTGGGTCTTCCATTCCTGTGGCGGTCCTCATGAGAGCCAATTTCATCATAGCGCTTGATGGGTTTTGCGACTGCACATGAAGAAATTATCAAAGTTCTTGAAATGTTCTGTATTGACTGACCTTCATGTCTTAAAGTAATGATGGACTGTCGTTTCTCTTTGCTTATTTGAGCTGTTCTTGCCATAATATGGACTTGGTCTTTTACCAAATAGGGCTATCCTCTGTAAACCCCCCCTACCTTGTGAAAACACAACTGATTGGCTCAAACGCATTAAGAAGGAAAGAAATTCCCCCAAATTAGCTTTTAAGAAGGCACACCTGTTAATTGAAATGCATTCCAGGTGACTACCTCATGAAGCTGGTTGACAGAATGCCAATTGTGTGCAAAGCTGTCATCAAGGCAAAGGGTGGCTACTTTGAAGAATCTCAAATATAAAATATGTTTAGATTTGTTTAACACTTTTTTGGTTACTACATGATTCCATATGTGTTATTTCATAGTTTAGATGTCTTCACTATTATTCTACAATGTAGAAAATAGTAAAAAATTAAGAAAAACCCTGGAATGAGTAGGTGTCCAAGCTTTTGACTGGTACTGTGTGTGTGTATATGTGTGTGTGTGTGTGTGTGTATATATATATATGTTTGTGTATATACAGTGGGGAGAACAAGTATTTGATACACTGCCGATTTTGCAGCTTTTCCTACTTACAAAAAATGTAGAGGTCTGTACTTTTTATCATAGGTACACTTCAACTGTGAGAGACGGAATCTAAAACAAAAATCCAGAAAATCACATTGTATGATTTTTAAGTAATTCATTTGCATTTTATTGCATGACATAAGTATTTGATCACCTACCAACCAGTAAGAATTCCGGCTCTCACAGACCTGTTAGTTTTTCTTTAAGAAGCCCTCCTGTTCTCCACTCATTACCTGTATTAACTGCACCTGTTTGAACTCGTTACCTGTATAAAAGACACCTGTCCACACACTCAATCAAACAGACTCCAACCTCTCCACAATGGCCAAGACCAGAGAGCTGTGTAAGGACATCAGGGATAAAATTGTAGACCTGCACAAGGCTGGGATGGGCTACAGGACAATAGGCAAGCAACTTGGTGAGAAGGCAACAACTGTTGGCGCAATTATTAGAAAATGGAAGAAGGTCAAGATGATGGTCAATCACCCTCGGTCTGGGGCTCCACTCCATGCAAGATCTTACCTCGTGGGGCATCAATGATCATGAGGAAGGTGAGGGATCAGCCCAGAACTACACGGCAGGACCTGGTCAATGACCTGAAGAGAGCTAGGACCACAGTCTCAAAGAAAACCATTCGTAAAACACACTACGCCGTCATGGATTAAAATCCTGCAGCGCACGCAAGGTCCCCCTGCTCAAGCCAGCGCATGTCCAGGCCCGTCTGAAGTTTGCCAATGACCATCTGGATGATCCAGAGGAGGAATGGGAGAAGGTCATGTGGTCTGATGAGACAAAAATAGAGCTTTTTGGTCTAAACTCCACTCGCCGTGTTTGGAGGAAGAAGAAGGATGAGTACAACCCCAAGAACACCATCCCAACTGTGAAGCATGGAGGTGGAAACAACATTCTTTGGGGATGCTTTTCTGCAAAGGGGACAGGACGACTGCACCATATTGAGGGGAGGATGGATGGGGCCATGTATCGCGAGATCTTGGCCAACAACCACCTTCCCTCAGTAAGAGCATTGAAGATAGGTCGTGGCTTGGTCTTCCAGCATGTCAATGACCCGAAACACACAGCTAGGGCAACTAAGGAGTGGCTCCGTAAGAAGCATCTCAAGGTCCTAGAGTGGCCTAGCCAGTCTCCAGACCTGAACCCAATAGAAAATCTTTAGAGGGAGCTGAAAGTCCGTATTGCCCAGCGACAGCCCCGAAACCTGAAGGATCTGGAGAAGGTATGGAGGAGTGGGCCAAAATCCCTGCTGCAGTGTGTGCAAACCTGGTCAAGACCTACAGGAAACTTATGATCTCTGTAATTGCAAACAAAGGTTTCTGTACCAAATATTAAGTTCTGCTTTTCTGATGTATCAAATACGTATGTCATGCAATGAAATGCAAATTAATTACTTAAAAATCATACAATGTGATTTTCTGGATTTTTGTTTTAGATTCTGTCTCTCACAGTTGAAGTGTACCTATGATAAAAATGACAGACCTCTACATGCTTTGTAAGTAGGAAAACCTGCAAAATCGGCAGTGTATCAAATACTTGTTCTCCCCACTGTATATAGGCGTGTATGTATGTATGTGTGTGTGTGTGTGTGTATATATATATATAAATAAAGGGAACACTAAAATAACACATCCTAGATCTGAATGAATGAAATAATCTTATTAAATACTTTTTTCTTTACATAGTTGAATGTGCTGACAACAAAATCACACAAAAATTATCAATGGAAATCAAATTTATCAACCCATGGAGGTCTGGATTTGGAGTCACCCTCAAAATTAAATTAAAGTGGAAAACCACACTACAGGCTGATCCAACTTTGATGTAATGTCCTTAAAACAAGTCAAAATTAGGCTCAGTAGTGTGTGTGGCCTCCACAAGGCTGTATGACCTCCCTACAACGCCTGGGCATGCTCCTGATGAGGTGGCGGATGGTCTCCTGAGGGATCTCCTCCCAGACCTGGACTAAAGCATCCGCCAACTCCTGGACAGTCTGTGGTGCAATGTGGCGTTGGTGGATGGAGCGAGACATGATGTCCCAGATGTGCTCAATTGGATTCAGGTCTGGGGAACGGGCAGGCCAGTCCATAGCATCAATGCCTTCCTCTTGCAGGAACTGTTGACACACTCCAGCCACGAGGTCTAACATTGTCTTGCATTAGGAGGAACCCAGGGCCAACCGCACCAGCATATGGTCTCACAAGGGGTCTGAGGATCTCATCTCGGTACCTAAAGGCAGTCAGGCTACCTCTGGCGAGCACATGGAGGGCTGTGCGGCCCCCCAAAGAAATGCCACCCCACACCATGACTGACCCACCGCCAAACCGGTCATGCTGGAGGATGTTGCAGGCAGCAGAACGTTCTCCACGGCGTCTCCAGACTCTGTCACGTCTGTCACATGTGCTCAGTGTGAACCTGCTTTCATCTGTGAAGAGCACAGGGCGCCAGTGGCGAATTTGCCAATCTTGGTGTTCTCTGGCAAATGCCAAACGTCCTGCACAGTGTTGGGCTGTAAGCGCAACCCCCACCTGTGGACGTCGGGCCCTCATACCACCCTCATTGAGTTTGTTTCTGACCGTTTGAGCAGACACATGCACATTTGTGGCCTGCTGGAGGTCATTTTGCAGGGCTCTGGCAGTGCTCCTCCTGCTCCTCCTTGCACAAAGGCGGAGGTAGCAGTCCTGCTGCTGGGTTGTTGCCCTCCTACGGCCTCCTCCACGTCTCCTGATGTACTGGCCTGTCTCCTGGTAGCGCCTCCATGCTCTGGACACTACGCTGACAGGCACAGCAAACCTTCTTGCCACTGCTCGCATTGATGTGCCATCCTGGATGAGCTGCACTACCTGAGCCACTTGTGTGGGTTGTAGACTCCGTCTCATGCTACCACTAGAGTGAAAGCACCGCCAGCATTCAAAAGTGACCAAAACATCAGCCAGGAAGCATAGGAACTGAGAACTGGTTTGTGGTCACCACATGCAAAACCAGTCCTTTATTGGGGGTGTCTTGCTAATTGCCTATAATTTCCACCTGTTGTCTATTCCATTTGCACAACAGCATGTGACATTTATTGTCAGTCAGTGTTGCTTCCTAAGTGGACAGTTTGATTTCACAGAAGTGTGATTGACTTGGAGTTACATTGTGTTGTTTAAGTGTTCCCTTTATTTTTTTGAGCAGTGTGTGTATGTATATATATATGTATATATATACACATACCGTGGGGAGAACAAGTATTTGATACACTGCTGATTTTGAAGGTTTTCCTACTTTCAAAGCATATAGAGGTATGTAATTTTTATCATAGGTACACTTCAACTGTGAGAGACGGAATCTAAAACAAAAATCCAGAAAATCACATTGTTTAATTTGCATTTTATTGCATGATATAAGTATTTGATACATCAGAAAAGCAGAACTTAATATTTGGTACAGAAACCTTTGTTTGCAATTACAGAGATCATACGTTTCCTGTAGGTCTTGACCAGGTTTGCACACACTGCAGCAGGGATTTTGGCCCACTCCTCCATACAGACCTTCTCCAGATCCTTCAGGTTTCGGGGCTGTCGCTGGGCAATACAGACTTTCAGCTCCCTCCAAAGATGTTCTATTGGGTTCAGGTCTGGAGACTGGCTAGGCCACTCCAGGACCTTGAGATGCTTCTTACGGAGCCACGCCTTAGTTGCCCTGGCTGTGTGTTTCGGGTCGTTGTCATGCTGGAAGACCCAGCCACGACCCATCTTCAATGCTCTTACTGAGGGAAGGAGGTTGTTGGCCAAGATCTCGCGATACATGGCCCCATCCATCCTCCCCTCAATACGGTGCAGTCGTCCTGTCCCCTTTGCAGAAAATCATCCCCAAAGAATGATGTTTCCACCTCCATGCTTCACGGTTGGGATGGTGTTCTTGGGGTTGTACTCATCCTTCTTCTTCCTCCAAACACGGCGAGTGGAGTTTAGACCAAAAAGCTCTATTTTTGTCTCATCAGACCACATGACCTTCTCCCATTCCTCCTCTGGATCATCCAGATGGTCATTGGCAAACTTCAGACGGGCCTGGACATGCGCTGGCTTGAGCAGGGGGACCTTGCGTGCGCTGCAGGATTTTAATCCATGACGGCGTAGTATGTTACTAATGGTTTTCTTTGAGACTGTGATCCCAGCTCTCTTCAGGTCATTGACCAGGTCCTGCCGTGTAGTTCTGGGCAGATCCCTCACCTTCCTCATGATCATTGATGCCCCATGAGGTGAGATCTTGCATGGAGCCCCAGAGCGAGGGTGATTGACCGTCATCTTGAACGTCTTCCATTTTCTAATAATTGCACCAACAGTTGTTGCCTTCTCACCAAGCTGCTTGCCTATTGTCCTGTAGCCCATCCCAGCCTTGTGCAGGTCTACAATTTTATCCCTGATGTCCTTACACAGCTCTCTGGTCTTGGCCATTGTGGAGAGGTTGGAGTCTGTTTGATTGAGTGTGTGGACAGGTGTCTTTTATACAGGTAACGAGTTCAAGCAGGTGCAGTTAATACAGGCAATGAGTGGAGAACAGGAGGGCTTCTTAAAGAAAAACTAACAGGTCTGTGAGAGCCGGAATTCTTACTGGTTGGTAGCTGATCATATACTTATGTCATGCAATAAAATGCAAATTAATTACTTAAAAATCATACAATGTGATTTTCTGAAATTACAGACCTCTACATGCTTTGTAAGTAGGAAAACCTGCAAAATCGGCAGTGTATCAAATACTTGTTCTCCCCACTGTATATATATATGTGTGTGTGTGTGTGTGTGTGTGTGTGTGTGTGTGTGTGTGTGTGTGTGTGTGTGTGTGTGTATATATGTGTATATATGTATGAGTTTTTAAACCACTCCACACATTTCTTGTTAACAAACTATAGTTTTGGCAAGTCGGTTAGGTCATCTACTTTGTGCATGACACAAGTAATTTTCCAACAATTGTTTACAGACAGATTATTTCACTTATATAATTAACTGTATCACAATTCCAGTGGGTCAGAAGTTTACATACACAAAGTTGACTGTGCCTTTAAACAGCTTGGAAAATTCCAGAAAATGATGTCATGGCTTTAGATGCTTCTGATAGGCTAATTGACATCATTTGAATCAATTGGAGGCGTACCTGTGGATGTATTTCAAGGTTTACCTTCAAACTCAGTGCCTCTTTGCTTGACATCATGGGAAAATGTAAAGAAATCAGCCAAGACCTTAGAAAATAATTGTAGACCTCCACAAGTCTGGTTCATCATTGGGAGCATTTTCCAAACGCCTGAAGGTACCACGGTCATCTGTACAAACAATAGTACGCAAGTATAAACACTATGGGCCCACGCAGCCATCATACCGCTCAGGAAGGAGACGCGTTCTGTCTCCTAGAGATGAACGTACTTTGGTGCGAAAAGTGCAAATCAATCCCGGAACTACAGCAAAGGACCTTGTGAAGATGCTGGAGGAAAGAGGTACAAAAGTATCTATATCCACAGTAAAATGAGTCCTATATCGACATAACCTGAAAGGCTGCTCAGCAAGGAAGAAGACACTGCTCCAAAACCGCCATAAAAAAGCTACGGTTTGCAACTGCACATGGGGATAAAGATCTTACTTTTTGGAGAAATGTCCTCTGGTCTGATGAAACAAAAATAGAACTGTTTGGCCATAATGACCATTGTTATTTTTGGAGGAAAAAGGGGGCTTCTTGCAAGCCGAAGAACACCATCCCAACCGTGAAGCACGGGGGTGGCAGCATCATGCTGTGGGGGTGCTTTGCTGCAGGAGGGACTGGTGCACTTCACAAAATAGATGGCATCATGAGGAAGGAATTTGATGTGGATAAAACAACATCTCAAGACATCAGTCAGGAAGTTAAAGCTTGGTCGAAAATAGGTCTTCCAAATGGACAATGACCCCAAGCATACCTCCAAAGTTGTGGCAAAATGGCTTAAGGACAAGAAAGTCAAGATATTGGAGTGGCCATCACAAAGCCCTGACCTCAATCCTATAGAAAATGTGTGGGCAGAACTGAAAAAGCGTGTGCGATCAAGGAGGCCTACAAACCTGACCTCAGTTACACCAGCTCTGTCAGGAGGAATTGGCCAAAATTCACCAAACTTATTGTGGGAAGCTTGTGGAAGGCTACCCGAAATGTTTGACCCAAGTTAAACAATTTAAAGGCAATGCTACCAAATGCTAATTTAGCGTATGTAAACTTCTGACCCACTGGGAATGTGATTTTAAAAAATAAAAGCTGAAATATATAATTCTCTCTACTATTATTCTGACATTTCACATTCTTAAAATAAAGTGGTGATCCTAACTGACCTAAGACAGGGAATTTTGAAAAACTGAGTTTAAATGTATTTGGCTAAGGTGTATGTAAACTTCCAACTTCAACTGTATATGTATGTATGTATGTTTATATGTATGTGTGTATATATATATATATATATATATATATATATATATATATATATATATATATATATATATATATATATATATATGCACACAGTGGGGAAAAAAAGTTTTTAGTCAGCCACCAATTGTGCAAGTTCTCCCACGTAAAAAGATGAGAGAGGCCTGTAATTTTCATCATAGGTACACGTCAACTATGACAGACAAATTTAGAAAAAAAAATCCAGAAAATCACATTGTAGGATTTTTAATGAATTTATTAGCAAATTATGGTGGAAAATAAGTATTTGGTCACCTACAAATAAGCAAGATTTCTGGCTCTCACAGAGCTGTAACTTCTTCTTTAAGAGGCTCCTCTGTCCTCTACTCGTTACCTGTATTAATGGCACCTGTTTGAACTTGTTATCAGTATAAAAGACACCTGTCCACAACCTCAAACAGTCACACTCCAAACTCCACTATGGCCAAGACCAAAGAGCTGTCAAAGGACACCAGAAACAAAATTGTAGACCTGCACCAGGCTGGGAAGACTGAATCTGCAATAGGTAAGCAGCTTGGTTTGAAAAAATCAACTGTGGGAGCAATTATTAGGAAATGGAAGACATACAAGACCACTGATAATCTCCCTCGATCTGGGGCTCCACGCAAGATCTCACCCCGTGGGGTCAAAATGATCACAAGAACGGTGAGCAAAAATCCCAGAACCACACGGGGGGACCTAGTGAATGACCTGCAGAGAGCTGGGACCAAAGTAACAAAGCCTACCATCAGTAACACACTACGCCGCCAGGGACTCAAATCCTGCAGTGCCAGACGTGTCCCCCTGCTTAAGCCAGTACATGTCCAGGCCCGTCTGAAGTTTGCTAGAGTGCATTTGGATGATCCAGAAGAGGATTGGGAGAATGTCATATGGTCAGATGAAACCAAAATAGAACTTTTTGGTAAAAACTCAACTCGTTGTGTTTGGAGGACAAAGAATGCTGAGTTGCATCCAAAGAACACCATACCTACTGTGAAGCATGTGGGTGGAAACATCATGCTTTGGGGCTGTTTTTCTGCAAAGGGACCAGGACGACTGATCCGTGTAAAGGAAAGAATGAATGGGGCCATGTATCGTGAGATTTTGAGTGAAAATCTCCTTCCATCAGCAAGGGCATTGAAGATGAAACGTGGCTGGGTCTTTCAGCATGACAATGATCCCAAACACACCGCCTGGGCAACGAAGGAGTGGCTTTGTAAGAAGTATTTCAAGGTCCTGGAGTGGCCTAGCCAGTCTCCAGATCTCAACCCCATAGAAAACCTTTGGAGGGAGTTGAAAGTCTGTGTTGCCCAGCGACAGCCCCAAAACATCACTGCTCTAGAGGAGATCTGCATGGAGGAATGGGCCAAAATACCAGCAACAGTGTGTGAAAACCTTGTGAAGACTTACAGGAAACGTTTGACCTGTGTCATTGCCAACAAAGGGTATATAACAAAGTATTGAGAAACTTTTGTTATTGACCAAATACTTATTTTCCACCATAATTTGCAAATAAATTCATTACAAATCCTACAATGTGATTTTCTGGAGAAAAAAAAACCTCATTTTGTCTGTCATAGTTGACGTGTACCTATGATGAAAATTACAGGCCTCTCTCATCTTTTTAAGTGGGAGAACTTGCACAATTGGTGGCTGACTAAATACTTTTTTCCCGCACTGTGTGCGTGTGTATATGTGTATATATATGTGTGTATGTATGTATGTAAATGTATGTATGTGTATATATAATATGTATATGTGTGTGTGTGTGTGTGTGTATACACATATATGTATATATACACATATATATATATACACATATATATGTATATATACACATATGTGTATATATATGTGTATATATGTATATATATGTGTGTATATATGCACGTGTATGTATATATATACACGTATATGTGTATATGTATGTATGTATGTAAATGTATGAATATGTATATATGTGTGTGTATATGTATGTGTATATATGTATATATATGCACGTGTATATATATATATATATATATATATATATATACACATATATGTATATATACATACACACAATTGTGTTACAAAACCATCTGTAATAATTAGCTTTATCATTGTTCAATGGGTCAAGTGATTGACCGGTCGAAAAATGACAAAATAGACCCTTTCTTCCAGCAAAAGGCACGCGATAACCGGGCAGCGCTGCGCATTAACAAAGTTCAGATGTCCAACGATACGCTGAAGAGACACCAGAATCCTCACCAGCAGCAGCAGCCGTTGACTGATCCCTTTGACCCCAATAGTGTCCCCATGGACGCTGAGATGCTCTTCAAAGATGCACTCAAGCCCAAGGAGTCTGAGCACGAGCAGGAGTGGAAGTTCAGACAGGTAAGAGTACCTTTAGAGTTAAAGTGTGCTGGAAATGGAGGGAGGGGGGGGCATGAAGCATGGGGGCACTGTAAAGCTGGGTTTCTCAATGACTATTCTAGGAGTTGTTGTCAATTCATTTGGCCTTCATTTCTTTTATGTAAATGTAAATGTTTTTTGTTTAAATTGAGTCTGAGGGTACGAAATTGGATGCATGATTGTGGGGCAATTGCATGTATGCCTTTTAGACAATTAGGAAGTAATTTGTTTAGTTTCTTCCTTGGCAGGCGTTCAGACAGCCAAATGGGATAAGTGGGATTTTATTCCTGCATGTTGAGAAACCCTGGTGTGAGACAGCAGTGTGTGTTTTTTTTGTGTGTACATGTATTTTATGACGCCATAATACACCACCATAACAATCAAAGTATCGCATGTCAGGGGAATTGTGAGTGGGAGCAAGGTGGTGAGATTGAAGATAACAACCTGGGGGCATGAAACCATTTTTTCTATTTAACTTTATATATGTGCATGGTTGAGTGAGTCATTTTTAAACAATACATTTGGCGTTCTCATACAGTCTACTAATTCTTAATTTGCATTGAAAAGGGAGAGTTAAATCAGATGTGGGGACCGCTTAAGAAGCAGCAGGAAAAGGTCCCAAAAAGCAAAGCCATAAAATCAACAAATAAAGACGTCCTTTTTGGACATTCCAACCAGGCAACTATAGCTGCAGGAGGTGGAAAAATGTCTCTGGTAAGATTCCCAAGGCGAGGCACTGTTCTGGTATTCGTCTGCCTAGAACCAATAAAGAAAAATTTACAAGGTGTAAGAAAAGCAAAATGTAAAATGGAGTTGTAGGGAGAAAAGCTTGGTTAACTGGTAAAATCTGTCCTTGGCCCTGAAAAACACAGTAACAGCCTCCAGAAGCTTTTTTTCATGACCATATTACATACACCCTCACATTGTTTCCTCTTGCATGGCTTAACAACACAGGCTAGACCCATTCATATTGAAAAAGCATTAACTTTGTTGTGAGTGAGGGAAAGAGAGCATTCTTAGCACCATGTCATCATAAAATTTCAAATTCAACCCTTTCAAAAAGGCTTCATTCACTGAAGTGCCTCCCCTCCTTCCCTCCCCTGCTTTTCTTGTTTCCATGGCAGCAAATGAGACAAAAGAGCAAGCAGCAGGCGAAGATCGAAGCCACTCAAAAGCTGGAGCAGGTGAAAAATGAGCAGCAACAACTGCAGCAGCAACAGCTGTTTAGCAGTCAGTCATGTGGAGATACAACACCTAATAGTGGCAACCAGAGCCCCATGACGCCTCAGCCCAGCAATGGTGGTAAGTCTGGAAACTCATCCCCTCTGCAGCCAATAGCGTCTGGACCCCAACTCCCAGTCACGCCCACCTCCGAGTCACAGGATGACGTGTTCCTCAGACCACAGCTCCCACCTCCGTCCTCGAGGACGCCCACCCAGGAGAACTCGTACCCCCAGCAGGGACCATCCTCCCAGCCCCAGTCACCACAGATGTTCTCCCCAAGTTCCTCCTCAGGCTCCCGGCCATCCTCGCCTTGGGACCCCTACGCCAAAATGGTGGGCACCCCGAGACCACCCCCTGGGGGTGGCGGATCCACCACGCCCCAGCGGAACTCTTTGTCAAAGATGCAGGAAAGGGGAGGGAGGCCTTCCCCGGCACACGAGTCCTTTGGCTCGCCCACGTCTGGTAATGCTGACCCCTATGCTAAGATGCCAGACACCCCCAGGCCACCTGACCCGTTTGTTAAACCCATGGGACCCGCCAGGGTGGGCCCTTCAGGACTCGTTGAGCAGCAGCAAAAGCAGCAGGTCAGGCACATAATGAGCCCTCCCTCTGGAGGAGAATCATTTTCCAGGATAGGGGGCCACCGAGCTGAGGTCTACCAGCGCATATCTCACAACCGCATGATCCTCTCAGACCCCTACTCCAGGCCTTTGCTCACTCCCATCCCCGGCAGCAACGAGTCGGGCTCCGTGCCGGTGTTCAAAGCCCCCATGCCTCCCCAGCAGTCCCAGCAAGAGCCCTATGGTGGCCCTATGCCTGGGGGACTTGGACGAGGGCCATCTGATGGCTTTCCCCAAGGACCACAGGCCGACCCCTATGCCCAGCAGCCTCTCACCCCCCGTCCGCCCATGGGGGAAGGGTTCCCCAACGAGCTCAGGATGATGCGCCAACCCCAGGAGGGCCATTTCTCTCAACCCATGCCAATGATGAGACACCCTCACAGAAACTCATACGCCCAAGCACCATCTGCCCCGAGGCCAGATAATTCCCAGCAGATGCCTGACCCTTACGCCCAACCGATAGGCACCCCCAGACCTCCCTCTGATGGCTATGCCCAACCTCCCGGCACCCCAAGGCCACACTCAGATCCTTCATACCTGCAGACGCCACCTAGCCTTCATCTAGACCAGTTTCCCCAGCAGCACCCAGCCAATCGCAGACAGTCTCCATCTCACTCCATGGATCCTTATGCCTCCATGCCAGGTACCCCCAGACCAGCCCCAGGGGATAGATTTCCCAAATCCCCCGCTAATCAAAGGAACATGGACCCTTATGCCCAACAACCCGGTACCCCTCGGTCCTCCAATGCCATTCTATACGCACAGCCCCCTGGAACCCCAAGACCGCTCCTCACCGACCCTTATGCCCAAGTTCCAGGGACGCCCCGGCCAGGAGCTGGTCCTGACGCCTTCAATCGACTAGGCTCCAGACCGACGCCCATGTCCCAGCTCCCAGCTGACCCCTTCTCCCACCAGTCTCCAGGCAGGATGCAGGACACGTTTTCCCGTCCAAGTGCCCCAGGCTCTCAGACATCTAAGCACCCGGAAATGTCGGACGAAAGTTTCTCTCTGCCGCATTCGAATCATCACGGTGGTCAAACGCCGATTCACAACCACTTTGAACAGGGTCCAATGACACCTTGTGCTCAAGCTTCAGAAAGGCCAGCCCATGATATTACCCAGTTGAGCAGCAACACTGTTGATGCTCAGAACAGCATGCAGCCACACCTGGGAGACACTGAGGAGAAGCTCAGACAGGTATTTGCATTTAGTAAAGAAGCAATGACACTGCCACATGGATAACACTTGAATTGAAATAAAGCCTTCTTCTGTTTGCATAGTTATTAGCAGGTGATTAGTCATTCCCAAGCCAATATGACAGTGCAACATTAAATAATTGTTGCTTCTCTATAAGTACCCCTAAAATGCTAATGAATGAATAGTTGCATGATGCAAGATTTATTTGTTACTTGCTAATGTGTACCATGCTTGCCCCCCCCCCCCCCCCCCCCCCCCCCCCCCCCGGCAGCGCCAGAGACTGCGCCAGCTGATCCTGAGGCAGCAGCAACAGAAGTCTGCCATCCTGCAAGAGAAAGGACTACGACAGGAAGCTGGTGGTGCCCCCGATGCGGCGACACCCCGTCGCTGGTCACAAGAAGATCCCACCCCACAGAGCGACATGTTTGGCAGACCACCACCCCCTTACCCAGGACCCATCAGGGGCGGTCTCCAAGTTCCTGGGGGTCAAAGGTTCCCTGGTACCTTCCTAGGGGACCAGCGAGGACCCTTCCCCAACGAGGGCCAGTTTGCGATACCCCACTTCCCCAGGGACATGGGCAACATGGGCTTGAGGCCCCAAGGAATGAGGTTAGTCGAGTTTGACAGCATAGGTATACATAAACTCTGGCCCTTGACACTTTTTTTTTAATGCACAAGGCCTTTACCACATTTAAATGCAGCTGTATATTTGTATAATGCTACACATTGGTGGTGGATGAGGTGAGTTTCCCCCTACTATGTAAAGCGCTTTGAGTACCTCAGTTGGTAGAAAGGCGCTATATAAATCCAATCAAATCCAATACATTATAATTGTTTTAAAGAATATGTTGCTCCTCTTGAAACGATTCAATTAATGAAAATATGTTAAACATGCATTGTGGAATGAAGTGGCATTTTTGAAGTGCTACTCACTGTGTAATCTTCCTTATTTGTGTGTAGGGAGCAATCATCAGCAATCAGTGACATTGTGTTCTGCCTTGTTCATGGATTAGCATTTGCCAATGTGGTTTTCATCTTTTCTTCTCTCAGGTTTGGATTTCCCCCCGGCCATGAGCAACATTTCCTCAGGCCCCCTCATCAGATGCCCGGCGGGCCCATGGTCAATAACATTCCAACCCAGATGCGACGGTCCCTCTCTGTGGACTTTTCCGGGGGGGGCATGGAGGGCATGGGGGGCAACCCCCAGATGGGGCTCCCCCAGCACTTCCCCCCGCGGGGCCTTACCGTCCAGCAGCACAATATCATGGGTCAGCCGTTCATTGAGCTCCGCCACAGGGCCCCTGAGAACAGGATGATGATGCCCTTTGGGCATGGACCTCCCAACGTCATGGACCCCTCCAACCAACTCCAGAGACCACCCCAGTGCTTCATGGTTGGCCAGGAGATGGGCTTCGCCGGGAACCAGGGACCAAGAATGATGGATCCCATGATGGGCAGACCTTCCCAGGGATCGGTCGGCCACATGCAGATCTTGGCTAGTATGGAGAACCTGCACCAGCAGCAGACTGAAGTGCAAGTGACCACTGGGCAGCAACAGCATCCTCCACTGAATAGGTCACTCAGCCACCCTGTCACTAGTGAGTCACTCAATGCAGAGCCATCTGGTATGCTCTTGCCTGGGTCTAGCACCAGTCAAGCGGAGGAGACTCAGATACCCAGTGGAGACGGAATCGACGAAAACTTGGACGCTGACGACTCTGCAGTGAAGGACCTCGAAGACGTGGAGGTCAAAGACCTGGTCGACCTGAACCTGAACCTCGACCCGGATGATGGTAAAGACCTGGACCTGGGACCCAACGACCTGCACCTCGACGACTTCCTCATGTCGGGGAAGTTTGACCTCATCGCCTACACGGACCCCGAGTTCAACCTGGAGGACAAGAAAGACATGTTCAGTGAAGAAGATCTGGACCTGGGTGACCCCATGGAGGACCACCAACAGGGAGAGACCTCGGACCTCCAGAAAGCCCTGTCGCAGAAGAGGAACACCAGCGGAGACTGCACAGCCACCTCGTCCCAATCCGTAGGGAAATCCGACAATGTTCAAGCGCACGGCCAAATCAGACTGGAGGCCAACAAATCGAAAGAGACCTTGGACATAGTCAAAACAGAAGAGCCGATCAAAACGGAGGTCAAAGATGGACACATGCAAAACCAGGACCAGCCACCCTGCAGTGGCCAGATTAATTACAACAGAACCATGACTAACCAAGAGGGCACAGGGCTGTATGAGCAACCTGGACAGACTGGCTCGGCTCCGGTCCTCTCCAGCCTTCTGGTCAAAGAGAAACTGGAAGACACTGGGTTAGGCCCAAACGGCTCTCCTCATCAAGGGAACATAGCTGCCCAGCCGAACCAGGCCACTGGGCTACACCCAAACACAGGCATGCTGATGCTATCTAAGCAACATGCCCAAGACAACAACAGGCTCAATCCCAGTGTGGCTATGGGACATCGGGTGAACCCTGCGTTGGTTCAGAGTAGGCTTTCAATGGGAAACCCAAACCACATCCTAGTGGGAAACCACAGCTTCGGGGCGTCAGCCAACCAGCAGGTGGAGCTAAACCTAGCCATGGTGGGAGCCGGTCAGCAGCCCATTGCCCATGGCCTGAACCCCCAGGGCCAGCAGGGCTCCTCGCTAGAGCAGGCCGGCCCACAGAACAGGCCTCTGCTGCTGGATGAGCAGCCCCTCCTACTGCAGGACCTGCTGGACCAGGAGAGGCAGGAGCAGCAGCAGCAGAGGCAGATGCAGGCCATGATCCGACAGCACTCCAGTGACTCCTTCCCCAACATAAGTAAGGGTAATGAGCTTCAGATAGACATGTGATTGCTGTTTTGGTGATCCGTTTAATTTAGTCACACACATTACCCCTCTACATTTATTATTATTAGTTATTTCCAGAGTGTATTCAGAACAGTCCTCTGGGGGTTTTGCAGTCATTTTGCATGATCATCCTTTTTGGTAGATATGTGGAAAATGAAGCCATTTTCGTTTGAGACAAATGCTTTTTTTTTAAAAGATTTCGAGGGCAAAAAAAGAACTTTGCATTCCCCACATGTAAATTGAGGAACAGAATGTTGGACATAATATTTCTTGACAAGAGACACTTTTGGGAGTCTTACTTCACCAGCGTTCCATCCATAATTTAGACGTGGCACTCGTGAGGGATGGATTCTTTAAAAATGGCTTAAAAAGAGGTCAAACCTTAAAGGATAAGTTACTTTTTACAACCAAATCTCAATTGTTGATGTAAATGGCATGTTATAGAAGGGTCCAGACACCTTTTTTGTGATTTCACTTGTTTTTGAGAAACGTATCCCAAACAGCAAATCACTTCCTCGTCTTCGTTGAATACTATGGGGGCCCTGAAAAACATGAACCAAGGCTCCAAGAACTCCCAAATACTACAAAGCTCTCAGTATATTGAAACAGGTCTTTAGATGTCGTACACATGAAATTGTCATTTCGAACTTTATGCATAACATTATATTCAATTTTGTTGCGACTCGAGCAATATCTCGCCGTCCATTCTACAAGTAACTGCCAAAATAAAGGAAACACTTGAGTAAATGAGAGCTACAAAGTATATTGAAAGCATGGGGTGCTTCCACACAGGAAGTTACAGACAGTTGTAGAATCTATGCCAAGGCGCATTGATTGAAGCTGTTCTGGCGGCTCGTGGTGGCCAAACACCCTATTAATATACTTTGTTGGTGTTTCCTTTACTTTATGTTGGTGTTTCCTTTACTGTCAGTTACCTGTAGCAGCAGGCTACACTGAGAATGGAACAGCTGGATAGGGGAAACGTCTGGAGTCGCACAAAAGGGAATATAACGTTGCATTTAAAGTTCAGAATGACACAATTTATCTAAAGACCTGCATCACTACACTGAGAGCTTTGCCGTTTCTAAAAAATATATATTTTTGGAGCCTTTGTTCGTGGTTTTTCAGGGCCCCCATACTACACAACGAGGATAAGGAAATGTGCTGTTTGGGGTAAGTTAATCAAAAACAAGTGAAATCACAAAAAAGGTGTCTGGCCCCTTCTATAACATGCCATTTACATCAGAGATTTGGTTGTAAAAAAAGAACGCCTTTTAAAAGGAGGTCAAACCTTAAAAGGAAGTCAACTACAATTAAGTGGATTTGTCAAAAGATTACTGACTTTTTTGTTTTTGTTTTCTTCTTTAGCAGACTTTGATGCCATCACAGACCCGATCATGAAGGCTAAGATGGTGGCCCTGAAGGGAATTAATAAAGTCATGGCTCAGAACAGCATGGGAATGCCCTCAATAGTCATGAACAGGTAAGGCAAAAGCTTCCCCAATGCTAGCTTTGAGTGTTCGTGCTAGGTAATGTTATTTAATTGAAAGGGTAAAACATGATTTAATGTTCCCTAAACCAATCTCATTGTCTTTGTGGCAGAGTTCAGCAGACGCCAGGAGCCCATGGACCAGATACTGTTGCCACTCTGCCTCAACGTGTGCTTGGACAGGTAAGCATCGTGAATCAACCACTATCTGTCTATCAGACTGTCATATGTTTCATATATTATGCTAGGAAAAAAAGGCCCCATTTATCATTTGTTAATTGTCTTCGCAGGACGGGAAGTTGGCTCCACAGATGGCGAGACCGAACCCCCCAAATTTTGGACCTGGATTTGTCAGTGAGTGGACAACCCAAAGTTTTTCAATTTGCATTTGATTATGACATCCTCATTCACTTTAACCAAATTATTAATCATAGACCCATTTGGTCTCTTCAGTATTTAATTTGTTGACCACCATATCCAATCCAGGGTCTATTCGATTTCACCTATATGTCTTTTGGATTTATGTATACATCCAAAGTAAAAATGGCACCTAACCCATTCTTGTCTCACGTCTCTCAGACGACCGCAAGAGGAAGCAGTACGAGGAGTGGCTCCAGGAGACCCAACAGCTCCTGCAGATGCAGCAGAAGTTTCTGGAAGACCAGATTGGGGCCCACAGGAAATCCAAGAAGGCCCTGTCAGCCAAACAGAGGACGGCCAAGAAGGCTGGCCGTGAGTTCCCTAAGGAGGACGTCGAGCAGCTGAAGCATGTGACAGAGCAGCAGAGTGTGGTGCAGAAACAGTTGGAGCAGGTAGCTAACTAAATGTAGCAGGGTTCTTTGCTGGCATTTCATGTTGAGGTTTTTGAAAATATTCAGATCTTGGATTTGAGTTATTTCTTTAGTCTCTTGATTCTACATCTTTACATGGCATTATCTGTAACATGATTGGAAATCATGAGTGCTTAAATAATGTAAAGATGCAAGGTTGTACATGCTGTCATCTGTACAGAGCTGTCATGAGGTGGAAAAGAGAAGGATCTCATCTTAAGCCACCTGAATCATTTTTTTATTTGATTTATTAGGATCCGAATTAGCCGACACCAATGGCGACAGCTAGTCTTATTGGGGTTCGACACATAACAAAAAAGACATTACAGACAAAATACTTTAAAATGTACATACATTTAAAAACATGAACATGTAGTGTGTGCGTGTGTGCATCTATCAGTTACACAAACAGTGCATTCGGAAAGTAGACAGATCCCTTGACTTTTTCCACATTTTGTTACATTATAGCCTTATTCTAAAATGGATAAAATATTTTTTCCCCCTCATCAATCTACACACAATACCCCATAATGACAAAGCGAAAACAGGTTTTTAGAAATGTTTGGCAAATGTATATAAAAAAAAAAAAACATATACCTTATTTAACTTAAGTATTCAGACCCTTTGCTATGAGACTCGAAATTTAGCTCAGGTGCATCGTGTTTCTATTGATCAACCTTGAGATGTTTCTACAATTTGATTGGAGTCCACCTGTTGTAAATTCAATCGATTGGACATGATTTGGAAAGGCACACACCTGTCTGTTTAAGGTCCCACAGGTGACAATGCATGTCAGAGCAAAAAAAAGCCATAGGTCGAAGGAATTGTCCGTAGAGCTCCGAGACAGAATTGTGTCGAGGCACAGATCTGGGGAAGGGTACCAAAACATTTCTGCAGCGTTGAAGGCCCCCAAGAACACAGTGGCCTCCATCATTCTTAAATGGAATGAAGTTTGGAACCACCAAGACTGTTCCTAGAGCTGGCCACCCGGCCAAACTGAGCAATCAGGGGAGAAGGGCCTTGGTCAGGGAGGTGAACAAGAACCCGATGGCCACTGACAGAGCTCCAGAGTTCCTCTGTGGAGATGGGAGAACCTTCCAGACGGACAACCATCTCTGCAGCACTCCACCAATCAGGCTTTTCTGGTAGAGTTGCCAGACGGAAGCCACTCCTCAGTAAAAGGCACACGACAGCCCGCTTGGAGTTTGCCAAAAGGCACCTAAAGGACTCTGACCATGAGACACAAAATTATCTGCTCTGATGAAACCAAGATTGAACTCTTTGACCTGGCACCATCCCTACGGTGAAGCATGGTGGTGGCAGCATCATGCTGTGGGGATGTTTTTCAGCGGCAGGGACTGGGAGACTAGTCAGGATCGAGGGAAAGATGAACGGATCAGAGTACAGATAGATGCTTGATGAAAACCTGCTCCAGAGCACTCATGACCTCAGACTGGGGTGAAGGTTCACCTTCCAACAGGACAACGGCCCTAAGCACACAACAAGACAACGCATTAGTGGCTTCGGGACAAGTCTCTGAATGTCCTTCAGTGGCCCAGCCAGAGCCCGGACTTGAACCCAATAGAACATCTCTGGAGAGACCTGAAAATAGCTGTGCAGCGACGCTCCCTATCTAACCTGACAGAGCTTGAGGAGGATCTGCAGAGAAGAATGGGAGAAACTCCCCAAATACAGGTGTGACAAGCTTGTAGCGTCATACACAAGAAGACTCAAGGCTGTAATCGCTGCCGAAGGTGCTTCAACAAAGTACTGAGTAAAGGGTCTGAATACTTATGTAAATGTGATATATTTCAGTTTTTAATTTAACACATTTGCAAAAAAAATTTGCTTTGTCATGATGGTGTATTGTGTGTAGATTGAGATTTTTTTATTTGATCCATTTTAGAATAAGGCACTAACGTAACAAAATGTGGAGAAAGTCAAGGTGTCTGAATACTTTCCGAATGCACTGTAAACACAATCCATGTCTCAATTGTCTCAAGGCTTACAAATCTTTCTTTAACCTGTCTCCTCCCCTTCATCTACACTGACTGAAGTGGATTTAACAAGTGAGATCAATACAGGGATCATAGCTTTCACCTGGATCCACCTGGTCAGTCTATGGCATGGAACGAGCAAGTGTTCTTAATGTTCTGTATACTCAGTGTACTGTATATGCCAACATTGCACAACAATGCCTAATTTATCATAACCATTGCAGATAAAGAATCCTAATTGCTAAATAGCCTCATATACAGTACCAGTCAAAGGTTTGGACACACCTACTCATTCAAGCAGAGGTAACAGAGTAGGTGTGTCCAAACTTTTGACTGGTACTGTATATTCAGTCAATAAAAAAACAAGAATGTAATTCATTTTAGAATAAGGCTGTAACGTGACAAAATGTGGAAAAAGTCAAGGGGTCAGTACATACACACAACAAGTAGGTCACATGGGGGAGAGGCTTGTGCCGTGAGGTGTTGCTTTATTAGTTTTTTTAAACCAGGTTTGCTGTTCACTTGCGCTATATGAGATGGAAGGGAGTTCCATGCACTCATGGCTCTGTATAATAGTGTACGTTTCCTTGAATTTGTTCTGGACCTGGGGACTGTGAAAAGACCCCTGGTGGCAAATCTGGTGGGGTAAGTGTGTGTGTGTCAGTGCTGTTTGTAAGATGACTATGCAAACAATTTGGAATTTCCCACACATTAATGTTTCTTATTAAAACAAGAAGTGACGCCGTCAGTCTTTCCTCAACTCTTAGGCAAGAGAGACTGGCATGCATAGTATTAATATTAGCCCTCTGATTAGTGAAGAGCAAGACGTGCCACTCTGTTCTGGGCCAGCTGCAGCTTAACAAAGTCTTTCTTTGCAGCACTTGACCATATGACTGGACAATAATCAAGATAAGATAACTAGAGCCTGCATTACTTGCTTTGTAAATAGATTCTTTCAATCTTTGAGGGCTTAATTTAGGGTTTACCTCGGGCCTTTTGGTCTTCAGCTCCCACATCCCTTTGAATTCCATCTTATAGATCTTATAGATTGTCTCTTGAAGTTAAACACTTGATGTCGGCTCAGTTATCAACTCTTTGCTTTGTATTCCTGTCCCCTCAGAAATGTGATTACAGTGGGGGAAAAAAGTATTTAGTCAGCCACCAATTGTGCAAGTTCTCCCACTTAAAAAGATGAGAGGCCTGTAATTTTCATCATAGGTACACGTCAACTATGACAGACAAAATGAGAAAAAAAAATCCAGAAAATCACATTGTAGGATTTTTAATGAATTTATTTGCAAATTATGGTGGAAAATAAGTCTTTGGTCAATAACAAAAGTTTCTCAATACTTTGTTATATACCCTTTGTTGGCAATGACACAGGTCAAATGTTTTCTGTAAGTCTTCACAAGGTTTTCACACACTGTTGCTGGTATTTTGGCCCATTCCTCCATGCAGATCTCCTCTAGAGCAGTGATGTTTTGGGGCTGTCGCTGGGCAACACGGACTTTCAACTCCCTCCAAAGATTTTCTATGGGGTTGAGATCTGGAGACTGGCTAGGCCACTCCAGGACCTTGAAATGCTTCTTACGAAGCCACTCCTTCGTTGCCCGGGCGGTGTGTTTGGGATCATTGTCATGCTGAAAGACCCAGCCACGTTTCATCTTCAATGCCCTTGCTGATGGAAGGAGGTTTTCACTCAAAATCTCACGATACATGGCCCCATTCATTCTTTCCTTTACACGGATCAGTCGTCCTGGTCCCTTTGCAGAAAAACAGCCCCAAAGCATGATGTTTCCACCCCATGCTTCACAGTAGGTATGGTGTTCTTTGGATGCAACTCAGCATTCTTTGTCCTCCAAACACGACGAGTTGAGTTTTTACCAAAAAGTTCTATTTTGGTTTCATCTGACCATATGACATTCTCCCAATCCTCTTCTGGATCATCCAAATGCACTCTAGCAAACTTCAGACGGGCCTGGACATGTACTGGCTTAAGCAGGGGGACACGTCTCGCACTGCAGGATTTGAGTCCCTGGCGGCGTAGTGTGTTACTGATGGTAGGCTTTGTTACTTTGGTCCCAGCTCTCTGCAGGTCATTCACTAGGTCCCCCCGTGTGGTTCTGGGATTTTTGCTCACCGTTCTTGTGATCATTTTGACCCCACGGGATGAGATCTTGCGTGGAGCCCCAGATCGAGGGAGATTATCAGTGGTCTTGTATGTCTTCCATTTCCTAATAATTGCTCCCACAGTTGATTTCTTCAAACTAAGCTGCTTACCTATTGCAGATTCAGTCTTCCAGCCTGGTGCAGGTCTACAATTTTGTTTCTGGTGTCCTTTGACAGCTCTTTGGTCTTGGCCATAGTGGAGTTTGGAGTGTCTGTTTGAGGTTGTGGACAGGTGCCTTTTATACTGATAACAAGTTCAAACAGGTGCCATTAATACAGGTAACGAGTGGAGGACAGAGGAGCCTCTTAAAGAAGTTACAGGTCTGTGAGAGCCAGAAATATTGCTTGTTTGTAGGTGACCAAATACTTATTTTCCACCATAATTTGCAAATTAATTAATTAAAAATCCTACAATGTGATTTTCTGGATTTTTTTTCCCTCAACTTGTCTGTCATAGTTGACGTGTACCTATGATGAAAATTACAGGCCTCTCTCATCTTTTTAAGTGGGAGAACTTGCACAATTGGTGGCTGACTAAATACTTTTTTTCCCCATCCTCCTCAGCAACACACACAGCACACAAAGCTTGATTGCTGAAATACAATTGCTACTTTTAAAGAACTGTTTGGTTTCTTGAGAATCAAGGGAAACATTAAGCCCGAAAACAAACCTTTTGACCTTTTCTTAGCTAATTATTTCCAACTTCCGTGACCTTTTCACTGTGGCGAGGCGCGAGACAGAACCACCACTGGAGAACTAAGGCATGATTTATTCTGTGACGTTAACACACATCCTCCACTCTCAGTCAATATTTTCACAAGGCTTTTTTAACAAGAGGTTTTACTATATTCTATATATGTTATGATTATGCTATTTACCTTGTATTTACTTGGTAATGGTTCAATCTGATTTTATTGTGGATTAATGGAAACAGTTACTGTATCAATATGCATTATCCCGTTCCAGGTAGTTGCCAATTTTATGGAGGTATTTTGAATAAGTAACAGAAAATAGCATTTGATCACACTGTTCTTTCTGTGATTGCCAGATAAATACCAGTTCTAATTGGATTGTATAGCAAAGCAGTGCCTAAAAATGTCTCTCAATACTGTCTTGCACTGTGAAGAATTGGGTGGGAGAACCTTCAGTCTGCTCACAATTCTCTATCCTTTCTTTTTCCCCTTTTGTGTTATTGCTCTCTGGTAGATTCGGAAACAGCAGAAAGACCATGCAGAGCTGATAGAGGAGTACCGTGTCAAGCAGCAGCAGCAACAACAACAGCCAAGTCTCCAGGCTCCTATGATGCCAGGGATGCCACCCATGACAGGGATGCTAGCTCAAGCAGCCCCTATGATGCTCAGGGGACCCCCTTTGGGCCAGCCCATGATGGGGCCCATGATGACAATGCAGACCCACCCCGGCCAGCCTAACCTTGCCTGCATGCCCAACATGCCGGGCTGGCACCCCGGGGGAGCCCCAGGACCGATGGGAGACCCGGGTCCAAAAATTCCAGCTCAGATGCCCCCTGCCAGCCCTGCCCAGCTGCCCCAGCCCCAGTTACCACCCCAGGTCCAACTACCACCCCAGCCTCAGCCACCACCCTCAATGGTGCCTGGAGTAAAAGCCACACCTGCAGGCAAAGGAGCAGGAGCCCAGGGAGCCAGCGGAGGTAACGGTGGTGGTGGCGGCAATAGCCTCGCTGTGAAATTTGATGACAACAACCCATTCAGCGAGGGCTTCCAGGAGCGCGAAAGGCGGGACCGCCTAAGGGAGCAGCAGGAGAGACAGCGGGTTCAGCTGATGCAGGAAGTGGACAGGCACCGGGCCATGCAGCAGCGGCTGGAGATGGAGCAGCAAGGCCTGGGTCCTGGTCCCGCTGGGCTCCCACTCGGCTCCGGAGCTACTAACCCCGGTGGGGATAGCCTGGCCCACATGCCATTCTACAATACTGATCTGCCCCAAGACTTCATGCAGCCCTCTAGGCCTCAACAACAACAAGCACCACTACATCAGGGGCAGCTAGGTCCCATGTACCCCCAACAGGGCAACGGGGCCTTCATGCCAGGGGGCGAGCGCAGGCCTATGCCCGGGACTGGGGCTTTTGGTGGTCCCGAGATGGGTCCCAATTTCCGTCCCAAAAACCCCATGCTGCAGGGGCTCAACTTCCCCTCGGGACAGCCCCGTCCTGCCGGATTCAGAGGCCTTGGGATGAAGCCCCAGGGTGGGGGCGGAGGCGAGGGACAGGGACCACTGTTCGGAATGAACTCATCCACCCCCCTGCCTCCCAACTACCCCGGCTCAGGCCAATCCTTGATCCAGCTCTACTCCAACATCATCCCAGAGGAGAAGGTGAAGAAGAAGAGGAACAGGAAGAAGAAGAGAGACTCTGTCGACGACGCAGACTCGGTCAAGACACCATCCACTCCCCACTCGGACCTCTGCTCCCCGCTGACGCCCTCCCGCGTGTCTGACACCTCATCCACCCGGAGCCTCAGCATTCCCGGAGAGCAGGATCTGTCCGATCTTTTCCTCCCAGTGGGGTCCTCGGGTTTGGCCCCTTCTTCGGAACTGGAGAGGCAGCTCTCAGGCAGCAGCTTAGCCCAGGGTGGCTGCTCCAGCATGGGCTCAGAGAATGACCGGGCCTCCCTGTTTGACGAAACCCTCCAAATCAAGCTGGAGAGGATAGAGACTGAGTGCAGAGGGGCCGCGGCGGCCAACGAGGGGTCTGGCTTGGGGCACGTTCCCCGAGCCGTCGGGACAGTAAAGGTGGAGGAGGGAAGCGAGGGGGGGCTCTCTTCGCCCCTCCACGGCGCAAAAGGTGGCGACACAGGGAACAAGCTGCTTATGCACCTGTTGAAGAACAAGAGCACGCCCAATGCCAACCAGACCCCTCCCACACAGCAGATGTCCTGTGACAAACTGCGCTCAGAGCAGGAGGCATCATCAGACCGCAAAGCCACCGCCAGGCCGGCATCCACCGCCAACAACATGGTGAGAAGGGAAAGACCACAGACACTATAGTATAGCATAGGTTACTGCATGTTCTATCTGAAATCGAAATATTTGGGTACAAAATTGGCTAAGCAATTGCTATACAGTACTACATTCCTAATGAAAACCGTTTGTGTGTATAATAGTAGCTCACCAACCTTGTCTCGTTGTAATTTCCCAGACTCCCCGACGCAGTCTGCTGACAGGAAGCATAGAGCTAGAACCCTCGGTGCTGGAGCAGGGCAAGAGGAAGCAGCAACGCAACAAACGGACGCCCAAAAACGGGGCGGAGAAACCACCATCGTGCTACAAGAGGAGGAAGAAGGAGGAAGAGGAGAGGCAGATTGGTTATTCCAGTACTGACGCTCTGATGACCCAGCTCAAACAGGTACAGGTCATAGTAGTCAGCCACCAAACAGTGTTGAATGTGCTGATTAGCTATTGTGTGTTGATTGGCTGATTGGTCTGGTCATGTTGCCAGGCACAAAACATAAAACGAGAGTTTTATTTAGTACATATTTCCATATTTTGATCATGTTTTATACATTTGATTGATGGTGTTAAATGTTGCACGTGTGTGGTGCTGCTATGTGCAAATTAGCACTCAGGCTGCTGATTTTGTAGATTAAAGTGTATCTATCTTTCTCTGCAGTTGCTTAGGTACAAATGTGGGTGTTATTTTGCTGTTAGCACACCTCATAAATCACTGTCATCTTAATATGTAATTACTTTAATTTAGGTGGAATTGAATGGTCAGTGGATTTTTAAAGAATCACTCGACATTTGTGAAAGGCATAAACCGAAGATTAAATGGAGAAAAAAATGCATTATTCTTAGTTGACTAATAATAAAATAAATACATTGTATGTCATTCAAATTATGAGGAGAAATACCATGGGTTATCCAGTGGTGAACCTTTCACAGGGGCACAGTAAAATGTTTCCCCAAAAATTCCCAAGCTGCATTTTGTCTAGACCGCCTACGTCTCAACTACACTTTAGATAACCATCTAGGTTAAAATGACTTCAGTTATTACACCCCCCAAAAAAGGTAATTAGTAATAACCGTCAAAAGTTGAAATTCAATTTCTAGAACTAATTTTGATCCTGTTCAGTGCTTACCTCGAAATTTAAGCAGTGAAAAAGCCTTTAAAATACAGTACCACGTACAGCGTCCCATCTGCTCTCACTAACCTTTCTTCCTCTCTTCTCTTCCTCCACGTCCACCATCACAGCAGCTTTCCCTGCTGCCCCTGGTAGAGCCCCTGATGGGGGTCAACTTTGCTCACTTCCCCCCCTTCGGCAGCGGGCAGCTGAACGGGGAGAACAGGCTGTCAGGCTCCTTTGGCAGCGCTTCGCTGGGTGGCGTGTCAGACTACTACTCCCAGCTCATCTACAAGGTGAGATCACTAATGTATGCACATCCATCCCTTTTACAGGTGGAGAGTACAAAAAAGTACATAATAGGGAAAGGAAAATATTTCCTAGAAAATAATGGATAGCCGCACACTGTTGAATGCGTCTGTATACTCTAACACATTTCCCTAGTTGGATCCAGTTACGACGTTGTGTGCTTTGCCATTTTGTAGCAGAACAACTTGAGCAACCCACCCACCCCTCCAGCATCACTCCCTCCCACGCCGCCCCCCATAGCGAGGCAGAAGATGGTCAACGGGTTCGCAACGGCCGAGGAGCTCACCAGGAAAGCTGCAGTCTCAGGTGGCCATGATGGTAAAGTGGGACTCAAAATTGTCTAAATCCTGCTGTGCCTCACTTCTTTGGAGAAGTAATGCTGTAGTAATATTGTAGCTAATATTAAAGAGTGATCTAAAAATGTATTAGATATACAGTGCCTTCGGAAAGTATTCAGACCCATTGACCTTTTCCACATTTTGTTACGTTACAGCCTTATTCTAAAATGGATTATAAAAATAATAATCCTCAGCAATCTACATTTACATTTACATTTACATTTTAGTCATTTAGCAGACGCTCTTATCCAGAGCGACTTACAGGAGCAATTAGGGTTAAGTGCCTTAAGGGCACATCGACAGATTTTTCACCTAGTCGGCTCGGGGATTAGAACCAGCGACCTTTCGGTTACTGGCACAACGCTCTTACCCACTAAGCTACCTGCCGCCCCAGACCAAAGCAATTGGAACTTAAACTGTTACAGTGAATGCATGGAAGGATGTGGGTTTGAGAGTGAAAAGAAACACAGATTTGTTAAAAACAAATTATGAAAATAAAGAGTAAAGCGGAGTGGTTTGTAATATGGCAGATCATATGAAGAAGGTGGACTTGAAGGGAAATGTTGAGAGAAGGGGGAAGTCCTTGAGCTGTCTGTGTGGGCTAGATCACCGGTCCATCATGCTGAGGATCATCTCAGGGGTGAGATCTCCGTTGGACGCAACCTCTGCTACAGGCAGCGCCACCCCTGCACACAATACCCCGTAATCTACACACAATACCCCGTAACGACAAAGCGAAAACAGGTTTTTTGAATTTTTTGCAAATGTATTAAAAATAAAAAACAGAAATACCTTATTTATATAAGTATTCAGGCCCTTTGCTATGAGACTCGAAATTGAGCTCAGGTGCATCCTGTTTCCATTGATCATCCTTGATGTTTCTACAACTTGATTAGAGTCCACCTGTGGTAAATTCAATTGTTTGGACATGATTTGGAAAGGCACACACATGTCTATATAAGGTCCCACAGTTGACAGTGCATATCAGAGCAAAAACCAAGCCATGAGGTCGAAGAATTGTCCGTAGAGCTCCGAGACAGGATTGTGTCGAGGCACAGATCTGGGGAAGGGTACCAAAAAATGTCTGCAGCATTGAAGGTCCCCAAGAACACAGTGGCCTCCATTATTCTTAAATGGAATAAGTTTGGAACCACCAAGACTCTTCCTAGAGCTGGCCGCCCGGCCAAACTGAGCAATCGGGGGAGTAGGGCCTTTGTCAGTGAGGTGACCAAGAACCCGATGGTCACTCAGACAGAGTTCTAGAGTTCCTCTGTGGAGATGGGAGAACCTTCCAGAAGGACAACCATCTCTGCAGCACTCCACCAATCAGGCCATTATGGTAGAGTGGCCAGACAGAAGCCACTCCTCAGTAAAAGGCACATGACAGCCCGCTTGGAGTTTGCCAAAAGGCACCTAAAGACTCTCAAACCATGAGAAACAAGATTATCTGCTCTGATGAAACCAAGATTGAACTCTTTGTGTCATGTCTGGAGGAAACCTGGCACCATCCCTACGGTAAAGCATGGTGGTGGCAGCATCATGCTGTGGGGATGTTTTTCAGCTGCAGGGACTGGGAGACTAGTCAGGATCAAGGCAAAGATGAATGGAGCAAAGTACAGAGAGATCCTTGATGAAAACCTGCTCCAGACTGGGGCGAAGGTTCACCTTCCAACAGGACAATGACCCTAAGCACACAGCCAAGACAACGCAGGAGTGGCTTCATGACAAGTCTCTGAATGTCCTTCAGTGGCCCAGACAGAGAACGGACTTGAACCCGATCGAACATTTCTGGTAAGACCTGAAAATAGCTGTGCAGCAACGCTCCCCATCCAACCTTACAGAGCTTGAGAGGATCTGCAGAGAAGAATGGGAGAAACTCCCCAAATACAGGTGTGCCAAGCTTGTAGCGTCATACCCAAGAAGACTTGAGGCTGTAATCGCTGTCAAAGGTCCTTCAACAAAGTACTGAGTAAAGGGTCTGAAAATGTATGTAAATGTCATATTTCAGGTTTTTATTATTTATAAATTAGCCCAATTTTCTAAACACCTGTTTTTGCTTTGTCATTATGGGGTATTGTGTGTAGATTGATGAGGGAAAAAAACAATTTAATCAATTTTAGAATAAGGCTATAATGTAACAAAATGTGGAAAAAGTCAGTGTCTGAATTCTTTCCAAATGCACTGATTATATTTAATATATCAAAAATCCCTACTGGGATTGCAATGGAAAAATACACATTTCTGAGGTCTGAAAATAAAAGGAACAATAAAGGTTTTATGTCCCTTTCTCTCTATAGTGATCAAAGGTCTGGAAGCCAAGCAGCTGCCTACAGCATTCCGGACAGAGGAAGACCTGCTGGCCCATGTCATCACCCAGGGGCCCAAGACAGTGGATGTACCCGCCTCGCTCCCCACACCACCCCATAACAACCAGGAGGAACTCAGGTGAGCCCTTGGAGGACTTGCAAATCCACATTTCAATGGTAGTCAAGATAGTTCCTTCCTGGCTTCTGAGGGAGTAACTGTAATTTTGCATCTGAACGGAGAGTGGAGTATTAAAGACAGACTTATACCCTTCTGAGCCGAGCCAAGCTGTACTGTGCTGGCCTGGTTACATGAAGGAGCCCAGTGGTTGAACTAGTTTCTCTGATTCTGTGTACGTCCCAGGAACCAGGACCATTTTGTGGACAGGGACACCCCTGATAGCTTCGTCCCCTCCTCGTCCCCCGAGAGTGTGGTCAGCATGGAGATCAGCCGCTACCCCGACTTGTCAAATGTCAAGGAGGAGCCCCCCTCTCCTTGCTCCTCCCCTGTCATACCCATGCTGCCTAGCTCCAGCGGGAAAGGTAAGAATCACACATACACTCCTGACTGAACTAGAGCTACAAAAATCCAATCCAATTTTATTAATCACATGCTTCGTAAACAACAGGTGTGGACTAACAGTGAAATGCTTACTTATGGACCCTGACCAACAATGCAGAGAGTAATAAAATAGAGAAATAATAGAAAAGTAAAACACATAATAATTAAAGTAATAATAGATACATATAGAGTAACGATAACTTGGCTATATATACTGAACAAAAATAAACGCAACATGCAACAATGTCAAAGATTTTACCTGCGACAACTCTGGTTGACATTCCTGCAGTCGGCATGCCAATTGCACGCTCCCTCAAAACTTGAGACATCTGTGGCATTGTGTTATGTGACACAACTGTGGCCTTTTATTGTCCCCAGCACAAGGTGCTCCTGTGTAATGATCATGCTTTTTAATCAGCTTCTTGATATGCCACACCTGTCAGGTGGATGGATTATCTTGGCTAAGGAGAAATGCTCACTAACAGGGATGTAAACAAATGTGTGCACAGAATTGGAGAGAAGTAAGCTTTTTGTGCGTATGGAACATTTCTGGGATATTTTATTTCAGCTCATGAAACATGGGACCAACACTTTACATGTTGCGTTTTATATTTTTTGTTCAATATACAAGGGGTACAAGTACCGAGTCAATGTGCAGGGGTACGAGGTATTGAATGGTCCGTGGATACTAGGAATAAAGTGACAGATAGTAAACAGTAGCAGCAGCAGCAGCAGCGCATGTGATGAGTCAATGCAGATAGTCCGGGTGGCCATTTGGTTAACTATTTAACTATTTATCAGTCTTATGGCTTGGTGGCAGAAGTTGTTCAGGGTCCTGTTGGTTCCAGACTTGTTGCATCGGTACCACTTGCGTGCGGTAGCAGAGAGAAAAAATCTATGACTTGGGTATCTGACTATTTTTAGGGCCTTCCTCTGACACCGCCTGGTATAGAGGTCCTAGATGGCAGGGAGCTCGGCCCCAGTGATGTACTGGGCCGTACGCAGTACCCTCTGTAGCGCCTTGCGGTCAGATGCCAAGCAGTTGTCATACCAGGCGGTGATGCAGCCGGTCAAGATGCTCTCAGTGGTGCAGCTGTAGAACTTTTTGAGGATCTGAGAGGCCATCGCAAATTTTTTCAGCCTCCTGAGGTGGAAGAGGTGTTGTCATGCCCTCTTCACGACTGTGTTGGTGTGTTTGGACCATGATAAATCCTTAGTGATGTGGACACCAGGAACTTGAAGCTCTCAACCTGCTCCACTAGAGCCCCGTCGATGTGAATGGGGGCGTGTTCGGCCCTCCGTTTCTTGTAGTACACGATCAGCTCCTTTGTCTTGCTGACTTTGAGGGAGAGGTTGTTGTCCTGGCACCATACTGCCTGGTCTCTGACATCCTCCCTATAGGCTGTCTCATCGCCGTCGGTGATCAGGCCTACCACCGTTGTGTCGTCGGCAAACTTAATGATGGTGTTGGAGTCGTGCGCAGCCACGCGGTAGTGGGTGAACAGGGAATACAGGAGGGGACTAAGCATGCACCCCTGAGGGCCCCCTGTGTTATTTTATAGTTATGTTGAGTCATAAGAAGTTTTGCTTGTTAGCAATACTAATCATTAAGTAGCCATTGTATGGGTAAATATCTTTAATAATAATTCTCAGGCCAGGGTTGTACAAGCATAATTTGTGTTAGTTCCTCTAATATTAGATTGTATGGTTGTTCCCCTCAGGGACTGAGATTAACCAAGAGGTCAAGACTGAACCCTCAAGCTCCTTCTTTGGGTTCGGACAGGCTCCCTCCTGCTCCACAGCTGGCCTGGTATCCATAGCTATCACCTTGAATCCGGACGCAGCGGAGGTGAGTGGTTAAACGCAACTGTAAACAACACATTTTGACTATTATAGTTGATTTGATCTTAGACACATTTTCAGCTAGAGACTAAATGGCAGTAGACATACTGAAAACATACATTTAAATAAACTACTGGGTAACCAAGCCAGACCATATGCAACACATACAAGATAGACAAAATGGGTTGTCTCGCAAAGGTCTGTTGTTGTATTGACCACCACTGGCTATGAACTTATTTGACCTCCCTGACCCTTCCGAACCTGCAGAACATCCCTGGCATGGTGGCTGCGGTGGCCGACCTGCTGTGTGTGAACATCCCCGTTAGCTACGAGGTGAGCCGCGGCCCCGAGCGTAGCTCCCTGGCCCTGCTGGCTGGAGTCCAGGTACCTCAGATCCAGGGCATGGACCCCCACCACGCGGCCATGTTACCCCAGCACCAGCAGCCCTCCACCATGAGGTTCCTGAGACCCCCCAGACCGCCCAACCATCAGCCACCTACCAGCGCTGGTCAGTACACACCAGCAATCAAACTTTAATCTACTGATAGTAACAACTGATAGTGATGGGAGAAATAGGGTTTCTGGCCCACAGAGCTAGTAAAATCATGGTGGAACCATAACTTTAAGTTAAACTATTTCGCAGCAGTCTCTCTTACTCCATTTTAAAGGAAAGATTCAACCTTTCCATTGCGTGAGGATTGGTTGATTTCTAGTTTAAGTATACGTTTTAAGTATAAGCAATTTCAACACTCTTTTTCAGTTTGTACTAGCTATTTTTGTAAATCACTTTTCGCTTAGTAAATTACAGGAAAAGAAGCACTGTCATTAACTGATTTTCCTGTTACTTTCCATAAAAACAATTGTCTGTTTAGAAAAGATTTTGAACAAAGAGCTAGGCATGGAAATACCAGTCTGTGTATGAGCCAGAGCCCTCTGATACTCTGAGGATAGTCCTATCTAGCCTTTATTGATCATGTCTGAGATTTGAAGTAAATGAAATTCTCTAATGATTGGGGAGGATGAACCTGTTAGCTCTCCTGTTAGGTCTTCGGTTCCAGACTTTCAAAGTATAATATGTCAGAGGTCGTCTAATTTTGATTTTGAAGAAGCCCTTTGAAATGACCCCAAAGCAATCGTAGTAGCGCTCTGTTTCATTACCGGTCTTTCACCCAGGTGTTTTTATTGACTAATGGATGTTGAAATGGCATGTTTTGTAGGTTGATACATTTCAGTTGTTTGTGTTTTAGGTACGGCTGCCAGGGGAGACGGGCCTAAACCCCTGTGGTGCTGCCACTGCAAGGTGCTGGTTCTGGGAAATGGAGTCCGCATGTCCACCAAAGACCTACCCTGCAGCAAACGGGTAAGCCCCAGATCAGTTGTTGCTCGACTGAAGCAAGGATTGTTAGTTAATTTGAACACGTTTAATCATTTGAATTGTATAAGACTGAAAGTAATTCCTATTGTATCTACAGTGAACAGTATCAGTTTGGTTGCTGAGGAATGAGATTTATCTGAGCCAAAATGTCCAACAAAAGGAATGAAATAAAGAAAAGCTAAGGCCTGCTTTTATGAACTTATCAACCCCTCCTCTTTGCCTTTGGGATTGACAGTATTTTTTTTTGCGTTATAAAAATGTGTCACCATTTGCTCTTAGTTCCTCCAGGCTCCCTTATGTACCATCCATATAAAGAGCTCAAGAGCTTGAGGTCAAAGTATACTTTGAGGACTTCAAAGTATGCGACCTGCCTCAAGTCCTCCCTTAGGGGGGCATGTAGAAAACGGTTGCCTTATTATGCTAATCCCCGCTCCCTTTGGGGAAGTAACGATCCGCCCCAGAACAATTACCAGGTTGCCCGCCTGACCCCAGAGGGACCACTGCCACGACACACTTACTTATTTACCACGGGATGAGTCGAGATGGCTCGAGTTGAGCAAGCGGGTGGAGTATGTAAATGCAAGGATGTTTAAATCAGGAGTTACCTTTGATGTCTTTCTCCTCCTCCCGCCAGCTCACACACATGCACACACACAATATGCAAATGTCCCGACTCTTTATGGCGTCAACACAAGGTCTGTGGCACAGCAGGCTCTTTGATCCATAGATTCCCATGTGTAGTAATCTTGAGGATCACTTTCAGGAGTGCATATAGGGTAGTAGTTGTTTCTGGACAGTGCCTGACTGCGTGTCTCATGCATGTTCCGGCAGAGTGGCCTTGTCTGTGACCTGGTCATGTTCATTAAGGCAAAACGTTTTGCAACGGAAAACAAAAATTAGCGTTTCTAATTGCACAGGTTGTTAGTACCTGCATGTTTCACTGTTTCAGAGCCGTTTCGTACTTTTTGTACATGATGTTGACTTGTCTCTGCTTTCCACAGGAGAGACCGGACCGGGCGGGGGGCAGCATGGTCTTCTGCAGCCATAACTGTTTCGTCCTCCACGCCACTGCCACACAGTCCAAAGCCACGGACAGTAAGGTGTGTATCTCTAACTGTACTTAACTCTAGTTCTCTTTTGCTCTCTTAGCTTTTTGAGAGAACCTCACTGATACCAGTATGGTATGTAGACAATTTGTACAGTCGTGAAAATCCTGGAAAAGTCCTGGAATGTTTTTAATGGTGTTTTCCAGGTCTGGAAAAGTTTTGGAAAAGTCATGTAAATGAATTTCATAGTTTCTGTTAATGTAATTTATTTAGGCACAGTTTTTAAATATTTCATCAATGGAATAAAAATCGACATATCAGCCAGGATCGGAATGACACTTTAGTGCATCTGTGTTTGCACGCATCACCTGCACCTCCCGAGTGGCGCAGTGGTCTAAGGCCACTAGAGATCCTGGTTCGAATCCAGGCTCTGTCGTAGCCGGCCGCGACCGGAAGACCCATGGGGCAGCGCACAATTGGCCCAGCGTCGTCCAGGGTAGGGGAGGGAATGGCCGGCAGGGATGTAGCTCAGTTGGTAGAGCATGGCGTTTGCAACGCCAGGGTTGTGGGTTCGATTCCCATGGGGGGCCAGTATGAAAAAATAAAAATGATGTATGCACTCACTAACTGTAAGTCGCTCTGGATAAGAGCGTCTGCTAAATGACGTAAATGTAAGACGAGTGGGCCGTTGCTCAAGGAGAGAGAGACAGTCGGGCATTGCATTAGCAGGTAGGCCTAGCCTATAAAATATGATAGAGACAGACTAAAACTAAGGTCGATGTCCGCGCCCCCGCAAAAATCTTATTAGCATAATACAAAAATTAAAGTTTCCTGATCTTTCTTATATCTCAGATATAGGACAGACAGTTCAGAACAAACTTCCTTTAGATTTTGGGGGGGGGACTATCTGTTGTTCCATGTAAAGGAATCTGTTGTTCCATGTAAAGGAATCTGTTGTTCCATGTAAAGGAATCTGCTGTTCCATGTAAAGGAATCGGTTGTTCCATGTAAAGGAATCTGTTGTTCCATGTAAGGGAATCTGCTGTTCCATGCAGTGAATCTGCTGTTCCATGCAGTGAATCTGTTGTTAAATGCTTTTGAATGGGCTAATAGCAGTAATGCCAAAAATAATTTTATCAAATAATTCTTTCCTATTTTTTTGTACTTCAAGGGGTCTTAAAATTCAAAATCAAATAGCAAAATGATCCTTGGTATGACCTTAAAACAATTCCATATAGCTTAGCCCCCCGGCTTAGAAAAAGCTTAGACTCTTATGGGTTAACTGTTTAGCTATTATTAGCATGTAATGTTTTCGTCATGTCCCAAAAAACTTTCCACCGACACTTGCAAATAAGGCCATAAAAACTTTCTTTACTTTTTTGAATGATTCATATGTTTAATTTAACTATTATTTTTGAAAAAATGAATGATTCACTTCGCCATTATTTGGGATTCGTTCAATTGCGGTGAATCTAATAATTTGAATCGAAATCATTTGTGAATTGTGAACAGTAATTTTAGGAAAAAATAGTAGATGTAGCCTTTCTTTTGGATTATGTGGCTTCAAAACTTGTTTATTAGATACTTCTAGTTGATTTGGATGTATGGGACATTGCAACTCAATATATGCTAGTCAGCCTGCAAAGTAAACACTTCTAAGGTAGCTAAGATAAATATGACTAAACTAGAAAAAAGTACATTTCCTGAAGAAAATGTGTGGGCTTGCTTCAGCTGAATAAAAATATTTGCAGCCTACTATAGCCATTTGATCTTTGATATATTGAATGAGCGAATTATTTCAAAAGGCATCAAACGTGTTCGGTTGTAATGTTATACATCAAGGGTGGTCAACCATTCTCCAGGAGAGCTAATGGCTTTTATTCCCCTCTAACAAACCACATTTTAGAAATTAGCTGCTCAACCGGACCTTGATAAACGGGCTCTGAGGTGTTTGAGCAGGGCTTTATCAAAAGCCTGCACACTTAGTAGCTCTCCAGACTGAGGGTTGACCACACATGTTTTATACAGTTGCCTAACAGGTATTCTACTGTGGGGGGTTAAGTACCTTGCTCAACGACAGGAGATGGTACATGGGATCAGAGAGCAGCCTCCCAGTGTCTATACCACATCACTTTTTCATACGTACAGTCGTGGTCAAAAGTGTTGGAATGACACAAGTATTGGTCTTCACAAAGTTTGATGCTTCAGTGTTTTTAGATATTTTTGCCAGATGTTACTATGGTATACTGAAGTATAATTACAAGCATTCCATAAGTGTCAAAGGCTTTTATTGACAATTACATTAAGTTTATGCAAAGAGTCAATATTTGCAGTGTTGACCCTTATTTTTCAAGACCTCTGCAATCCGCCCTGGCATGCTTTCAATTAACTTCTGGGCCACACCCTGACTGGGTTTTTGTTTGTCCACCCGCCTCTTGAGGATTGACCACAAGTTCTCAAATGGGATTAAGGTCTGGGGAGTTTCCTGGTCATGGACCCAAAATGTTGATGTTTTGTTCCCCGAGCCACTTAGTTATCACTTTTGCCTTATGGCAAGGTGCTCCATCATGCTGGAAAAGGCATTGTTCGCCACCAAACAGTTCTTGGATGGTTGGGAGAAGTTGCTCTCGGAGGATGTGTTGGTACCATTGTTTATTCATGGCTGTGTTCTTAGGCAAAATTGTGAGTGAGCCCACTCCCTTGGCTGAGAAGCAACCCCACACATGAATGGTCTCAGGATGCTTTACTGTTGGCATGACACAGGACTGATGGTAGCGCTCACCTTGTCTTCTCCGGACAAGATTTTTTCCGGATGCCCCAAACAATCGGAAAGGGGATTCGTCAGAGAAACTGACTTTACCCCAGTCCTCAGCAGTCCAATCCCTGTACCTTTTGCAGAATATCAGTCTGTCCCTGATGTTTTTCCTGGTGGTGCCCTGATCCCGCAGCTGAATCAACTTTAGGAGACGGTCCTGGTGCTTGCTGGACTTTCTTGGGCACCCTGAAGCCTTCTTCACAACAATTGAACCTCTCTCCTTGAAGTTCTTGATGATCCGATAAATGGTTGATTTAGGTGCAATCTTACTAGCAGCAATATCCTTGCTTGTGAAGCCCTTTTTGTGCAAAGCAATGATGACGCCATGTGTTTCCTTGCATGTAACCATGGTTAACAGAGGAAGAACAATGATTTCAAGCACCACCCTCCTTTTAAAGCTTCCAGTCTGTTATTCTCACTCAATCAGCATGACAGAGTGATCTCCAGCCTTGTCCTCGTCAACACTCTCACCTGTGTTAACGAGAGAATCACTGACATAATGTCAGCTGGTCCTTTTGTGGCAGGGCTGAAATGCAGTGGAAATGTTTTTTGGGGGATTAAGTTCATTTTCATGGCAAAGAGGGACTTTGCAATTAATTGCAATTAATCTGATCACTCTTCATAACATTCTGGAATATATGCAAATTGCCATAATCAAAACTGAGGCAGCATACTTTGTGAAAATTAATATTTGTGTCATTCTCAAAACTTTTGACCACGACTGTACATAGAGACGTCGCCAATTGTTGGTCATGGAAATGTTGTTAAGTCATGGAGAAGTCATGAAGAAGTATGTCCAAAAAAAAGTCCATCTGTCAAAATGTGTATGAAAGTTGGTATTGTTATAAAAGTTTGGACTCTGTAGATGTAGTAGAAATATTTGACTCAAAAAGTAGTCAACTTAAAAATATTTCTCAAGAGACTGGAACTTGTGAATTTAGACTTTTATTATTTGCATAACAAAGCCGAGCTTGCTCCATGGAGCAACTGCTTGCCCTGAACCGGAGCGCTCCTTTTATACAGACACAAATGCATAGTCACACTGATACAACATAGTTACTCTTCCCTATGTGAATGAATAACATCTTTCTGTATCACATGTTGGCTACTCACGAGGGCTACTTGCGCTTCTCTAAGTGGGGCCTCTGTATCTTATTAGTGGCATGACTCAAAAAATTATGTACATACGTACGTTAAAGAACAATCACACTCTGTATTGACTATATTCACTGTCCAGGCATGCATCTGGAGTACAAAGTATCAATCATGTTCATTCTGTTTTACCTTTATCATTTCATAACACATTATAAAACATATCAATTAATACTTAAACATGGTTTAAACATGTCATCCATAACCCATTCTCAACCACATACATTTAAGCATTTATAATTTACCATCCTCCCTGGCCCTTGAGATTATGTGCATGTGGCTATGTGTGAGGTCATAAGCACAAACAAATGTTAACACTAGTTCCATTGTTACTCCAATCTCCACACAGCCATCACGAGGAGTTGTATCTCCATCACATGTCATTGACATACCCAGACCAGCTGCAGGGAGTTTATGAAAAACACATAAATGTCTCTGCTCTGTATTAACCCTTCAACTGGTTCTCAATCCATAAACATTTTAAGGCATATAGGTGTTTAATTCTACAACATATGTACTTGAAAATCATCTATATATATTCCCCCCTTTGGGACTTTCTAAGTCCCAACCAATAAAACAAAAGATAACATAAAATGAGTGTAAGCATGTGCATATACTTATTCTTAGCCTTGCCATCTGTGGTTACATTTTATAAGAATATATATTCAGACCAATGTATCTTCCTCATTGTCTGACCCATCCTGATGAGGACAAGGAGCCCAGTCAGGTATTGGTTACAAGTCTTGAAGGTTTCCCTCTAAGCTAACCTCCAATTGTTGCTGTTGAGCTTTGTAACCATTGCTCCCCTTTTTGTTTTGTTGTATTTCCAATATACGTGGTAGTATCCTAACACATCAAAATATATAAGAAATAAATGCAACTTTGTTTTAACCATAATATCTAGGACATGTTAAGAATGGTGTCAACATCTTTAGCTTACATAACCTTTTTTACCCATATCACAATTATTATAACAATCAAAATAATCAATATCTAATCCATTAATTGCAATGTCAACATCATTAGTTATTAACATATTAATAACTTATTCAAATCAATCAGTCACCTTATAATTCATAGTCATTATCAGATTAATTACCCAAAACAAATTTAGAATGACAATTCTTAGTTATTCACTTTGGTTCCATCATTCAAAGTTAAATCTCTCACCTTGGCACATATTGACACTGGCAGAATGTATATTTATACTATCATAATTCTAGCATTAACTTCCTCATAACAAGAATTACAACAGATCATTATCTTAATACATTCCTAGTCTAAATTACTATACATTTAGCAGTGTATAATACCTCCTTAATCAACATACTACCTTAACTAACACTCCCTTACTCTACCGGCACTCAATCTTCTGGCGTCTTCATTATGTTCTTCAGATAGCTTCATAGTTCATCTTGGATTGCCCATGGCAATGTCCCAATTCCAATGTCACACCTGAGCCGCCCCACCTCCACCATCATTCTGTTTTGTCAATTTGCAAACCAGTATACCCAAACTACGAAGAACGTTGCATTGGCATAGACCTCTCTCTTCCTGCTCACTCCACATGGACTCCTGTCACATTCTTGAGAGAAAAGGCACAAAAGAGAAGGCAATTGATTGCTTTGATTTGATGCTGGATTCAGGTCTCCTGGCAGAGGTGGTGTCGGACAGGAACGTCTTCAGCGCCTTTGTTGTTCCTCTTCAGCCGGGTAGAGTTTTTTTTATTTTATTGAGGTTCACACCGCTCTGGACCGAATCATTTCTACTATGCATTACAACACCATCTGTAATAACGTCTTGAATGTCTGGAATCTCTCGGTGGTCTGGAATCTCTCGGCGGTCTGGAAGGTCTTGGAAGTCTCGGTGGTCTCCTAGTCATCAGTTCTCTCACTCTGGTACAATGGTTTAGATGATACCCGATCACGCTCCCCTCTATCCGTACCGCTGATGGTGTAACCTGGACGATGATGTATGGACACCTTTAGCTGCTAACCTTCTCCCATCACTAGGGTCTCCGGATCAGCCAGAGTCCCTCTCAATCTATCGACATCGGTCTGCGATGAGTGTCCTTCTATCAGCCTACCCATAGGGAAGCTCGGAGTTACTGCTGCAAAGACACAAGCACAGACACACACAAAAGACAACAATGCTACCCAATGGCTGAGGTTGGAACACTCCTATAGTGGGAAACATGGATCTAAGCATCTGTCTCCACCACTTTTACCATCATTAAGGTAGCCAACAACACCTGGTACAGGCCCCTCCACATAGGGTCTTTCCAGTTCTTTCTTCTGTAGTCTTTTGCCATCACATAGTCTCCAGGGCACAGAAAATACTCAGATTCTCCTACTCAGTTGGGCAGAGTTATCTTCACCCATGAACAGAAAATCTTAAGAACATTGTTAGGTTAGGTGAGACACAGCATGCTACTTATGTCCTCTCATACGTCAAGAGAAGCCTTGAAATTATGAAGCACACCTGCTTCCAGCTTGTTGTAGTCCACTTATTTCATGCCTCCTATCACAAAAACAAAAAAGATTTAACCTAACCCATAACACATTATTACTACTGCTCATATCCTTAATACACCTTGCATATTTCCCCACAAAACCATTATAAAACATTAAAACCTCTGTAAGCCCAACTTCCCCCCTTGGACACATGCATCAACAATATTGCCTATTAAACCAAAAATAATAACTAAACTGAAAATGACAACCCTTGAGCATATCTTTACTTAACTATATCCCATAACACTATTCAAGGAATACCTCTCCTTCAGGACTAACTCTCTCACTTCATCCTTGTCCTGTTTGGACTAATATATATATAGGATTTTGTCCAAATTATAAACTTCTTCACAATTATCCTTATTATATCTAACCCCCTAATATAGCATGCCTCTAGAATTTATAGTGCGGGTGATCAGGTCACACTATAAAGCCAGGACAGATTTCAGAGGTCATTGAAATCATTCAATGAATTGTTTCATCCAATAATATACTACTCATTAATAACCATCAAGACATTTCATAAATGTTGTATCCCGAGTGTACAGTAAGTCCTTAGTACAGCTCTTTTCAAAATAAATCACACATATTTACTTATCACTCAGTAAATAAAACCCAACTTACATGTGTATGCCCCTTTAAGATATTTCACTTCCATCCCGTCAAAAAACCCAAAATAGAAATCAAAATCCTATACAGAATAACATTTCATACTAAGTAGTTTGTTTGTGGTTATTCGAACACCATATAGTAAAACAATAAACAAACAAAAATGGCCAGGCCTTATTTATTTTGATAGCTCCCTATGACAACCTAAAAATAAAACTACTTGATTTTACTAACTAGTTCCACCCTAGCCTACAGACTTTTTTAACATCCCAATGAGATATAAAAAAAATCCCCATGTTCCTGGAAGAGAAAGTATACATGTCGTTAACATATAATCAACAATCCAAAGATAGTAATTACACACAAAACATCATACATCTATCCCCAGTCCTATCTCATCAACAATCATTGGTATCAATCTCACTCCTTTTTAGTAATTTAAACATCGCAAACTGTTGCATTTATGTTTATTTTATTTTATATAAACCTATTGTTTCATAATCCAAAACCCATAAAAAGATGTCTACTTAATCCATCAGGCCAACAGCAACAACTACCTCCCATCGTTCAACGTACTATAAACAAATTATCGTTATCTGAAGTAATAAACCATCGTCATAACTCACTGCTGTTTAAACAAACTATACAATGTCATAATAAAATTATCAATTATCAAATATTGTTCCTTATTCAACTATCGAGACATGTTCTTCATTAGTAAATCGTCTCCACAAAGCAATACTACCTAATAACATATTCTCATTCTCCTAAATAGAAATAATTACTTCTATTAAACAATCCCATTCAACATCAAGTCAACCTGTCTCATCACCCAATTAACCTTTTTTTTTTAAACCCTCTACCGCTAATTTCCCTCATAACGGTACCTCAACAGATGACAAATTATTTTATATTTATAGTAAAAACCAATAAAACATCCAATTCACCAATATGCAATTTTAATTACCATGTTATCCTATCCGACATGGATTGGTAGGACAACATCTTTCCTATAATGTTATCAATGAAACCAGTAATTCACATCAATAGCATCAATGTAAAATATTTGCTTTCTGTCCCTTACTGGATTCGAACCAGGGACCCTCTGCACACATCGACAACATTCACCATCGAAGCACCGTTACCCATCGCTCCACAAAAGCCACGGCCCCCGCAAAGCATCTACTTCCAGTTCATAGAGCAAGTGACGTCACCCAACGAAAACCGCACTAGCTCTCACCGCTAACTAGCTAGCAATTTCCTGCCGATAATATTCAACCTCCTACAACATACGCGATCCTTGTACACCTAACTTAACCCATAATGTCCCTTATAACGCTCTCACGTTTCAGCAAGCCCCAATGTTTAACACCCGCAGACAAAAATGGAAATTCTTCCATTTTTACTAGCAGACCTAATAAAACACACTTTCAAACAGCGTTCTGCATTTACCTCTATCATAGGGTTTAAAAACGAACTTAACAACATTAACCATCCTAAATTGCCGTAGTAACGTCATGTTTGGTTCAGTTTATCTATTACCATATAAGACATTCACTTCTCCATGCGTCGTAAACTATATCCTATTTCTCTTGTAATCAACTAAAATCATAGCCACGCAATTAAACCATCACTCCGCCATTACAGAATGAATGAGATCTATTCAACCATCCTTTCTAAGTAAGCTACAAGTAACACCAAACACTTGCTGTAGTTTACCATCATATATTGAAATCATCCATTTATCACGATCCAATTTATTTATAAACATATTCCACCATTGTCACTCGTTTAATCTAGCAAAACCTTATTCAATGACAAAAAAATTACTACCATGTACTCTCCTCTCCATACCCGTTAACATTTTTACATGTTAGTCATTTAGCAGATGCTCTTATTCCAAGCGATGCACAATTAGTGAGCTCATACATTTTTATACTTATACTAGCCCCCCCTTGGGAATCGAACACCCAACCCTGGCGTTGCAAGCACCGTGCTCTACCAACTGAGCTTCAGAGGACTACAGATGAGCGTATAGTGCCTTTTTCTGATAATGTTATAATTGTAGTCTATTGCATTACTTTAGTTTAAAATATAAGTTTGTTTATTCAACAAATCTAGAACCCACTATAAATTGGTGCTATTCACTCAGCATAATAGCCAAAGCTCCTTGCATCCCCTGGTTCACGTAACGAAAATACATTATCGTTCTAGAATTCACCAACTATTCGCATACATCACTGGTGTCACGCAAACTATAGAATAAAGTAATAACAATTAGAATGTGTCAAATAAATGTTTTCCATCCAACTATTCAAACTTGCTTCAAATATATCTTTCAGCTTGATACAGTCAAGCAAGTACGACTCTCTTTTACCCGGAAACTAGTTCATGGCATTAGTAAAGTCTATTCACATCCCAACAATAACTAATAATATATTTATATTCATATTATTAAAATACCTTACTTTCATTCCAGTCTACCTAAACAATTCAAATTATGGCCATAACTCTATCGCAATTGCCAGTCCGCTATTTAAATGTATGTAACTGTCCTTTCTGATTAGACTATAGACACTCCTCCTTCTTTCCCGTTGAATAAGTGAGTCCTTCAGTCTGAAAAGACGCAGGCTGCTAAATCGTCCAGTCTTATCCTGACTGTTCCATCAATCGAAACAACCCACAACCATAGTTGAACTATACTTAGAAAACCTAGACTCTGATCAGCGATGCAGAATCTATGCTTTATTGAAAAGACAAGTTAATCCTCCTTTATTTCAATGATAATGGTCAGTAGTTTTAGTATCTGGCACATACCACACTTTATCAGAAAATAGCTTTGAAGGACACAGATCTCACACGCTCAACGTAAACAACTTAGCAGTCAACGAGTCAAACCCCACATTCATTGATTTGGAAACAGATCTAACGACCTAACCAAATGAATTATATTTTCCCCTAATATACTAAAATTCCATGACTATATCACCTCTGCTTCTGAAATAATAGATAGTTTATTATAATGCTTAATTCCACCACATGCTCTATGTACTTTCTCCCATCCCCACGTACGTCTGTACGTGTTTGGGCGTGCAAGTCAACACCTATAATTTTATCCAATGACTTGTAATAAATTACACTCCCATAAAATTCATTATATTCTAATATATTCACATCAACCAAACCATTCATGTTACTAATAATTATTTATTGCCACAAATCAGTTAATCACAATCTAGTCTCAGCGGAACGAACAACAAATTACCCAAATCCTTTCCCTCAGTCATAGAATCCTCCCAGAATCATATATGCTGGTCACTATTCCCTGATCTTACAAAATTCTATGACAGGCATTGTTGTACGAAACTCCAAGATATCATTTACAAGAAAAGCTTATTATTCCAACGTATTAGGGGTGTAACGATCCATCTACTACATCGATGTATCGATTTATATTCCTATGATCCAACTACATCGATCTGTGCTCGGCGAGTTGGCCTTTTGGACAACATATATCAATCTAACATCGTTTTAAAATGTAATAAATCGATTGTATCGATACTAGGAAATAACCCATTGGATTTAAGCACGTCAGACTTTATATGGATGTTTTTTCTTAGCACTTTTAATGATAAAGGCTTTAAACATTACTCGATTCAGTCTGCCTATCCGTGACGTCATCGCCCCGCGCCAGCAGCAGCGCAAAGGCGCAAAGACAACAAAACATAGCATGGCGGACGACAGAGGAGAAGCCGACGAGCGAGAAATTATCAAGCCACCATTGCGGTCCTTACAAGAAACAGGAATCTAGGAAACTTCACCTGCACTGTCCAGTATCCAGGTATTTATTTCAGTCACACTGGTTGAATTTTTGGCTAAAAGGTTACTGAATCGATTTCAAGTCACTGAATCGTTTCGGATCGTATCGTTCTAAATGAACCAATATCGTCCTTGAATCGTATCGACAACCACGAATCGTGATACAAATCGAATCGTTGTTAAAACGAATCGTTACACCCCTACAACGTATATATAATTATCATACACACCTCTATATCTCATCATTCAAACTTCAGAGTGCGACTAATTTACACCATTATACCACTCTTATTCCATATTTATACAATGTTGTTCTCAAATGTGCTTAATTACTATTTGTATAACCTACAGGAATATTTTATTCTATCAAAGGGCCCAAATGTGGAATGTTAACCCTATCCTAGTTATTATTTTTACTATAGTCAATTTATCATAATACTACATCACCTCTAAAGTTTCCAAATATAATGTCAGAAACATACCCTAAAAGATTGATCAAAATACAATGCATAGACGTCATATGATCACACCGGTACACGTGACCTGTTCCTCCAACAGGATTTATTCTACCCCTCCTGGTAACGTGAATTTTCTACATTCAGTTGGTCAATGAATATCCACGCACCATTTATTCTGAGTGAGATTGGGCACGCCCTTTCTCCATCAGACAGAAGCTTCAAACAACCTCAAATATATTTCCTTTCCTTACAGAAAGGCTATTTACTTGCAGGATTTCTGATTATTCTCACTCACACAGATGAGCAGCCACTTGTGCCCAAATGAATCAGACAGTTGAATGACTCACAGCCGCCCAAGCAAACCATTCACCCCATACGAGATGAGCAGACCTACTCTATTTAACACTTTCTCTATATTTTGAAGCCCTTGTGGCTATTTAACCCGTTCACCTTCTCAGGATGACCTAACTTTTTTACCTGATCAACCCTGCCTAACTTTAGCATCACCACAACACAGGATGATGCCCCACCTACCCGAGCAGACCTCTAACAATGAATTCCTCATTAGAGCGGTAACCGTAGGTCCCAAATTTAGCTAGCCACCTGCCTGTTCAGCCCTCTGGAGCGCTAATTTTAGCTCTCCAAAGCGGTATCCACAGGATTTCTATTTATTTAGACACACCTGGACTTCTACTACGCTTTCCTAAGCGACCTGTAAATTCTGCCCTATTTTTTCTGATACACTTCCTCGACACAGAAAAATAAGCGGTATTACACAGGATTTCTGCCTACCTAAGCAGCCTATAAACGATACACTTCCTCGACACGTTTATAGCGGTATTCGCAGGACTTAACATGTTATTGTCTGATCGCTCAACCAGATGGACAACCGCCCGTGCCGAAATGACCCAGACAAAGCGATCAGCAGGATGAATCAAATCAATCAAATCAATTGAACAGACGGTTCAGACGAACAACAGAGTGACATCGACATGTATTCTTAAATTCAAAAGCTCCTAGTCTCTAATTTTCTGGTTCTTAAATTTGGAGAGACCTACTTGGTATTTCTGCAGCTGATGCCGTGCCCCGGATCGGACCACACAAACGTTATACTATATAAGTAAGAACTTGGCTTACCTGTTAAAAGCGGCCGCTTTTGTTTCGTTTCATAACTGCAGATGTACACCGTCTCTGGCCCCTGTTGTCAACTCCTGGCAAGCTCGCCAAATATGTAGTAGAAATATTTGACTCAAAAAGTAGTCAACTTAAAAATATTTCTTAAGAGACTGGAACTTGTGAATTTAGACTTGTATTATTTGCATAACAAAGCCGAGCTTGCTCCATGGAGCAACTGCTTGCCCTGAACCGGAGCGCTCCTTTTATACAGACACAAATGCATAGTCACACTGATACAACATAGTTACTCCTCCCTATGTGAATGAATAACATCTTTCTGTATCACATGTTGGCTACTCACGAGGGCTTCTTGCGCTTCTCTAAGTGGGGCCTCTGTGTCTTATTAGTGGCATGACTCAAAAAATTATGTACATACGTACGTTAAAGAACAATCACACTCTGTATTGACTATATTCACTATTCAGGCATGCATCTGGAGTACAAAGTATCAATCATGTTCATTCTGTTTTACCTTTATCATTTCATAACACATTATAAAACATATCAATTAATACTTAAACATGGTTTAAACATGTCATCCATAACCCATTCTCAACCACATACATTTAAGCATTTATCATTTACCATCATCCCTGGCCCTTGAGATTATGTGCATGTGTGAGGTCATAAGGTCATAAGCACAAACAAATGATAACACTAGTTCCATTGTTACTCCAATCTCCACACAGCCATCACGAGGAGTTGTATCTCCATCACATGTCATTGACATACCCAGACCAGCTACAGGGAGTTTATGAAAAACAAATAAATGTCTATGCTCTGTATTAACCCTTCAACTGGTTCTCAATCCATAAACATTTTAAGGCATATAGGTGTTTAATTCTACAACATATGTACTTGAAAATCATCTATATAGATTGCATGGAAAATGAGTGGATTTATGTGTTCATGTAAGCACAGTCAAAAAGCAGGTGGAATTGTTTTACATGGTCTAACAATGACCAAAGCTGGGCAAACATAGATGCCATTACTGAGAGGTATTTTCATGAGACTTTTCATTGGATTGCTAATGAGTAAACTCTCTTTCGCAGCCAAACATGTCTCCTCTCTTGCCTGAGTCGTCGGTCAAAGAGAGCCCATCCAAGGTGCTCCACCAATATAGTAACAACATGTCCACACTGGACGTCCACTGCCTGGCCCAGCTGCAGCCCAACCAGTCGCCCTCCTCCAGCACCCATCTCATCTCCTTCCCCGCGGAGAAACCCAAGCCGGACACCCTCAAGGTGACGGTCAAGCTCAAGCCAAGGCCCAGGGCGGTCCACTCAGCTAGCGGGGGATGTGATGACATGTCGCCGCCGCGCCACCACAAGCGCTGGAAGGGCCTGCGTTGGCGCAAATGGAGCGTGCACATTGTTGTTCCCACTAGGGGCACCCTACTGTCCTCTCTGCCCGGTGAGGAAGAGGTGGACGAGTTGCTGAGGAAGCTGGGTGCCTCTCTGCGTCCCGATCCCCTTCCCCGTGACCTTCGGCGTTGCTGCTTCTGCCACGAGGAGGGTGACGGCATGACGGACGGGCCCGCCCGGCTCCTCAACCTGGACCTAGACTTGTGGGTGCACCTCAACTGCGCACTGTGGTCATCGGAGGTGTACGAGACGCAGGCGGGCGCCCTGATCAACGTGGAGCTGGCGCTGCATCGGGGCATGGCGGTGCGCTGCGCCTACTGCCAGCAGACGGGCGCCACCAGCCGCTGCCACCGGTTGCGCTGCGCCAACGCCTACCACTTCACATGCGCCCTCAAGGCCCAGTGCACCTTCTTCAAGGACAAGACCATGCTGTGCCACCTGCACCGGCCCCGGGGCATTGGCGGCGGCGATGGGAGAGGAGGTGACAGGGCCGTGGCGCCCGCCGCTACCCACCACGACCACGAGCTGCGCTGCTTCGCAGTGTTCCGCCGTGTCTATGTGCAGCGCGATGAGGCGCGGCAGATGGCCAGCATCATGCAGCATGGCGAGCGCCGGCACACGTTCCGCGTGGGCAGCCTGGTGTTCCACACTGTGGGTCAGCTGCTGCCCCAGCAGATGGCCGCCTTCCACTCGGCCAACGCCATCTTCCCCGTAGGCTACCGGGCCAGCCGCATCTACTGGAGCACGCGCCACGGCAACCGCCGCTGCCGCTACCTGTGCTCGGTGGAGGAGAACGAGGGCCGGCCAGAGTTTGTGGTGCGGGTGATGGAACAGGGCTACGACGACCTGGTGCTCACCGGCGCCTCACCCAAAGGTAAGGGGGGGGGGGGTTTGCAGCAACAAATGTCCAGGCAGTCCCCCTCTGTTTCAATGTCCAGGTAGTCCATCTGTTTCAGCAAATGTCCAGGCAGTCCCCCTCTGTTTCAATGTCCAGGTAGTCCATCTGTTTCAGCAAATGTCCAGGCAGTCCCCCTCTGTTTCAATGTCCAGGTAGTCCATTTGTTTCAGTCGTTTGAATGTCCAGGTAGTCCATCTGTTTCAGTCAGTTTTATTTTTTATTAACTAGGCAAGTCCATTAAGAACAAGTTCTTATTTACAATGACGGCCTACCAAAAGGCAAAAGGCCTCCTGCGGGAACGGGGGCTGGGATTTAAAAAATAAAAATATCAATATAGGACCAAACACACATCACAACAAGCGAGACAACACTACATAAAGAGAGACCTAAGACAACAACATAGCATGGCAGCAACACATGACAACACAGCAAGGTAGCAACCCAACATGGCAGCAGCACAACATGGTAGCAGCACAAGACATGGTATAAACATTATTGGGCACAAACAACAGCACAAAGGGCAAGAAGGTAGAGACAACAATACATCACGCGAAGCAGCCACAACTGTCAGTAAGAGTGTCCATGATTGAGTCTTTGAATGAAGAGATGGAGATAAAACTGTCCAGTTTGAGTGTTTTTTGCAGCACGTTCCAGTCGCTAGCTGCAGCAAACTGAAAAGAGGAGCGACCCAGGGATGTGTGTGCTTTGGGAACCTTTAACATAATGTGACTGGCAGAACAGGTGTTGTATGTGGAGGATGAGGGCTGCAGTAGGTATCTCAGATAGGTGGGAGTGAGGCCTAAGAGGGTTTTGTAAATAAGCATCAACCATTGGGTCTTGCGATGGGTATACAGAGATGACCAGTTTACAGAGGAGTATAGAGTGCAGTGATGTGTCCTATAAGGAGCATTGGTGGCAAATCTGATGGCCGAATGGTAAAGAACATCTAGCCGCTCGAGAGCACCCTTACCTGCCAATCTATAAATTACGTCTCCGTAATCTAGCATGTGTAGAATGGTTATCTGAATCAGGGTTAGTTTAGCAGCTGGGGTGAAAGAGGAGCGATTACGATAGAGGAAACCAAGTCTAGATGTAACCTTAGCCTGCAGCTTTGATATGTGCTGAGAGAAGGACTGTGTACTGCAGGGTTCTTCAATTCCGGTCCTCGAGGGCCGAAACACCTCTGTTTTTCATCCTCTCCTTCTAATCAGGGGCTAATTCAGACCTGGGACACCAGGTGAGTGCAATTCACTACCAGGTAGAAATAAAAAACAGAAGTGTTTCGGCCCTCCAGGACCGGAATTGAAGAACCCTGGTGTACCGTCTAGCCATACTCCCAAGTACTTGTATGAGGTGACTACCTCAAGCTCTAAACCCTCAGAGGCATTCTTCTTACCAAACCACATTACCTTTGTTTTGGAGGTGTTCAGAACAAGGTTAAGGGCAGAGAAAGCTTGTTGGACACTAAGAAAGCTTTGTTGTAGAGCGTTTAACACAAAATCCGGGGAGGGGCCAGCTGAGTATAAGACTGTATCATCTGCATATAAATGGATGAGAGAGCTTCCTACTGCCTGAGGTATGTTGTTGATGTAAAGTGAGAAGAGCGTGGGGCCTAGGATCGAGCCTTGGGGTACTGCCTTGGTGACAGGCAGTGGCTGAGACAGCAGATGTTCTGACTTTATACACTATACTCTTTGAGAGAGGTAGTTAGAAAACCAGGCCAAAGACCCCTCAGAGACACCAATACTCCTTAGCCGGCCGACAAGGATGGAATGGTCTACCGTATCAAAAGCTTTGGCCAAGTCAATAAAAATAGCAGCACAACATTGCTTAGAATCAAGGGCAATGGTGATATCATTTAGGACTTTTAAGGTTGCAGTGACACATCCCTGAGCAGAAACCAGATTGCATACCAGAGAGAATACTATAGACAGTCAGCTGAATATTGACAAGTATTTCCAACACTTTTGATAAACAGAGCAAAATAGAAATTTGCCTATAAATTAGGATCATCTTGATCTCCCCCTTTAAATAAAGGACGCACCATGGCTGCCTTCCAAGCAATGGGAACCTCCCCAGAGAGGAGAGACAGGTTAAAAAGGTCAGAGACAGGCTTGGCGATTATAGGGGCTGCAACCTTAAAGAAGAAAGTGTCTAAACGATCTGACCCAGATAGTTTTTTTGGTGTCAAGTTTAAGGAGCTCCTTTAGCACCTCGGACTCTGAACGCCTGCAGGAAGATACTTTGTAGCGGGGCAGGGGAAAAAGAGGGAGGAGCATCGGGGCTAGTCGCATTAGAAGGACTGGGAGATGAGGAAATGTTGGACGGGCAAGGAGGGCAAGGAGGCATGGCTGAGTCAAATAGGAATCCTGACTTAATGAAGTGGTGATTAAAGAGCTCAGCCATGTGCTCTTTGTCAGTAATAACCACATCATCAACATGAATGAGCATTAACAGCTGTGAGGAGGAGGGTTTATTCTCCAGGTCTTTAACCATTTTCCAGAACTTCTTGGGGTTAGACCCACAGAGAGAGAACTGCTCCTTAAAGTAACTAGCTTTAGCCTTCCGGATAGCCTGAGTGCACTTATTTCTCATTTGCCTGAACGAGAGCCAGTCAGCCTGAGTAAGCGTGTGCCAAGCCTTTCGCCAAATGGAATTCTTGAGGTGGAGTAACTCTGCCAGATCACGGCCGAACCAGGGTCTGAACCTGTTTTTAATTCTCTTTTTCTCTATGGGGGGCGTGTTTGTTAAAAATACCACTAAATATATAGAACAGAGGGGATCAAGCTGATTCTATACCAATTTACAGAGGCCAGGTCATGAAGGAAGGTTTGCTCATTAAAGTTTTTTTAGCAAGCATCTATGACAAATCTGGACAGGTCGTTTCACTGAGTAGCCATTATGAACACAGGCTGTAAAACAGTGATCACTAAGGTCATTACAGAAAACACCAGACTGATACCTATCAGGATTATTTGTGAGGATAACATCAAGGAAAGTAGCCTTTTCTGGGTGTTTGGAGTCATACCTTTTTTAGGAGGGCCCATTGCTTTAGGACTTGTTCAGGTGGTTTAAGCATGTCCCAGTTTAGGTCACCTAGCAGGACAAATTCAGACTTAGTGTAAGGGGCCAGGAGAGAGCTTAGGGCAGGTAGGGTACAGGCCGGTGCTGATGGTGGACGATAACACAGTCAACAAAGAGCTATTTGAAAGTTTAATGCTTAAAACCAGCAAATGAAATTATTTGTTTATCCCATATGTAACTGTGTTTTTATCGCACTGCTTTGCTTTATCTTGGCCAGGTCGCAGTTGTAAATGAGAACTTGTTCTCAACTGGCTTACCTGGTTAAATAAAGGTGAAATAAAATAAATAAATAAAATAAATATAAATTGAAGGTAAAGATTGCTACTCCACCACCTTTGGTGGAAGCGGGAAGCGGCACAGGTCCTAATACAGGCACTTGTCATCTCCCGTCTGGATTACTGCAACTCGCTGTTGGCTGGGCTCCCTGCCTGTGCCATTAAACCCCTACAACTCATCCAGAATGCCGCAGCCCGTCTGGTGTTCAAACTTCCCAAGTTCTCTCACGTCACCCCGCTCCTCCGCACACTCCACTGGCTTCCAGTTGAAGCTCGCATCTGCTACAAGACCATGGTGCTTGCCTACGGAGCTGTGAGGGGAACGGCACCTCCGTACCTTCAGGCTCTGATCAATCCCTACACCCAAACGAGGGCATTGCGTTCATCCACCTCTGGCCTGCTGGCGCCCCTACCTCTGCGGAAGCACAGTTCCCGCTCAGCCCAGTCAAAACTGTTCGCTGCTCTGGCACCCCAATGGTGGAACAAGCTCCCTCACGACGCCAGGACAGCGGAGTCACTCACCACCTTCCGGAGACACTTGAAACCCCACCTCTTTAAGGAATACCTGGGATAGGATAAAGTAATCCTTCTACCCCCCCCTTACCCCACCCCCCCCAAAAAAAAAAACATTGTAAAGTGGTTATCCCACTGGCTATAAGGTGAATGCACCAATTTGTAAGTCGCTCTGGATAAGAGCGTCTGCTAAATGACGTAAATGTAAATGTTTGGAAGATCTGTCTTGCCGAAAAAGGTTATAACCAGAAAGGTTAACGTCAGTGTTCAAAACACTCTTTCTTAACCACGTCTCAGTAATGACCAACACATCTGGATTGGAGCTTTGAACCCACACTTTCAATTGATCGATTTAAGGTAATAAGCTTCTTATGTTCACGTGCAGAAAGCCCAGGCTTTTACGAGAGCTTAATGTCCAGGTAGTCCATCTGTTTGTCAGTTTTAATGTCAAGGTAGTCCATCTGTTTCAGTCAGTTTTCTTCCATTAGGTGCCTTCTGAACATGACCCAGTTGACCTCACTTATGAATATCCCGTCTGTGTTATGTTGTAGGTGTCTGGGACAAGATTCTGGAGCCTGTGGCTGAGCGGCGTAACGAGTCTGGAACTCTGAAACTTTTCCCCGTCTACCTCAAGGGAGAGGACCTGTTTGGATTCACCGTCACTGCCGTCACCAGGATCGTGGAATCGGTAAGCGCAGAGATGGCAAGAGAGAGTAAAATGAAAAGTCTGAGAGAGTTGAACGTTTTAGGTGGGTGTATAGCTAACCCAGTTTAGTTTTGAATGTTCTTCTCCAAGGCCATTGGTTTGGGCAAATCGATAGTTTTTTGTTAAAAGCGCCAATACAAAATAGCTTCAACTCCATTAAGTGCTTTAAAGGAAAAGGCTTTCCACAGGCACTAAGTACTTTGATGGAGGTTCTCCATCAGACACACTTTTTTAGAATCTGGCTTTTCAGTTGATTATGAAAGCACTTTTTCAAATCGAAGGTTAAGTGGTGTAAGAGATTTATTTAAACAATTCCCTGTAGGAAAAACAGTTCAATATATCCACTTACACATCAGAATGGAAACCTGGAATGTACTATTGAGTGTTTAAATTAAGTTTAAAACTTGAGTGCAGCTTGTAATTAACACGTTTGGTCATTATAAACCCTCATAAACCACTTTTAAATGGAAAAAAAGATTGTTTTTCATTATCTGTGCTTGTGCGTGCATCTCCCAGCTCCCTGGAGTGGAGGCCTGTGAAAGTTACACTTTCCGTTTTGGACGCAACCCTCTAATGGACCTTCCCTTGGCCATCAACCCAACTGGCAGTGCCCGCTCGGAACCCAAGACCTGCACCCATGTCAAGAGGTTGGTGTTAAGGTATTCTGTATGATTTTACACTTAAGTTCCTGCCATGTTTGTTTCGGCCACTGTTTTAAATCTCTGGAAAACTTTGTCTTTGTTCCATCCACAACAAGGTGTTCTCTTTTGATCTCCCTCTCTTCTTCAATATCCTCTTTATGAATGTTTTTCTTTAGCATCACTTCACAGATTCCTAGTTAGAGGAAACGAGTTATGAGGTTCCATTGATTTAAATCAATGTAACAAAAACTGCTTTCCTCCATCACTCTTTTCTTGTGAAGTCATCATCCTTCATTGTCACTTCCATCTTGTATGCGTCACTGTTTTAGTGCTATATTAACACATCATTCAGTTTGTTAAATACTGCTAATGTTAAGCATCCTTTTTTCCTGGAATTCTACTTTCTTATGAAGCTAGATGTCGGTATCCCTGCTAGAAAGGGATCTGATCTTAGCCACACAATAGCTGCTTCTCCACCCCAATAACTAACTCCTGCTTGTTTCTCGTTTGGTGAAACTCTTAGGGCCGCTTTCCCGGAGGCCCAAATTAAGCCTATTACTGGACCTTAAAATGGACCGTCTCCATTAACAATGCCAGTTAGGAGTGGGTGTAATCTGGGTCCAGGAAGCCAACATATACAGTCCCACCCTCCATTCACCAATGTCATACACATAGAAATAGAATTAGGCCTACTACAAAAGTAGTACTGTAATTCTAACTTCCTGTTGTGGAAATGCTTCAGGGTGTCTCGTCTGTTTTGGCTCCTCCTCTTCCTGTAGATCTCACACTTTGTCCAGCACCGGTGGCTCCTCTAAATCCATGCAGACGGTTGGCAACGTGGGTGTGGCGGAAGCACCAGAAGAGGTGACCCCCAAGCAGTTTGCATCCGTCCCCTTCCAGTACCGACGCATGAAGGCAGAGTGGAAGAGCAACGTCTACCTGGCGCGCTCCCGCATTCAGGTGGGCACCTTTGCCACTCTGTGCTAGGGCTACATGCGGCCTCTACACATCACTGATGCAGATTCAATATACTTCTCTAACTTATTAGAAACGTGTCAAGCGATTTTGTTTTGATGCACATTGATTGGGTTATGACTGATATGTCATCATATGATAGCATTCATAGTGGTTGTTTGCTTTCAAAGTCGAGTTCAGTGTTTGAGGTGTTGACCCGCACTGTGTCTGTCCTCTGGCAGGGGTTGGGTCTGTACGCCGCCAGGGACATTGACTCCCACACCATGGTGATTGAGTACATCGGCACCCTCATTCGCAACGAGGTCGCCAACCGGATGGAGAAGATGTACGAATCCCAGGTGAGTTTAGATAGTCAATGCCATATTTTTCCGACAAGACTAGATACACTACATGGCCAAAAGGATGTGGAAAGTCACTGAGCTCTTCAGTAAGACCATTCTACTGCCAATGTTTGTCTATGGAGATTGCTTGGCTGTGTGCTCGATTTTATACAAGTTTCAGCAACGGGTGTGGCTGAAATAGCCGAATCCACTATTTAAGGGTTGTCCACATACTCTTGGCCATTTATCCGGCCTCTTAAAAACAGTGTCTCCAGAAAGTATTCACACCCCTTGACTTCTTTTCACATTGTTGTTACACCCTGAATGTAAAATGGAATAAATACCTACACCCAATAACGTCAAAGTGGAATTATGCTATTTCTACATTTTTTTAAATTATTTAAAAACGAAAAGTTTAAATGTTTTGAGTCAATAATACATTTCATGGACTCACTCTGTGCAATACATGTTTAACATGATTTTTGAGTGACTGGCTCATATCTAAGGTCCCTCAGTCGAGCTGTGAATTTAAAACACAGATTCAACCACAAAGACCAGGGAGGTTTTCCAATGCCTCGCAAAGAAGGGCACCTATGGATAGATAAAAAATAATTTACAAAAGCAGATATTGAATATCACTTTGAGCATGGTGAATCAATATACCCAGTCACTACAAAGATACAGATGTCCTTCCTAACTCAGTAGCTAGAGAGAAAGGAAACCGCTCAGGGATTTCACCATAAGGCCAATGTTGACTTAAAAACAGAGTTTAATGGCTGTGATAGGAGAAAACTGAGGATGGATCAACAATATTGTAGTTACAGTGCATTCAGACCCATTTACTTTTTCCACGTTGTTACATTACAGCCTTATTCCGAAATGGATTAAATAGTTTTTTCCCCCCTCAATCGACACAATACCCCATAATGACAAAGCAAAAATAGGTTTTTAGAGACTTTTGCAAATGTATATAAAATAAAACTAAACTGATATTACATTTACATAACTATTCAGACCCTTTACTCAGTACTTTGTTGAAGCACCTTTGGCAGCAATTACAGCCTCGAGTCTTCTTGGGTATGACACTACAAGCTTGGTACACCTGTATTTGGGGAGTTTCTCCCATTCTTCTCAGAGAAAGGTTGGATGGGGAGCGTCGCTACACAGCTATTTTCAGGTCTCTCCAGAGATGTTCGAACGGGTTCAAGTCCGGGCTCTGGCTGGGCCACTCAAGGACATTCAGAGACTTGTCCCGAAGCCACTCCTGCGTTGTCTTGGCTGTGTGCTTAGGGTCGTTGTCCTGTTGGACGGTGAACCTTCGCCCCAGTCTGAGGTTCTGAGCTCTGGAGCAGGTTTTCATCAAGGATCTCTCTGTACTTTGCTCCGTTCATCTTCGCCTCGATCCTGACTAGTCTCCCAGTCCCTGCAGCTGAAAAACATCCCCACAGCATGATTCTGCCACCACCATGCTTCACCGTAGGGATGGTGCCAGGTTTCCTCCAGACGTGACGCTTGGCATTCAGGCCAAACAGTTCAATCTTGGTTTCATCAGAGCAGAGAATCTTTTTTCTCATGGTCTAAGAGTCCTTTAGGTGCCTTTTGGCAAACTCCAAGCGGGCTGTCATGTGCCTTTTACTGAGGAGAGGCTTCTGTCTGGTCACTCTACCATAAAGGCCTGATTGGTGGAGTCCTGCAGAGATGAATGTCCTTCTGGAAGGTTCTCCCATCTCCACAGAGGAACTCTGGAGCTCTGTCAGAGTGACCATCAGGCTCTTGGTCACCTCCCCCGATTGCTCAGTTTGGCCGGGCGGCCAGCTCTAGGAAGAGTCTTGGTGGTTCCAAACTTCTTCCATTTAAGAATGATGTAGGCCACTGTGTTCTTGGGGACCTTCAATGCTGCAGAAATTCTTTGATACCCTTCCCCAGATCTGTGCCTCGACACAATCCTGTCTGTCTCGGAGCTCTACAGACAATTCCTTCGACCTCATGGCTTGGTTTTTGCTCTGACATGCACTGTCAACTGTGGGACCTTTTATAGACAGGTATGTGCCTTTGCAAATCATGTCCAATCAATTTAATTTACCACAGGCGGCCTCCAAACTAATTGTAGAAACATCAAGGATGATCAATGGAAACAGGATGCACCTGAGCTCAATTTCGAGTCTCATAGCAAAGGGTCTGAATACCTATGTAAATAAGGTATTTCAGTTTAATTTTTTATAAATTTGCAAAAGTTTCTAAACCTGTTTTTGCTTTGTCATTATGGGGTATTGTGTGTAGATTGAGGATTTCTTTAGTTAATCCATTTTAGAATGTGGAAAAAGGGAAGGGGTCTGAATACTTTCCGAATGCACTGTATTCCACAATACTACCCTTATTGACAGAGTGAAAAGAAGGAAGGCTGTACAGAATAAAAATATTCCAAAACATGCATCTAAAGTAATTCTGCAAAAAATGTGGCAAAGCAATTAACTTTTTGTCCTGAATACAAAGTGTTATGTTTGGGGCAAATCCAATACAACACATTACTGAGTACGACTCTCCATATTTTCAAGCATAGTGGTGTCTGCATCATGTTATGGGTATGCTAGTAATTGTTAATGACTGGGGAGTTGCTTACCAAGAGAGTGAATGTTCCTGAGTTACCGTTTACTTAAATATATGGCAAGAACTGAAAATGGTTGTCTAGCAATGATCACCAACCAATTTGGCAGAGCTTGAAGAATAATGGGCAACTGTTGCACAATCTAGGTGTGGAAAGCTCTTAGACTTACCCAGGAAGACTCACGGCTGTAAACGCTGCGAAAGGTGCTTCTACAAAGTATTGACACAGGGGTGTGAATACTTATGTAATTGAGATTTCTGTATTTCATTTTCAAAATATTTTAGAAAAATGTCTAAACATGTTTTCACTTTGTCATTATGGGGTGTTGTGTGTAGATGGGTGAGAGTCAATTTAATCAATGTGGAATAAGTCGAGGGGTATGAATACTTTCTGAAGGCACTTATCTACAAGACGCCAAGAGAAGCATGGCTATTCTGTATCTTACATATTTGATTTGATCTTGCTGTGCTGCAGAACCGTGGAGTCTACATGTTCCGCCTGGACAGTGAGCATGTCGTCGATGCCACCATAACCGGCGGACCAGCAAGGTAGGAGTTTCTACGTTCGGAATACATCATTTGACCCCCACTTATGTTACATTTCAATGCTTCGTAAATGTGAACAAGCACAACAAGCAGAGGTCAAGCTAGTCATGTCGCTAGCGTGTAGGAAAGTTGTTTACTCTTGGTATCATCCTCAGATATATCAACCACTCCTGCGCCCCCAACTGCATCGCAGAGGCCGTGAGCTTGGAGAGAGGTGATAAGATCGTCATCAGCTCCTGCCGTAATATCCAGAGAGGAGAGGAGGTAAGATATTTTCCTTTCATAAGCAATATTACTTAATATTGGGAGTAGAGACTGAATTAATTGCACTGTAGCTACGTCAAACATCAAGCATGCATAGATTTGTGCAAGGTTTGCACATTTTTTTGACCTAGTTAAACTTCATGTAGATAGAGCTGTATTGAACTGATTTCTCTCTCCCTCTTAGCTGTGTTACGACTACAAATTTGACCTGGAGGACGACCAGCATAAGATCCCTTGTCACTGTGGTGCGGTTAACTGCCGGAAATGGATGAACTAGAACAGAGACAGAGTTGCGGCAAAAGCGGGCAACGACACACACATGCATTCCTTTTTGTCTTATAGGCTTGTTGGTTCATACGCTGGAAAACATTACTTTAAAAAAAGACAACTTAGAGGGAATTGAATGACCGCAGAACTGTTAGAGAAGACTAAAGAGGGAAGAGGCAGAAATACTTTTTATAAGGCTGTGAGCAGAGTCTTTCTCTCAGCAAAATAGAATGGAGATGGATTTTTGTTAATATAAAAAGTGTGAGAGGGTAGTGGGTAAATGGGTTGAGTTTTGTGCTGGCCACCGCCTTATTTAGTTATCGAGAGGCAGGTCCTCCGGATTAAGAAATATATAGTTACAGAAATGTAGACGCCACTGAACAAGGAATGTACAGAGAGGACTTCCTTAGGGACAAAGCTAAGGGAATATTAACTTGCACTAAAACAACAAAATTAGTTGAATACTTGATTCCATGAGTCAGTTTGTTTTTGATTTATGTAAAATAAATATTTTTTTGTATTTATCAAATGAAGTTATTTTTTTAAAATGAGGAGCAAGTCACCGGCAAACTGCTGCCCAGGTTATCCGTCTAATCAGAACGTGTTACTATATACAAAGTGTAAATATTTGTAAAAAATAAAAATAATAAAAAAGTTAATCACCCAAATGCTACCTTTAACTTCATGGCTGTTTGGGTGATTCTTTCGTTTTTTTTTTTTTTCAACAAAAAAGTATTTAAGAAGGATATCATTGAGTTTCTCCTGTATAAAATGGTGTAAAAAAGTCCAGAGTATTTTGGTTGTATTTTGAATGAATACGTTTTCAGTTTCTTTAATTTTCCGTTTACGTCAATTTCTGTTTGCATTGACACGCGCAATCAAAGAATTGCAGCGCGCCAATCACATTGAGACTAATGTGACATCCTAACCTTAGTTAAATCAGATATTAACGTAGAATTAGAGAACTGTGATTTTAGGTTGGAAATCACCCACACCATTGTGCTTCTTTAACTGTATCATACGCACAGTAGTCTCAGATTTACCTCATGCAGTTAATTAACATACGGACACGTGTTAAATATATAATGCCTTTCACTTACCAGTTGAAGGAGATTCCATTATGCTTTTGACATAACATTTGTGTTTTGTTTACATTTCTTTTGAGGAAAACATGCTGGCTAGTTGAGAAAAATATGGTATGATTGACTCAATCACAATCTGAATCTGGTCCTAGCATTTTGCTGACCAGTTTGAAATGAAGTTTTCATTTGTGTGCACAAAAGTCGGCATATTCAGTGTCATTGTAATAAACAGTACATGGCATATGTTTTAAACTTTCAGAAGAATCAATTGTACATAATTTTCCTTAAATGGTTGTAATGAAATTTGTTTCTTGGATTTTCTCCTCGTACAATATTCAGACATTTTAAGTGTTTATTTTCTTCGTCCTGTATAGTAGCATCTAATGTTTTTAAAAAATGAAGCCTTTTTAAAGTATACAGAGTGATGGGTTTTGGAGTTTGTGGAATCAGATTTAGGATCATTTACAACAAATAAAATATTTTACATCTGAAATTTGCCATTTCCTTTATCTCAATTCTGTGGGAGGAAATGGACCAAACTTTGTCAGCCAAGTAAGAATTTGAATCAATCAATTGCAAATTAGTCAAGGGATGTTCATACTTCAATTAAACATTTATTTGGTTGCCTCATTTGCAAGAGAATTACTAAACTGCACAGTATACATAAGAAATGACATTTGGTTAAGAAAGAAAAAAAAAAAAAAAACTTTCCAAACTTGTTCAACCATCATAGCTCACTAGAACAGTGCAGGACAGACGGCGAGTATGGATGACTTTGCTAGTATGATGGGCATTATCCAAGACCGCTACATACAATAGGAAATTGAAGACTATCCCTGTATTGTGCATTTCTATTTACCCTATTCAACATGATTTCCATAGACTGCACACAATGTCGATCACTTGGTCAATATACCTGATGTAGTATAACGTAGAGCTAATGCAGTGTAGCCCAGGCTGAATCAGGTTAGTTACAACTGGGGTTGGAGCAAAAACCTACAGGAGGGTAGCTCTCTAGGAACAGGGTTGGAGAGCCCTGCTCTAGCCTATCAACAGTTTCAAAGAAGTTGCCTTGCACAGTTCAAGGGTATGATGAATACATTACTTCAAACAAAACTCCAGTGATGAAAATATTTGTACAATAGAAAGTTTCTACCAAAGAAAATGTAACTAAATACAATTAAATACTGTATGTTCTAGCAATTCAAGTGGAACTGACAGCATTGTAACATGAAATCTGTTCGTATACACCCCCAGAAAGATTATTTTTTACATTTTCTGATAAGCCAGCACTTAAATTTGATCATTTTCATAAATTCATAGAATGTTTGGGAATGACGTATAGTAAGGCATTTGTGAAAATGTATTATTATTATTAAAATTCTATAGCAATATAGAGTGGGAAAGCGGCCATGCTTTTAGAGAATTAATAGACACTAGAGTAAATAAAACCATCTGTCTTGTCCAGGACTGGAGTCTACGCAGACCAGTGCGCCATAGCCAATCAGAGCTATTTATTTTTATTTTACCTTTATTTAACTAGGCAAGTCAGTTAAGAACAAATTCTTATTTACAATGACGGCCTACATGGAAATAATCAATTTGCCACGTGGGCCTTCCATCATTCACTTTGAACTAGACTGTTTACAGGCAGTAGCAACAGCGCGACTTTAGATCATTAGAACGCATTTGCCAAAAGCCATAATACACTAATGGATTTCTGCAAATATGTAAATACCACGGGAGTCCTCTTACATTTGGGAACTTCACGGTCCTATTGATCAAACAACCATGAAAAGGTAGGCTGTCTCTCCCACGCAGTTATGCACATCAACAAGGGGTGTGTTTGTAAATTCACTCTGGGCGTTGTCAGATTGTCTGTTCGTAAATTCAGAGCGCCAACTGGCCGAGGAGTAGGGTTGATTCGAGGGTTCTGACCTCACAACGGCAGTCAAGCACCCAAGCTAACTGGCTAAAGTTGGCTAGCTTGCTACTGTTGGCTACTTCCAGAAAATGAGAGAACACCTCACTCTAAGAATACCTCATCTAATGTGGTATTCTCCTACATTAATTTCAAATTTCCACAAACTTCAAAGTGTTTCCTTTCAAATGGTATCAAGAATATGCATATCCTTGCTTCAGGTCCTGAGCTACAGGCGGTTAGATTTGGGTATGTCATATTAGGTGAATATTGAAAAAAGGGTCAGGTCCTTAAGAGGTTAAGAAGGAATATCATAGTAACGACGTTGTTGGCTATATACAGTGGGGGAAAAAAGTATTTAGTCAGCCACCAATTGTGCAAGTTCTCCCACTTAAAAAGATGAGAGGCCTGTAATTTTCATCATAGGTACACGTCTACTATGACAGACAAAATGAGAAAAAAAAATCCAGAAAATCACATTGTAGGATTTTTAATGAATTTATTTGCAAATTATGGTGGAAAATAAGTATTTGGTCAATAACAAAAATTTCTCAATACTTTGTTATATACCCTTTGTTGGCAATGACACAGGTCAAATGTTTTCTGTCAGTCTTCACAAGGTTCTCACACACTGTTGCTGGTATTTTGGCCCATTCCTCCATGCAGATCTCCTCTAGAGCAGTGATGTTTTGGGGCTGTCGCTGGGCAACACGGACTTTCAACTCCCTCCAAAGATTTTCTATGGGGTTGAGATCTGGAGACTGGCTAGGCCACTCCAGGACCATGAAATGCTTCTTACGAAGCCACTCCTTCGTTGCCCGGGCGGTGTGTTTGGGATCATTGTCATGCTGAAAGACCCAGCCACGTTTTATCTTCAATGTCCTTGCTGATGGAAGGAGGTTTTCACTCAAAATCTCACGATACATGGCCCCATTCATTCTTTCCTTTACACGGATCAGTCGTCCTGGTCCCTTTGCAGAAAAACAGCCCCAAAGCATGATGTTTCCACCCCCATGCTTCACAGTAGGTATGGTGTTCTTTGGATGCAAATCAACATTCTTTGTCCTCCAAACACGACGAGTTGAGTTTTTACCAAAATGTTCTATTTTGGGTTTCATCTGACCATATGACATTCTCCCAATCCTCTTCTGGATCATCCAAATGCAGTCTAGCAAACTTCAGACGGGCCTGGACATGTACTGGCTTAAGCAGGGGGACACGTCTTGTACTGCAGGATTTGAGTCCCTGGCGGCGTAGTGTGTTACTGATGGTAGGCTTTGTTACTTTGGTCCCAGCTCTCTGCAGGTCATTCACTAGGTCCCCCCGTGTGGTTCTGGGAGTTTTGCTCACCGTTCTTGTGATCATTTTGACCCCACGGGGTGAGATCTTGCGTGGAGCCCCAGATCGAGGGAGATTATCAGTGGTCTTGTATGTCTTCCATTTCCTAATAATTGCTCCCACAGTTGATTTCTTCAAACCAAGCTGCTTACCTATTGCAGATTCAGTCTTCCCAGCCTGGTGCAGGTCTACAATTTTGTTTCTGGTGTCCTTTGACAGCTCTTTGGTCTTGGCCATAGTGGAGTTTGGAGTGTGACTGTTTGAGGTTGTGGACAGGTGTCTTTTATACTGATAACAAGTTCAAACAGGTGCCATTAATACAGGTAACGAGTGGAGGACAGAGGAGCCTCTTAAAGAAGAAGTTACAGGTCTGTGAGAGCCAGAAATCTTGCTTGTTTGTAGGTGACCAAATACTTATTTTCCACCATAATTTGCAAATAAATTCATAAAAAATCCTACAATGTGATTTTCTGGATTTCTTTTCCTCAATTTGTCTGTCATAGTTGACGTGTACCTATGATGAAAATTACAGGCCTCTCTCATCTTTTTAAGTGGGAGAACTTGCACAATTGGTGGCTGACTAAATACTTTTTTTCCCCACTGTACCACAAACCCCTGGGGTGCCTTACTGCTATTATAAACTGGTTTCCAACGTAATTAGAACAGTAAAATGTAATGTTTGTCATACCCATGGTATACCACGGCTTTCAGCTGATCAACATTTAGGGCTAGAACCAGGTTTATAATTGTAATTATAAACTGGGTGGTTTGAGCCCTGAAATCTGATTGGCTGAAAGCCATGGTATATCAGACCATATACCACAGGTATGACAAAATATTTAGTTTTACTGCTCTAATTACGTTGGTAACCAGTTTATAATAGCAATAAGGCTCCTCTGGGGTTTGTGATATATGGTCAATATACCATGGCTAAGGGCTGTGTACACGCACTCCAGAGACAAATGTATAATTCTCCACATTTATCCTAATGTCAGTTTCATTGAGGACTCCTTACACGCAACGTAGTTTTAGCCCAATTTGGCTGCAAAACCGCGAACATGGCAACACTTGGTCACTCACCCACTCCTCCAATGGCATGACATCTTCCTAGCAGGCTAACTAACGTTAGGCTCTGTGTTTTTAGCTTGCTAAATAAATAGATAGATACGCTAGCCTATTAGCCACGTTGCGACTGACTTGTTCATTGCCCTTGCTAGGTTGATTGTATTGACATTCCCAGCCTTAGTTACATTCGTCCGTTTTTGTCCAAAATATTTAGCCATTGAAACTAACAGTGCATCCCGAATGGAGGCAGCAAACAATGCACCAGTACAGCAATATTTTTTGGACTACCAACAAATGTATTGGTGAATTATATTAATCATGCATTGAACTGCATCCATCTATTCTGCCAACAATGCCTTACTGTACGTAATGGAATTTTCTGTCAAATAAACCTTTTATAAAGTTGGTTTTGTAGCATAAACTGGGAATTTGATATTTTTGACTGATATGATTGTCTGTTTCATATATGCAAAGTAGTTAAAACGCTGTCAATTCCACTTTAATATCAGATTGTAATAAGTACAGAATAAAATACAGTTACTCTAAAACCAGGGTCCTAATACTTAGTAAAGTTCTTAGTAAACACTTTTGGGACTTAGACAATTCAGAGGAAATTGTAATATTGTATAATGCAAGACTGCTGTGCAAATTGGATAAAATTCATTTAAAACATGATATTAAAGAAAAAAATCACTTGCATGATACATTGTAAAACTATTCTCTAAAACATAGGACAAGGAATAGATTGTTCTCAAGGAAAAAATAGAATACTAATTTTCAAGAGGGGAAGTCGGACGAATGGGGTTGAGACTATAGTACATACAGCATACCCACAGAGCTCCGTACTTACTCTGTGCACTTCAGGGAGGCTGGAACCAGTTTTGAAGACACAAACAGCATTTGTTCTCCAAGTCTTCAAGAACACAGTCCGCATAATTAGTTCCATCCCTCTCTTTCCTTGTCGCAGCAGCAGTGTGCAGTATTCCCCCCCATCCAGAGGGGGGCAGTCAGTGTCTGGAATGTTACTAGTCGTGGCGTATCAACATCAGCCCTCCAACTGCCACTGCTGGGACTGGGAGCCATCACAGATCGCCATGGCAACGTATCCCTTGGGGCTGATTGTGTCGACCACGGCCAGGCATTGGCCCACTGAGACTTGATATAGCCGGTTGCTCTTCTGGAGAGGGTTGGAGGAAGACGGGGCCATGTGTTACATGGAGGGAGAGGAGAGCCATTGGAGACTTTATATAAGCGTTTTCTACTGATACCAACACAGCATTACTGTACCAAATAAAAGGAGGCTAGTGCAGTAGCCCAGAGCCAACTGGCGGTAGCAATCATCATCATGATGCCCCATGGTACCAGCCAGTATAAAAGCCACAGTAATACTGTACTGTATTAGTTATATCAGTACTGGTCTTGTGGTGGTAGCAGTCATTACTATCTGCCTATACAGATATGGGCCCAATTTGTGATTGAGCAACAATGTGGTTGAGCGAGTGAGGGCAGGGGGTCTAGCTAACTCACCCCCAGAGTCCACTGCTGGGAGCCCCCTGAGCCGTGACACTTCATGAGGCGGGGCGGGTCAGACGAGCGGATCTCGGACATGTCCAGACACAGCAGGCCAGTCAGGATCAACTCGTGCTCCTCATCATAGGCCCACTCCTAAGGAGGGGAGGGACAGAGGAAGGTTGGGTATGGGGAAGTGGGAGGGGTATGGTGAAGTGGGAGGGACAGAGAAAGTGGATGAGTGGGGGGTGAGAAAAGCCAAAGGATGATATAGTGTCCAGTGTCTTCAGAAAGTATTTACCCACCTTGACTTTTTCCACATTCTGTTGCGTTACAGCCTGAATTTAAACTGGATTAAATGTAGATGTTCTGTCACTGGCCTACACACAATACCCCATAATGTCAAAGTGGAATTATATTTTTCAACATTTTTACAAATTAATACAAACTGAAAAGCTGAAATGTCTTGAGTCAATAAGTATTCAACCTCTTTGTTATGGCAAGCCTAAATAAGTTCAGGAGTACACATTTGCTTAACAAGTGACATAAGTTGCATGGACTCACTGTGTGCAATAATAGTGTTTAACATTTTTTTTTTTTTATGACTACCTCATCTCTGTACCCCACACATACAATTATCTGTATAGTGGTGGCTGCATCATGTTATGGGTATGCTTGTAATCGTTAAGGACTGGGGAGTTTTTCAGGATAAAAAAATTAACTGAATGGAGCTAAGCACAGGCAAAATCCTAGAGGAAAACCTGGTTCAGTCTGCTTTCCACCAGACACTGGGAGATTAATTCACCTTTCAGCAGGACAATAACCTAACACACAAGGCTAAATCTACACTGGAGTTGCTTACCAAGAAGAGCTGTTCCTATGGCAAGACTTGAAAATGGCTGTCTAGCAATGATCAACAACCAACTTGACAGAGCTTGAAGAATTTAAAAAAGAATAATGTGCAAATATTGTACAATCCAGGTTTTCAAAGCGCTTAAGAGATTTACCCAGAAAGACTCACAGCTGTTATCGTTGCCAAAGGTGCTTCTACAAAGTATTGTCTCAGGGGTGTGAATACTTATGTAAAATTAGATATTTCATTTGCAAAAATGTATAAAAACATATTTTCACTTTGTTATTGTGTGTAGATGGGTGAGAGAAAAATAAAATGTTTAATTCATTTTGAATTAGGGCTGTAACACAACAAAATGTGGAATAAGTCAAGGGGTATGAATACTTTCTGAAGGCACTAAGGAAGATGGTCAAATGTGGTATAGACCCGAGTGAAGAATGTCAATTCATTGAATAATGCCTTTATTCCATTACCGAAACACCATAACCTTATGGGAATTTAATCTACATTTAATTCTTGAATAAATCAATTGAAATGGCAGAATTTTAACTTTACATACTCCCAATATTTATGAAAAACAAAAAACTACTTCCCAATATAGAACACTTCATTTTCGGATGTGTCAACATTTCAATCCTAACTTGTCAGCAGACAATTTCACAAACAGTTCACAGCGGAAGTTGTTGACCTCATCGTATACCCGAAGACTCAGTGCCGCAGAGGGGGAGGGGTTCAAATGGAACGAGAGAATACAGAAAGCGAGAGAGCGACCCGTATGTGGGAGAGAAAGAGAGCAAGAGGGGGAGAATGCGTGTCACAGTGCAGAACTGCAGTAGCTTCAGCCTCTGCTGAACTTCTACCCGACACACACAGGGAGTGACTCACTCTGCACCATTTTTACACACACAGGAAAGTGGAGGAGCCTAATGGAACAGTCGTTTTCAGTTGAATGCAGAAAAGATAGATGGCTCTTCCAGTAAGTGTGCACAAAACTCTGTGACCATGAAAGACCCTGGAGTGAGAGGATGTACTGGTACAGTTCATGTACATCCAGCTTACAAAAGTAATTGTGGTCCTCTGTAGCTCAGCTGTTAGAGCACGGTGCTTGTAACGCCAAGGTAGTGGGTTCGATCCCCGGGACCACCCATACACAAAAAAAAAACAAAAAAAATGTATGCACGCATGACTGTAAGTCGCTTTGGATAAAAGCGTCTGCTAAATGGCATATTATATTATATTATTATTGTGGCCAGAAACAACAGTTGAAATAAGGAAATAAAAGCATATAGTAGAAATATTAAGAGATAGGATGAAATATAACTAATTTCACGTTCTAGCCCGAACCCTTATAACCCTTGTCCACGGCGCTGACTAACAGAAGTGTCAAAAAGAGGCCAGGCTCGTGTTAGGGTTCTATTATCACTGTAGAAAGTCATTAGTCATAGGCTGGCATCATTACTAATGACTTGTGTTGTCATAATCATGACTCCCAGTGTCACATAGCAGACAATATGATGGAGACGCGAAGCAGAGTCAAGTGCTATGGTGCATTCAAGACAACTAGGAACCCTGAAAAATACAAGGTCAATTCATGATGTCAGAGCTCTAGAAAGAGACCCGAGTTGGATGACCATTCAAAAGTATTTTTCAGAGTTACCAGTTGTTTTGAACGCGCCATTAGTTTACCTGTTCTAGGTTGTGTGTGTCACAGGTCCTCAGCACCACGGCACCCCCCTTCTGGCTTGGCCTCCCCTGAGCCACCAGACACTTGTCAGCCTGCAGGTTCCGCAGCTAGAGAGAGAGAAAGGAGAAGGGAGAGGTCAAAGGTGATGTCTCACTAGTTGTATTCCAGGTAATGTCCATTGTGGCACAGTTGGTAGAGCATGGCGCATGCAACACCAGGGTTATGGCAATGTAAGATCTGATCATCTGCGCAGTGCTACTGCAAAAAATATGACAAGGAACATGCCTATAAACTCAAATAAAAATACATTGATAAATACCAAGTGAAGTTACTTCCAGAATATGCCGCTGAAATGCACAACATACCAACACGCACCCACCAGGGCGGCAGGTAACCTAGTGTATAAGAGCTTTGAACCAATAACCGAAGGTTACTGGTTCATATCCCAGAGCCGACTAGCTGAAAAATCTGTTGATTTGCCCTTGAGGAACGCACTTAAAAGCTAATTGCTCCTGTAAGTCGCTCTGGATAAGAGCGTCTGCTAAGATTTAATAATAATAATGCCATTTAGCAGACGCTTTTATCCAAAGCGACTTACAGTCATGCATGCATACATTTTTGTGTATGGGTGTTCCCGGGGATCGAACCCACTACCCTGGCGTTACAAGCGCCGTGCTCTACCAGCTGAGCTACCCACCTGAATCTAAGAGACAAGAACATTTTCAAATGTTGATAATGTCAATGCCTTGCACCAACTGCCTCATTGCTAAGTTCGCCTATTTCCAAAACTTTATATCTTCAGAAACCAAGCATTTTGAGAATTCACCTATGAATGTTCTCTCTGGGAGACTGATGTAGCAGAGCTGTCAGTTGTTTGACTTGCAATACATAACTCTCGTTTTCTATTGGTCTTTTTGAAGCAGGATAACTTTTCTATTCCTGAGTTCTGAGCCTCTAAGTGGTGTGTCTGTTTAACCTGGGGGCTCCTTAATGTCTTGTGCAACACCACATTGCCCCCTGCTGACTGGATATGGCATTTCTTCCATTTCATTCAATAAGAAAAACGTAAAAAGTTGCAGTATGTAATGTTGTATTGATTATTTTTGCTTTCCCTCCGTTTTTGAAGAATGTAACACAGAAATACCTGAACAATCTTAGAAATGCTTTCTTACCTTATCATATGAACCCCAAACAACCACAGGCAGGAACGTGGGATATTGTTACATTGTTTACAACTTCTGAGGACTACTTGTCCATCAGGAAGCAGCTGCTGTTTATACACATTGAAGGTGCATCACTCACAGTAAACAAGCAACTTCATTTAAATTTACAACTATAGATCTACCATAGAGGGCTATTTGCATGTGAAAGATGTACAGAATTACAGCTTAAATCGAAGAGAACATACATTCCATTCTTTTTCATTTCAGGCTTCATTTTTTTGCCTCAATATGGCGGGGGTTGACCGCCGACAACACATGGCTCTATTGTTGAAAAACAAACCATGTGAAAGAGTAACTATGTAAAAGTTATGGCAGAAAGTTGTCATGGTTGCCAGCTACTTAAGACAAAATCCGGGGAGGGGGCGGAGAGAGTGATGTATCGATAAAAGAAGACCAATTGGCCTCCTTTTGTTACACTAAATTGCAAGTGCAGTGCTGAAGTTTGAACAGTGTTATTCTGAGGCATGACGTAGCGTACAACATGTAAGTGAAATTACTATTTCTATGGTGGACAGTGGCATAGCTCTAGCCTGGTCCCAGATCTGTTTGTGCTGTATAGCCAATGGTTGATGCGACCATTGGCTAGAAAGCACAAACTGATCTGGGACTAGGTTAGCATAGTTCAACTTTACTTTAGTGGGTTAGTGGAGAGAGTGAGTGGTTTAGAGTAACGAGGGGGCGGGGCTTTTAGCCAGCTGGCCTATCTTACCCGGCCTCTCTGCAGCACTTTGGGCCGGCGGAGGCCTTTGTTGACGAACACAGGCTGCTGAGGCTTATTGTGGGGTGAGGCCACCTGCATCTCGGGGTAGATGGTGTCCAGGTACCACTTGAAAGAGCGGCACTGCAGCCGTTGGCGCACCGCCTGCCGCTCGCTGATGTCACCGTAGGCACGCTCCCGGAGCTCCGGCCGCAGGTTGAAGTACTGCTCCTGATTGGACGAGACAAGACAGGAAATAGGTGAGATTGATGACACACTCAGTTGATTGCTATTGAAACATGAATTTCCAGTCCACAATGAAAATAGCTGCATCTCTGTTGTCTGTAGAAGCACATGGTTTAGAGGGCAGATCAGGCTCTAAAGTTAGTTTGTAAACAAACATTGTATCTGAAAACTGAATAAACCTGAAACGTACAAACCACTAGCTAATACTGTAGCGAGACAAGTCTTACAGAGGTAAGATTCAATTGGGCTAAGCAATAATAAAACCAAGATGTTTACCTTATTCCCTTGATTGAGAATCTGCTTGATATATCCTGATTTAGGCCAGCTGTTTCCATAGAAACAAAGCCTGTCCCAGTCTCTGATTAGTGTGGTGATGGAGAAGCCACCACCGGCCAACCCTAACCTCATCTTAACCCTCTGGAAGATTTCAACTGCTTGGAACATTGCTACACTACTCTGCTGTACTAAGAATTCAGAGTGGGGTAAGGCAATTTTTGAATCACACTCTTAGTTCAAATGTACTGTATATCATTTCAAAGTGGAAAGAAACAAATGGAAGTTGAGGAAAGAGCACAGAAGAGACTACACGGCAGCGTCCATAATCTTCCCGGAATCAGTGGCGCTCTCTCGTGGATGCCTTATGTGCCCCTAAGGCACCAATATGGCTAAGTAATAATGATTAAGTAATAACTCATAATATTCAAAGCCTCTGTGCACACTGCTTAGTTTGGAAACAATAACAGTCCACACACTGAGGGGAAATGATGAGAAAGCAAATGCAGACTCACTCATTGTGAGACGATGAGGTGTGTGAATGGGAGATCACAACGCAATTAGCTTACTTTCCAATTTAGGTCGTCTATTTTCAGACCGTGGAAAGCAAATTATAGCTCTCCTTTGTAGCTTGGAAAGGAACAAACACCACTGTGCTAATAAAGACATGAAGCTGAGAGTGATTAGAAGAAATGGTGAAACCATCAGAAGTTTATTTTGCTTATGGCCATAGACGGCTTGGGGGCTATAATAGAAGCCTCTGGGAAAAAATAGGATGTGAAAAGGGATTTCTTCAGATCAGTGGTTTTCAGTCTAGGCTATTACCTGTTACAGGCCACCAGCATGGAATGGGTGACTTTTAGGACTGAATTTCAATTGTGTGTACCAGGGTTGGGCGATATGGCCAAAATATCATATCACAATATTTTTGACGGTGTTTTAGGTTTTTGAATAATACAATTTGTAAATATTCTTTATGAGCAGTGCATGGCCCTAGGGTGGCAACACATTCTAAGTGTTTTTAAATGGGGCTTTCTCCATTCTAATTGTTTTATACTGTTCAATCAAACTTGGATTTGGAATACAGTGGGCACTTTGAATACATTGTTGTTTGACACGACAACGAATGAAAACGCCAGTGAGAGGTTATTGCAACAGGGTAGGAACCAAAGTTTGGGTCAGTGCTCTTACTTGATGTAGCTAAAATATTCATGCTTAAATTATTCCTCTGATTTAGAATATACCGTTGCACAAACATGCTGATCTAGGCCTACACCAGCACTGCTATCAGGCTGTATTAGCTAGCTACGTTTGCTCTGACTCAGTACATTTAGCTAGCTACCCAGCTAACTAGCGACTAACACAATTTATTTTAGCCACAACTTGCTAAGAAATGACAAACTAGCTGTTTGCAGACAGAAAGATACATAAACTAATAGTGTACTTCTATCTAATAGTGTAGCTTCTATTTTCAGGCCATCAGACTCTTAAAGTCATCACTAACTTGCCTCTGCCCAGTAACCTGCCCTGAACCTTAGACATTGTCTCTACCCTGCACCTTAGAGACTGCTGCCCTATGTACATAGTCATAGAACACTGGTCACTTTAATAATGTTTACATACTGTTTTACCACTTTATATGTGTATATACTGTATTCTAGTCATGGCTCATCCTATAGAATTACTGCTGTACACACCGTTTCTATTCATATACTGTCTATACACACACACACACACACACATCATTTACATACATATATGTATTTATATTCTGGACTCTGACATTGCTCATTCTGATATTTCTTAATTTCTTGTTTATTTTTTAAACTTTTGGATTGTGTGTAATGCTATTGTATTGCTAGATATTCCTGCACTGTTGGAGCTAGAAACATAAGCATTTCACTGCACCTGCGCTAACATCTGCAAAACTGTGTACGTGACCAATAAACATCGATTAGATTTTTATAGAATGCTTGTGGATTTATATTAACAAGCAGAAAGTGGAAAGCAGCATCGTTGTCACCATCTTGTTGCATCTGCAGCATTGACCATGCAGACAGTCACTGCGAGTGAATGGCAAGTGAAGTGGTTGTGACTCGTGGTAGAGCATTCTCCTTGAGTGACAGGGGGCGGGGCTTGGTGTGTGTGGAAGGAGAAAGGGAGCGAGACGACTCGGCGGAGTGGCATAACACATTAAACAAACCAAACATTGAAATACCATTATACAAGGTAAAGTAAACACCCAAACGGGTCCATTGCATCAATACCGGTATATAGTAAATTATAAACTGGGTGGTTCAAGCCCTGAATGCTGATACCACGGGTATGACAAAACATTTATTTTTACTGGTTGGTAACCAGTTCATAATAGCAATAAGGCACCTCAGGGGTTTGTGGTATATGGCCAATATACCACGGCTAAGGGCTGTATGCAGGCACTCCGCATTGCATCGTGCATAAGAACAGCCCATAGCCGTGGTATATTGGCAGGTAGCTTAGTGGTTAAGAGCGTTGTGCCAGTAACCGAAAGGTCGCTGGTTCTAATCCCTGAGCCAACTATGTGAAAAATCTGTCGATGTGCCCTTGAGCAAGGCACTTAACCCTAATTGCTCCTGTAAGTCGCTCTGGATAAGAGCGTCTGCTAAATGACTAATTATTTATATATACACACACACACACCACACCCCCTCGTTCCTTATTGCTTAAATACGCCCAGCCTTAGCATGTACTACTACTCCGTACATGTACAGTTGAAGTCGGAAGTTTACAAACACTTAGGTTGGAGTCATTAAAACTTGTTTTTCAACCACTCCACTAATTTCTTGTTAACAAACTATAGTTTTGGCAAGTCGGTTAGGACATCTACTTTGTGCATGACACAAGTAATTTTTCCAACAATTGTTTACACACAGATTATTTCACTGTATCACAATTCCAGTGGGTCAGAAGTTTACATACACTAGGTTGACTGTGCCTTTAAACAGCTTGGAACATTTCAGAAAATGATGTCATGGCTTTAGAAGCTTCTGATAGGCTAATTGACATCATGTGAGTCAATTGGAGATGTACCTGTGGATGTATTTCAAGGCCTACCTTCAAACTCAGTGCATCTTTGCTTGACATCATGGGAAAATCTAAAGAAATCAGCCAAGAACTCAGAAAAAACATTTGTAGACCTCCACAAGTCTGGTTCATCCTTGGGAGCAATTTCCAAATGCCTGAAGGTACCACGTTCATCTGTACAAACAATAGTACGCAATTATAAACACCATGGGACCACACAGCCATCATACCACTCAGGAAAGAGACGCGTTCTGTCTCCTAGAGATTAACGTACTTTGGTGCGAAAAGTGCAAATCAATCCCAGAACTACAGCAAAGGACCTTGTGAAGATGCTGGAGGAAACAGGTACAAAAGTACCTATATCCACAGTAAAACGAGTCCTATAATGGACATAACCTGAAAGGCCGCTCAGCAAGGAAGAAGACACTGCTCCAAAGCCGCCATAAAAAAACCAGACTACGGTTTGCAACTGCACATGGGGACAAAGATCTTACTTTTTGGAGAAATGTCCTCTGGTCTGATGAAACAAAAATATAACTGTTTGGCCATAATGCCCATCGTTATGTTTGGAGGAAAAATGGGGACGCTTGCAAGCCGAAGAACACCATCCCAACCGTGAAGCACGGGGGTGGCAGCATCATGCTGTGGGGATGCTTTGCTGCAGGAGGGACTGGTGCACTTCACAAAACAGATGGCATCATGAGGAAGGAAAATTATGTGGATATATTGAAGCAACATCTCAAGACATCAGTCAGTAAGTTAAAGCCCACTTATTGTGGGAAGCTTGTGGAAGGCTACCTGAAACTTTGACCCAAGTTAAACAATTTAAAGGCAATGCGATGAAAGAAATAAAAGCTGGAATAAATCATTCTCTCTACTATTATTCTGACATTTCACATTCTTAAAATAAAGAGGTGATCCTAACTGACCTAAGACAGGGAATTTTTACTAGGATTAAATGTCAGGAATTGTGAAAAACAGAGTTTAAATGTATTTGGCTAAAGTGTATGTAAACTTCCGACTTCAACTGTACCTTGTATTCATCCATCCATACGTGGGCCAGGCGCAGGGAGTTGTGGGCCATGGTGTCCTGACCTCCGGGTGACCCGTAGGGCCGCCGTTTACGGAATATATGACCAACCCGCGAACAGGGGATGATCAGGAGCTGGCCCCCACACATCCAGATCTGAAGAAGAGAAAGGGAGAGAAAGTCAAATGCAGTGTATGAGCACATATTCAGCAGTTCTAAAAATATTTGGATTCTTGGTTAGAGCGCTAGCACACTTCATCTAAGCTATATTGTATGCATGTTGTGAATAACTTCCTACTGTAGACCACACACACACATTCATGACTTTGAGCTTCTATATCAAAAACCTCAAACCCCTTTTATTTAAACCATGCGGGAGCGCATAGACTCTACGGCCAAGTATACTACTATGAAGACGACTCCACAAACTTGTTGGATGCATTAGCAGTTTGTTTTGGTTGTGTTTCAGATTATGTTTAATTTATGTTTCGCATTACCTGTTCTTGGTGAGCATGTTTTGGGGGTATGACCTTTGTTCTAACTTTCTCACTCATCATTATTCATGGTTCATTCATGATCATCCGTAATCACAGTAGCATCTACATTACTGTAGAAGTGTTCAGAAACATATTCTATTCTTATTTACAATAAAAGTGACAATTATTTACCATTCATTTCTATTGGACATAACATAATCCGAAACAACCAAAACAAACTGAAAATGCATCCAACAAGTTTGTAGAATCACAAACTTGATGTTGTCATTGTGTGCTAGGAATATGGGACCAGAACACTAAACCTTTGACTACTGTAATATACTATAAGTGAATTTGTCCAAATACTTATGACACCTTCAAAATGGGGGGACTACATACATAAAGTGCTTTCATTTCTAAACGATAGAACAGATATCTACGAAAATACAAATAAAAGTGACATTCTGTATTGTCGCCTCATTATTTTTTATCAAATCCAAAATGCTGGAGTATAGAGCCAAATTAGACGTTTTAGCTTCGCAGTCCAAATAAATATGTGGGGAGTGTATAAAATCTGACCAAACATCAGCTCCATTGCAATGTTTCACATACAGTGCATTCGGAAAGTATTCAGACCACTTCACTTTTTCCACATTTTGTTACATTACCACCTTATTCTAAAATGGTAAATTCAATTGATTGGACATGATTTGGAAAGGCACACACCCATCTATATAAGGTCCTACAGTTGACAGTGCACGTCAGAGCAAAAACATTTACTTTACATTTTAGTCATTTAGCAGACGCTCTTATCCAGAGCGACTTACAGTTAGTGAATACATATATATTTTTTTTATACGGGCCCCCCGTGGGAATCGAACCCACAACCCTGGCGTTGCAAACGCCATGCTCTATCAACTGAGCTACATCCCTGCCGGCCATTCCCTCCCCTACCCTGGACGACGCTGGGCCAATTGTGCGCCGCCCATGAGTCTCCCGGTCGCGGCTGGCTGCGACAGAGCCTGGATTCGAACCAGGATCTCTAGTGGCACAGTTAGCACTGCGATGCGGCGCCTTAGACCACTGCGCCACTCAGGAGACACAAAAACCTAGCCATGAGGTCGAAGGAATTGTCCGTACAGCTCCGAGAGAGGATTGTGTCGAGGCACAGATCTGGGGAAGGGTACCAAAAAATTTCTGCAGCATTGAAGGTCCTCAAGAACACAGTGGCCTCCATTGTTCTTAAATGGAAGAAGTTTGGAACCACCAAGACTCTTCCTAGAGCTGGCCGCCCGGCCAAACTGAGCAATCGGGGGAGGAGGGCCTTGGTCAGGGAGGTGACCAAGAACCCGATGGTCACTGACAGAGCTCCAGAGTTCCTCTGTGGAGATGGGAGAACCTTCCTGAAGGACAACCATCTCTGCAGCACTCCACCAATCAGGCCTTTATGGTAGAGTGGCCAGATGGAAGCCACTCCTCAGTTAAAGGCACATGACAGCCCGCTTGGAGTTTGCCAAAGGGCACCTAAAGGACTGAAACAAGATTCTCTGGTTTGATGAAACCAAGATTGAACTCTTTGGCCTGAATGCCAAGCGTCACGTCTGGAAGAAACCTGGCACCATCCCTACGGTGAAGCATGGTGGTGGCAGCATCATGCTGTGGGGATGTTTTTCAGCGGCAGGGAGACTAGTCAGGATCGAGGGAAAGACGAACGGAGCAAAGTACAAAGAGATCCTTGATGAAAACCTGCTCCAGAGCGCTCAGGACCTCAGACTGGGGCAAAGGTTCACCTTCCAACAGGACAATGACCCTAAGCACACAGCCAAGACAATGCAGGAGTGGCTTCGGGACAAGTCTCTGAATGTCCTTCAGTGGCCCAGCAAGAGCCCGGACATGAACCCGATCTAACATCTCTGGAGAGACCTGAAAATAGCTGTGCAGCGACGCTCCCTATCTAACCTGACAGAGCTTGAGGAGGATCTGCAGAGAAGAATGGGAGAAACTCCACAAATACAGGCGTGCAAAGCTTGTAGTGTCATACCCAAGAAGACTCAAGGCTGTAATCGCTGCCAAAGGTGCTTCAACAAAGTACTGAGTAAAGGGTCTGAATACTTATGTAAATGTATCTGTTTTTTATTTGTAATACATTTGCAAACATTTCTAAAAACCTGTTTTTCTTTGTCATTAATAATAAAGAATAATAATAAGCCATTTAGCAGACGCTTTTATCCAAAGCGACTTACAGTCATGTGTGCATACATTTTTACGTATGGGTGGTCCCGGGGATCGAACCCACTACCCTGGCATTACAAGCGCCATGCTCTACCAATTGAGCTACAGAGGACCTCATTATAGGGTATTGTGTGTAGATTGATGAGGGGGGGGGGGGACAATTGAATCAATTTGTAATGTAACAAAATGTGGAATAAGTCAAGGGGTCTGAATACTTTCCGAATGCACTGTACATAACGTTTCCTTAGTGAAGTCATATACTGGACTCTCTTTTCAAAACAGGGTAACATGGCAAGATATGAGAATGCAGTCTTGCCAAGAATCTTAAACAGGACTGGAAGAGAAATGTCCAACTCTGATGTGGTAAAAGTAACTAAAAACGCTGAGTCGAGAAAGGAATTTTTTATGTTGGAGAGATTCATGTAGCCAAGTCAATATGTAGTTGCTAGCCTGCTGCAATCCAACTCAAATGGACCAAAGCGTAATATGGAGAAATACACTTGCATTGGCTGTCAGTTATAACATTTGATTTAATTCTGTATTTTTCTTAGGGGAAGAAAAGCTTATGAGTTTGCCGAGGCAAAGTCTTAGACGAAATTAGCCAAAATGTGGGTAAATAAATCAAGTGTCTTGAGCTTATGGCGAGTGGTTGACATGTCATAGCTCATTTGACCAGGTGCATGTATGCTCCTCACCTACTTTATTTGGCACCCCTCCTAAAATGGGAAAAATATGTTCAATTGAAAGGGTGGGTGTCACTTTGGGAGCAGCTGTACCTTGCATAAGAACAACATGTAGCAGAAATGTAGTGTGTGTGCATGATACAGCGAGTAGAAGTGATTGTGTGCATGTGTGGCCCTTTTATTTACCCGGAAGGAGATCTCAAGGTTCTCGCCGCCCCAGATGTCCATGCCGCTGTCGTACTGGCCCAGCTCGTTAAAATACTTCCTGTCCATGGCAAACAGACCACCGGCCATGGTGGGGGACCTGGGGGAGGGGGAGTGAGAAAAGCAGAGTGTGAGTCAGCACTCTAGTTACTTCAGTATCCTTTAAAGTAGCACTAGCAGTGCAAACACTAATATGTGAGAAAACAATGCCTCTGTATCTCCTAGTCAGGCTAAAAGTTAGGCTGCGACCATATAGATTTTGAGTCTGAAAATTACTAATTGAGACAATGGTTTTTCAATAGAGTAATCTGTTTGACAGATAAGACAAGAGATGATTGTCCATCAAAACAAATAACACAATGTCGGCCTTTGTGCGTATGCAACTCGTCCGAAAATAATTGACTTGAACTTTTGACGATGACAGACCATGATGAATGCGTATCTGTTTACATGTGTCTCTGTGTGACCGTAGCCTTAGGCTTATGTGCTTATGTTAAGCCCAGAATGCAAGCATGTGAGAGAAACAGAGAGGAATCCAAAGGGGTGTCCGAGAAGCCCATAAGGCTAAACCAGCCTACACCATAGTAATGGACTGAAAGCACTCAGGCTCTTCAAAACATGGATCGATTCAGTCATTAGAACCAGGCTACTAATTAGCTTTCACATGACTCCATACATAAGGGGGATGGGAACACTACGCTACAGCACATGGCTTTTATTGATAACAGGTGCATGAAGGGAGGCCACTAAAATCTAAATGGGGGTAAAAATGAAAAGAAAAAAGAAGCCATTCCAATCGATTTGAGCATTAACCCTTTACACTCGAGGGAATTGGCCTATATGGGTAGGGATAAATGTCAATGTCTCTTAGAGAAGAAATATGAAAAGCATATGCATAACAATGGTAGCAATTGCTTGGGAACAGTTTAGAGATTATGGGAAAATTATTAGACCAAAGTTGAGTATACAACAGTTCACCTGACAACACTTGATTACACTGTTGATTTTATGTCCATTTTACATGTACTGTACATTTCGCTGCATTTGTTGATAACGAAATCTGAAAATACTCTGGATACATGCGGTAACATGATAAGAATATTCCTGGAAAATGTGGGGTAGGTGCAACATAAGACAAAGAAATGACAAGGGTTTGAGTGAGAGGACTAACTGGTGTCTCCATGTGTCTACACACCTCTCCAAAGTGTGCTCAGTTCTTAAGTAATTTCAATGCACTTGTATGACTAAAAGAAGAGTTTAACTATAAGGTGCTTTTTTGAGCTCTCTTAGCTGTGCTGTTGAAGAACTAGAGAAAGCACACTTGTAGTTGTTTTGAACACAACCCTGCATCCCTGACATCACACAATTACTGCTGTTTTTTTACACAATCCAAAAACGGTCCATTATAAATCGCAATCTGGGTCAGGTGGGCATTATTTGAAAGCCTGTTCTATTGCCAAAATGACTAGCTAAGTTATAAAATACGATATTACAGTGTTAGGCTTACACAAGGCAATTCAGGGAAACAGATCATAATTCTGCGCATTGAAAGGAGTCATAAGTGCATTCAGGTGTGTGTGCCACAGCTAATTTTCTTCACAATAGATAAACATTGGCTCATTCAGTTCAGAACAACCCAGGGTATGACGAAATGTTATCTTGTAACTAACTGTACATCAAACATAGTGATCATAAACGTTGACACTGTATATGACATTACCTTTATGATATGGAAATGTTAAGTGCACATTTGGATTCACAGGTGTTTGGCTTGCTTATGTATGACATCAAAGCGGTATTTATTATAATACTCAACGTATCATCTTTCAAAATACATAGAGTCCTCGTAATTTGCAGAGCCAGAGCTCTGAAGTCATGTATAGTATGTTCCTGTACAGCCACTACATCCCAATTTAGGCGTTTCAGTGTCCAAACCTGCCATTTTCAACCCATATACGGTTGAAAATAATAGCATAGGGCAGGCAACTAAAACAACATTCAAGAGTAAAAAAAACACCCTAAAAATTGGCTGTACTGGTTCCTCTGCATCTATAATGTGTCAAACCTAGCTTGGAGTTTGCACTTTTGGGACTATTCCAGTCCACAGCTCAACTTAGAGAGTATTGGACATGTGTTTGAACTCAGGTTGATAGGTTCTAAATTCTAGATGCCTATTAAACCAGAGGCTGCCCCCTCTCTGAGGATAGGGGTCACCATAAAATACAGCATTTAATGCCCTAAGTGACATTGCTGGGGATAAGGCTGATGGCTGTAATTCAGAGCAATATACTGTAGGCACTTTAAAGTGATAGCGACGTCTACTCCATGGTTCACTTCACTCTGGCTTATGTTTTGACCAGGGCCCAGGAACTCGGAGGCAGCTGGAGAGAGAACAGAGATAAGGATGAGTGTATAATGAGTGTCTTGTCTTTGGAACGGGGCAGATTGGAACCTCTCAGAGGAATGTGTCTGTCTCTCCATATGCATGTCTGTCTATTAAACCTTTAAACATAGAAGTCGTTCGCCTTATCCTTGGGTTCAGCATTTTCCACACCTTGAGCAAATCAATTATTCCCGACAAGGTCTGGTTGGTTTCCCACCAGGAGGTTACCTGATGGCACCCAGTGCTCCGTCAGGGCTGTTGAGCTCCGAGGCGGGCACAGGGTCCCACTTGAAGTGTAGCCCCCAGTTGAAGCCCCCCCGGACGATGGGCGAGGGACTGTAGGCCAGGGTATCGGCGCTAATGATGTCGATGACGGGACACACCACCGTTTTGCGGTCCCGCTGGATGGGCGCCAGCAGGGGCTGCAGCCATGCCTCATTCACCTCGCAGTGGCTGTCCAGGAACACCAGCACCTCCCCTTCAGAGTGGAAACATCAATCAGGAGAGAGGATGGAGAAGAATGGGGAGAGTGAGAAGGTGTGGCTAGTGTGGATGTATCCGAGGCGTGATATCGTCAATGGTTCTTAGATCAGTGGTTCTTGGGGCTAAGGGTATACATCTACAGGAATTTGACATTTGCGCGCACACACTGTTCACACACACTGTTTGGTTCCTCTGTAGCATGGTCCCCCATCATACTGCCGTTGATCATAATACAACACTATTACTTCCGTGTGGAACTTGATGGACAACATACAGTAAACATAGATATTTTACCTGCATCCCTGCCTCAGCGGGCATATGTTACATTAGTGAAGAGTTATGGTTTCGGAAGGGCTCACCGGTGGCATGAGAGGCCCCGATCATCCTCCCTCGGATCAGTCCTTCTCTCTTCTCGTTGCGGACCACCTTGAACTTGCCCTGGAGGTTGTGCTGGACATAGGTGTCTAGGTCTTCCTTCAGGTCAGCTGTGGTGGAGGGACAGGACAGGGGCTTTCAGGTGGAGCTCCGTTGAGTGATCTTTATTTATCCTTCATTTATACAGGTAGATCCTATTGAGATCCAAGATCACTTTGACAAGGGTCTAATGAGGAGATTTAGATGGACTGGTCTGACTTTATTTACACACAGGCATTCAATAACGTCAACACAATACAGTAGCCTGCATTTGTTCACCAACTAGGTAATGAAGCATGCACACTGTAGACAGACGCACACATTCCACGACAGCATCCAATCATTTACTGGGTCTTGTTATTTACATTTTACATTTACATTTTAGTCATTTAGCAGACGCTCTTATCCAGAGCGACTTACAGTTAGTGAATACATATTTTTTTTATACTGGCCCCCCGTGGGAATCGAACCCACAACCCTGGCGTTGCAAACGCCATGCTCTATCAACTGAGCTACATCCCTGCCGGCCATTCCCTCCCCTACCGTGGACGACGCTGGGCCAATTGTGCGCCGCCCATGAGTCTCCCGGTCGCGGCCGGCTGCGACAGAGCCTGGATTCGAACCAGGATCTAGTGGCACAGTTAGCACTGCGATGCAGTGCCTTAGACCACTGCGCCACTCAGGAGTTATAGTCTACTTCGCTCCGGCGAGCCTGAACAAATCCAAGAGTTCACGTCCTAAATAGAGATACAAAACTGAAATTTGCAGCTTGCCTAGTTCACTGCTGTCATCCACCAGTATAATCTCATGCAGCAGGTAGGCCGGTGTGCGATCCAGGACGCTGTGCACGGTGCGCAGGAGGGCGGAGAACGCCTCGTTGAAGAAGCAGATCACTACGCTGGCTGTGGGGAGGGACAGAGGATAGATCCTGTCTCGGCACCTGAGAGACAGAGAGGGGGTGGGCGATGCCATCAGCACATATTAGCAAACCACTGGGTGTCACAACAGGGACCATAGACATTGCATCATTCTATCTGCCCCATTATGGTGTCTGTGAGAGCATGGGCAGCACCATTGAGGCCATCTCCATTTTGAAGTATTCCATTTTCTTCTTCTACTACTACTTCTATGAGTTGGTAAACAAACTGAAAGGGTGCACACGGCCATCTAGAGTGTGTTGTTTGAACAGGTATAAAGCCAAGGTTGCCGATTTACACCTGCAGTTATGGAATGTTTCCTCAATAGTATAATTCATTGGCTGATCCCTCCTGGTGACCTGGATGGAATTATGTGATCCTTCCTTAACCCATAGGAAGTCTCACCCAGTTGACTGCTTCAAAATGGTGAAAATTCTCAATGGCACTGCCCATGCTAAAACTGTATTTTGGGCACTAGAGTCCTGTCTTTGACAGGGACAAACATCATAACTAGGGTCTGTATTCACCATCTTTAGTAATGGAATGCATAAAACACTCATGCTGTTTCACTGTGCAGCTTGTAGTGAAACATTTTGATCATTACGGTCACACCTACAGAGCTTTCCTCAACCTTGTAAAATCCTTGCCCCTTGGAAACGTCTTTACCCTTTGCTCCTGTAAAATAGTATGCCTTAACTACTCACTCTCTGCCATATCCTAACATGTCTGCAGAGTAAGCAGGATTTACAAACTCTCCTAAAACCACCTGATTCTACCAATGATTGTCAAGACTGACCAAGCCAATTCATGTTTGCATTTACAAGCAACTCATCGTAACACACAACATGTGGGAATACTCCAACCTGCAGGTCTACTTGTTAGCCTCGGATCAGTGCATCTCTAGACAGATGCTTTTGCTTGTCTTTGGATTTCATAGGGGCTACAGGGCAGGCAGAGAGAGATTGACATGATTTCCCATTTAGCCTTTGGCTACCATTACCCTTCATGATGGCTTGCAAAGTGCTGCGTCACTGTCAGCTGTTCACTTTCATCGAGTCAATAAACCCAAATATATGCCATACACACACACTCACACACTGTCGCTCTCTCACTCACTTGTCATCCCTAGTGTCAGGGAGGTCTCGGTGGTAGCCCAGTCGATTGCTGATAAGTACATTGAAAGCGTGCTTGTGATAGCCCGTGTCTCGAACCTCCTGGTCTTGCTCATTAAAAATCATACCTGAAGAGGAAAAGATAGGATGGGGAAAAAGGATGCAAATGGCTTCAATCGTTAAGAATAGTATGGGTGCTTGTGGCAGTTGGTCAGTATGAGTATTTTATTGATGCATCCACTAATGGGGTGGGTAGGCTGGTCCATGTTGCCATGGTAACACAAGCAGCCTTCATCCTGAGTGTGGTAATGCTTTGCTTAGTAACTCTGTGCAACCATGGAAACAACTCACTTACCAGCCATCTGAAGGCCTCACTCCAATTCAAAGACACTTCAAACATGCCTTTTTATTGCTGCAATGCACCATTTATGTGTTTCTTCGCACCTGCTTCGGACAGTTAAAAAATAAAATAATAATCACTCAATGCCAACCGAACTTGCTCAACGATAATCCGTAATGAGTTATGGTTAGCTTGATTGTTCCTATGTTTCTCACTGTCCAGCTCCAAATGGGCATTGACACATAAAGGCATTGTGGAATAGCCTAGGCTACACTTTGGAGTCGATCGTTTTCACATCAGTCTGACTACCTGTTAAATGTTTCATTGGTTGACACTACAAACGTCCCTTGGGGACCAATGAATAATACAGACTGTCAAAATGTCCTAACCTTTCGAGAATCTGTCATGACTACGAGTGCGCTTGTGGAGCTTTGAGAGCTCATCATTCCAGATGTTTGTGAAACTCTGAAGGCAATGCAGTCCATAGGAGCTGGTTATGATGCAGTTCACATGAGCTTTGTTAACAAACATTTTTAGATATTCTTCTAAGCCAGCTCCTTTATAAACTCCTATCATAACATTCCTTCTCACGTACACCCCTCTTAAGTTCTGTGTATAGATGAGAGAGAAATCATATTTGACCAATAGGGGCCGTTTTCAAGTTTCATGCTTTGAAGGGCTTACTTACCCATCTCCGGAGAGAGATCGGCCTGTTTGTTGCCTCTTGCTCCTGCTGCAGGGATTGCCTTGATGCCTTGCTCTGGCCCTCCTCCAGGGCTCCTGGTGAAGCGGGACTGGAAGCGGTGGGACTGGGGCCTCTGGACGGGCACATTCCTGAAGGAGGGCCGGCCGCCATCCTGGCCCAGGCTGAAGTAGAGGAAGAGCAGGACGGACCAGGTCACAGAGGTGAAGAGGCAGCCATAGCAGAAGTAGCGCAGTGTGACGCTGCCCATGGTAGCCCTAGCATCGTCTGTGGTCCATACTCATGCCCCTGTCGAGGAAACCAGAGAGACAACACGGAAAAGGTCTAGATAAGGGATGGGCAACTCTGATGGAGCTGGGGGCCACAAAAAAACGGAACTCATCATGAGGGGCCGTACTGGTTCCATTTTAGCGCCCCCCGTGACAGTGAAGAGAAAGAAATCGCACGTTTTAAAGTTAATTTCCTGCAATTCTGCACATTTTGCCATGGGGCGTAGAGAAAATGTTGCCATTTTAAACCATGTTTGCTGCAATTCTACACATTTTGCCATGGGGTGGAGAGAAGATTATGCAATTCTATAACTCACCTCATGCAATTCTACTCATTTTGCCATTGGATGGACAGAAAAATGTGCACTTTTACAGCTAATTTCCTGCCATTCTACACATTTTGCAATAGGGTGGAGGCAAACGTTTGCAGTTTTTAATATGACAACTGATGATCAATGGGCCCCACACCGGTCGGTAATTCGACCATGCTTACTACAAGTTTAGATAGCTGGCTGCTAGACTAATATACCAATCTAAAAGAATTTAGCTGACATGGGCTAATTGAGTGACTGCTGATGCACAACCACATTTCGAAATGGAAAAAAAGAATACACAAGGTGCTAACTCTCAACAGTATGTTGACATCACGACTTAGTTCCTAAAAAAAATAACCAAAAATGAAATAGAATAAATAATAATAATAATATTGGTCTGCGGGCCTACAAAAGGGGCAGGCCGCCAGTTGCCCATCCCTGGTCTAGATGGAAGCTAATGGTTCAGCATACAAGCAGTTCTGCTGTGCATTGAGTGAGTTCTCAGAAATGATTGAGCAGATATGAGTTCATTGAAGTTTCTATGAATAGCCTGAACTTTATAGACAAACACATGAAAGGAAGAAAAAAAAGTTATCCAGCTGAGGATTTTACTTAGACACAAAACGCTCTGGAAACGCACAGCTATTTATAACCCACAAACATCCAGAATAATTTACGCCTTCCTCTTTTTGCTCATCTCTGGCAGAAAAACAAGGAATTTCAGATATGTGCGTTTCAACCAGTCTGGTTGAAATTTTGTGCGCTTTTGGCACTACATTCAAACAGATTTACAAATCTTAAGAGTTACATTGAATACAACAAAAGAACCAAGCCTGGGGGATTTGAGCCATCACAATTTATGTCAGATGAGGACAGCAGGGTTGAAACAAGGTGAGTCCTCTGAAAAACAGACTAAGGCCTAAGCATGATTAATTGGTGACAAGATGCACACGGACGTCACAGTGTTGTTTTGCTGTGGAACTTAGTGGCTCGTTAGTCAGACCAGTGAAAAGGAATGAGGAGAAACACAGCTGAAAATGGGAAGATGATCAGAGATGTGAGAGGAAAAAGACAGAGAAAGACAGAGTCATTAAGAAGGACATTTGGGAGAGATAGAACAAGTGTAAACCCATAGATGGATAAATATGGAAGAAGTAGCACTGCATGTGATGAAAGGATTAGACTATTAAATAATAGGCCTACATATTACAGAGCAAGCGGTAAAGCTTCATTGACAACTATTTTTGCTTTGTAGCACCTACAGATGGAAGATGATGGAGTCTTAAAGGAGGACTGGGTTAAAAGGCCAAAATGTCATACATATACCAACTTTGATTAATTATTTCTCAATTATGCTTTTAGATACAAATGTCAACCATCCTTCCTCCAAAGGACTATATGGTTTACATTTTGTGAAAATCCCCCAAATCATGGTATTTTCTTTGTCCTGGTTTCGTGAGGAATCACTCATTAGGCCTAGTTGAAGTGGACAGACTGCGCTATGGTAAGAAGCTCACACAGTCTGCCAAATGTTACGGGAAAGACACCAAGTGCAACATGCTTTATGGCATACCCATTGCCAACCTCAAGAGGTGAGCCATGTGGCTTGGGTGATCTAGTGGTTAGTGCCACCACTCACAGCCCACATGTAGCCTATACTGCCCCACTGCCTTTTGACCAAAGGAAATACATTGTTTTAAAGAAGTGGGAATTGGTTTTTGCATAAGCACATCTAGGTGGTACCAAAGTATGAGAAAGAATCCTAATACTTTCTACTTTCGTAAATAAACAAAGGAAATTAGGCTTAATGACATGCACCAATGCACTAGTATCACCTGCTAAACTAGTTTATATTTCTGCAGTCAGCAGTATAACAAACATTTTATAGGTTAGCTAATGTCAAAATGTTGATAGCTGTTTATTTCCCAGAAAAAAAACAGAACGTTATAAGGACAAAGGTCTTTTAATTTCACCAACAAGTTAACCATTAACCACACACATCACTCACAAATGCATGAGAGAATGAATCCCAAAAAGTTCACATGAATAGTTAGGCCAAGATTCATATACTAGGCTAAGGCTAACTAACACAAAAACTATGGTACTCAGCAAAACAAGTCTGTTAAACACATCAATGATTAGCCTAAATGTAAAACCAAATAGGCCTAGTTCAACAGGAAAACCCTGAGCTCCTGTTGGTTTCAAGTGAGCTGACCTGAGGCTGGGGTGACCTGCCACTGATTTAACAAACCAGAGATGATTCAGGAAAATACTAGATTGTTCTTTGCTAAACTAAACAGTCGTATTTTAAAAGTATAAAAACAATGAACCCGCTTCAGAATAAACCAGTTAGTAAGGTGATCTAGGCTATGATTTAGGCTTGCTAGATGACCATTCGAGAGCTTGGGACTATAAGATTCTATCTGCAAAAAGATGATTGGCTTTAAAGTTCCGAACCCTAATTGGTTTGAATGGTGTCAGAAATACTGATCTAGTATCATTTTGAATTTAACAACATGAATTGGGGTATTTAGAGTACTATATAGGTAGAGAACATTGAACAGAACAAGGCTATGTCAATAACTAAATTTTGACAAAAATGCAGATAGAACCTTTAAGTCCCAAACTCTCGAATATCAAAATACACACTCATACTACTCACTGATACCCTGCATTATTTCATGATCGCCTGGATCTGATGACGTTGCAGAAACACACAACATAAATATCACAGAGTAACTGGAGACAAGTCGTCCTGCTAAACCATGATGCCAAGGAGGAGAGGGGCACTACCCGCTATGGAGATAAGCTGCCAACTGACCCCAGATCCTGCTTCTACGGACCTATTTATGCCCATGGCTTTTTCAGATGTGACTGTTGCCATGGCAGGGCTAGGAACTCAATCATTCTGCTCACCCTTCTATAGGCCTACTAGGTTACTTTATAAATGAGTTAATAATCTAAAGTGCCATCTAGGATAACAATGTGTGGCTTTTACTTAATTTAGCCTAATCCCGTACACAATTAATTTTTTAATTAGTACATTTCGATCTTCTGCCATGTAACATTTGCAACTTGCTGAAAAAATTGGTATATTTCTAAGTGTCTTACTAGACACCAGGACACCGAAGAGCCCACTCAGTTTCACACAGAGCACAACAATGACATCGCCACTCCAACACAAATTCATCAGAGGGACCAAGCCGGGCTGGGAGGGGACTATGAAAGGGAAAGTTCTAGAATTTGAGATCTCTGAGACACAGTTAGGAGATAAGCAGCCTGGCTCTGGTTCCTAACCCCCTGCCCTGCCTAGGGCTGCTATAAAAGACATTGAGCCCAGCAACACGAGAAATTCAATATTTCATCAACAATTAAAACACCAGTGGGGGAAGGCTTTACCCAGGGAAGCCTGCCAACCTGCCTCATTATCTAATAGTGACTCTTGAAGGGACATCTAGGCTATGTGCATGATAACATTTTGTTTAAATCCAGTTGTCCTATAATCCTATATGGATTAACAGATTCTGCATCAACAAAATACATTTTGACTGGTCATTGCCGTTATTATAACGTCCTTCTCTGACATTGTCTGTCAGCGTGCACTGCAGGCATTGGTCTTCGTAATGTACCTTGCATGTCATGCTTAGAGTAGCATCTCCCATATGTTCATGTTTTTGATTCAATGTCAAACCACCCCATGCTTTAATAAATAAGGCAAGAGACAGACTTAAAGCGAAGTCTTTTGTTGTGGTCACAGACATGGGAAACTAAGGACCTGCCCTTGAGCTCTGACAGCTGGTCAAATAACAGGACTATCAACTGGATACCGCTGTCCCATTAGGCTGTCTGTGGGTCAGGGCTCCAGACTGTCCCATTGATCCATGGCTGAAGAAGGGGCCAGTGCAAAAGAGCTGCTAACTGTAGCCTAAACGTTAATGAGCATCAGCGCACGTAGCCTAGGCCTAATGCTACTTCAGGACAGTAATTGAGGCCTGGATGCTCAATGCTTGGTCACAAATTAGGCAAGTTACTCTCTTTACACTTTCTAAATGGAAAAGGCTTAGATATTGTGTGTGAAAGAAGTGGAAAGGACACTAACTTTCGAAATGACTCTGCCTGAATTTATTAACAAAAGCAATATCCATTTCAGAGGAGTGCAGGTGTTTCACACGAAGGAGGAGTTGATTGCTTTTCGAGCCCAGAGTTTCTCAGCACTTCAACTTGAGAATAAGGGGACTGTAAATTAAAGTTGGCACCGAGCTAAATGGGATTCCTCAGATGTAGCCACAGTGGTCCAGAGGGACAAGGCCGTTTTAAATTGTACCACAGAAAAGAGAACAGAGCCTTGCTAATTCAGTTCCCTTCTGGTTTTAATGTAGAAAATGGGACGAGCAGCACAAGTTCAAATATACTTGCAGTCTCTTTCTCTGGCATAGCCCCGTCACACACACACCACACTTTTACATGAATAACAACTTTTCAAATATGCTGAACTGGCCCCATTACAAAAGATTAAACGCTGGAAGAAAAAAAACACAGATCTGGTCTATAATTAGATCTGGTCTATAATTAGCCACCTGGAGCCTTTCTCCAGCTGAAACAATAACCGAGGGGCTCATGCCATTAGTATAATCTGAAGCTGCCATATTGCAGCAGTGATTTGGACT